TACAGACAGGCATGAGAAAGATCTAATTTACACTAACAGATTTTTAATTAAATTAACCCATCCCTGATCGTTTCCAGTGGATCGTTTCCAGTGCCACGTTGAATGGCAATGGCTAAGCTTTGCACCAGGAACGATCCGAAGCCGGAGTCACCATTGACTTCTGTGAGTTTTCGACCTAGTTCCTTTATAAATTTGTTAGTGACAGTACCCCAGCTGCCCATGGTCTTGAACGAAATGGTAAAACTGCTCAAAATAGTAACCAAATGTTGTGTTTGATAGCTCAGACATATATAATTATTGCAAGAAACCCATAAAAACTGTGGCTTTGGGTCGCACTCACCGCTTCCTAGACCAGCTCTGAACCCGAGTTGTCTGGATTGTATCAGGAGTCAGGACGGTCCCCTCGAATATTCAGGGTGCACCACTGCTTGTAAGCCCGTTCTAGTAGGTATGATTTGAGGATCTTGCTGTTGGTTTTTATTCATTTTTATGCATTAGAAATATAGAACTGCTTACCTTTGCTTCTTTTTAAAACAGACGTCTTCCGCGGAGCCGACGAGAAGTGGACGGTGCGACTCAGATGGCTGGCGGCAACAGTGAAAACATAAGTAACGTCCCATTGCCAACCAGATCCAGTATTGCCAACCTAGTGGATTTTCCACTAAAACTGGTGGTTTCGACCCCGCTTTTAGTGGCGAAATTGAAAATTTATGGATTTTTTTAGTGGTTTAGTAATAATAGTCAGATTGTAGAGGACTTAAAAAATGCTGTTGAAAGATGTGACTGTGAGAACTGTTTGTGTATTTGCGTACCTCAAGAACGTTTGATAGGAAAGGAAGGATATGGATTAGATATAAATGCTCAGGAGGAAAAGGATTATTAATTTTAGGCGATCGGATGATGTAGGCTTTGTGCCAGAGAGAGTTAAAGGTTTCGGAGTGGAGAAAGAAGTCAATAATGTTGGCTATAACTTTGAGGACGTAATCCAGGATCTTAACTATCATTCCTACGGCTTGCAAACCGTTGCGTTACAACCGACAGGCAGGATGATCTTTCTGATGTCCCCAGAAGGCACAGGAGAAAATTTAAAGTTCAAAATATTGGGTCTGGGCAGACTAACGACGTAGGTAATACAGGGTCAGACTCTATGTTTGATGATCCGGTTGAGTTGAGAAGAGAAATGAAGATTTATATCATACAAACCAATAAACCTCGAGTCCGACTCGCACTTGTCCAAATTTTTGTTAATTTTACGTAGATATTGTGTTTATTGTCAAATAAAAGAATTCAAATTCTATAATTTGCAGTTTTATTCACTTGTTGAACTATCAAACTGCGTCTGAAGGCGCCACCGGTACTGTGTGTAGGATCCACATGTGAGGTAGATTCGTACGAATTTTAGATAGATATTAGACTTGCAACGAATAGTATTTTCGGCAGTATACCGAATACCGAATATTCGGCGAGGCCCCTGACCGAATAGCCGAATATTAGGCAAAAGTATTCGGCTGGACGTGAATTAAATTATGTACCTGTTTTATGTACCAATGACTACTTAATAAATGATTATAAAAGAAATGAGAACCTTACCCTTCTAAATTTTGATTACCACAATAATTCAAATACATAGAATCCTCAATTTTTCCTATTCAGAAGATGATTATGTACCTGTGTTATGCACCAATGACTACTTAAATGATTATAACAGAAATGAAAATATGAATATATACGTAATCAATCGATTTTAATTTTTCATTTTACCAATTATTTCTCAATGACAAAATATATTATTTAAGTATTCGGTATTCGGCCGAATAATATGTAGATATTCGGTATTCGGCCGAATATAATAAAAGCAGCCGAATAGGCCGAATACCGAATATTCGTTGCAAGTCTAATAGATATACATTTTTTTAAATTAATTTCAAGTAAATGTACTAGTAGCATAAAGATTTGCAACTGACTCGATCCCTTGGCGTTACGTAGAGATGTAGCTTCGCTCAGCATTCTCTATCGTATATATCATGGAGAGCGCTCCGAGGAATTGTTCGGACTAATACCGGCCGCAACCTTCCGCCATCGTTCCACACGGCAAATTTTTATCCCCACCACTTGGATAATTGGTGCTCCACCCTTGTGCGCTTTTCAAGATACTTTTTGCCTGGCACTACCAATCTGTGCAACAAGTTATCGTCTGCGGTATTTCCGGACCGATACGACCTTCAAACCTTCAAGAAAAAAGCGTACTCCTTACTCAAAGGCTGGCAACGCGCTTGTGACTCCTGAGTATCAGGCGTTCATGGGCGGCGGTAGTCGCTTTCCATCAGGTGACCCGTCTGCTCGTTTGCCCCTATTCCATAAAAAAAAGTAATCAACCATTTTTTTGAAATAGTTACAATGAAAAAAAAGGAATATAGGTAAAACCGCACGAAGGGTTCAGATGTATATAGGCATATATACCCATACCTAACAGTGAGAATAGCGCCTTGAAACGAGAACCTACATCTCTTATCTTATATGTAAAATTCTCGTGTCACAATGTTAGTTACCATACTCCTCCGAAACGGCTGGACCGATTTTTATGAAATTTTGTGTACACATCGGTTAGATCTGAGAATCGGCCAACATCTATTTTTCATACCCCTAAATGACAAGGGGACCCACCCCTAAATATTTTTTTTCAATATTTCCTAGAAATAATGTATATGGCAAAACAACGTTTGCCGGGTCAGTTAGTTCTAAGTATATAAAGTAGGTATGTATGTGTAATAATGTGTTTAGTGTGTATATTTAGATTGCAACTCCCCATCTCATCCTTAATCTCCTTCTCCATCAAGTGGTTGTCTGGAAGAGATCGTTAATCGCAATAATTCTGCCAACTGTACAACAGCTTTTTTTTTCTTTGTTTCATTTATACAACTTTAGATCATAGGACTTGCTTAAAGCAATGTACCTATACAAACTGTATTATTATCATATTGTTACTCTACAATAAAGAGTTATCCATCTATCTACCTAGGTGTATTCCCACGACGAGCTTGCGATGAAACAAATCAGGTCGAACCTTGGCAAGATTGCCTGGAAATTGGAAAAGGGACGTAAGAATGGTGAAGATGATTACCTACAAGGCAAAAAACCGTCTATAGGTACAACCAGTATAAGGGTCACAATAGCGATAGATACCTTGATGGTCAAAGTTGTTACTTAAGCATTAGCGCAGAGTGTAGATACAAACCTTCTAATACGGTATTCTACTAATTTAATACCTGATTCTGTTCCTGATAAGTATAATTTCAGATCAAGTCTCAGTTATTGCAACAGTAATTGCGCCCTGAAGTCTATTTTTTATATATTACTTACAAGCTGGTGTACCCTGCTATACTTCGCAGCGGCACTTTTTTTTTTAAATGCATCTCACGCATTAGGAAAATATCCTGTGTCGCGGGGGACTTTACAAACATACAGGAAACGGACACAAAGAACACCCAGACTCAGAACAACAATTTGTGGATCACACAAAGTGTCGTCCCATCGGACCCACAGCACTCCGAGTAGTAGTAGGTAGTTGTGGTTGCATTGATACATCCCCGGATCTACGATTCAGAAGAAACTTTATCAAAGCGTCCCCTCTCCCCAGCGTTTGAAATAAATAACGTAAAAACCTCACAAATATATATCATCATCATCAACAGCCTTTACAAGTAAATTGCTGGACATAGGCCTCTTCTTAGAAACGAGGATTAGGCTGGCCAGACGGGTTGGTATAGGGTTTGTTTGAAAACTTAATTCTATTTGCAGTGCTGTTGTCCTGCGTAGTTTGCTTCCTTAGTCGCCTCTTACAACACCCACTGGATGAATATGGGTGATGACACTCTGTATTCTTAATCTGTCACCACACGGATTGGTTTGGTTGTCTGGATATCTCGCTCACTCGGTCAAATGAATCGAAAATGTGGAGGAACGGGTGTCCTGGCCGCGGCCCCACAAATATATATATTAATTGGCATTTTTCATGATTGGGACATAATAATAATATATTCCTCCCTCCCCACCGTAGAACCGGGACTGCATTGAGAAGAAATCAGGAATAAAACTGACGCAAAAATAGACAAAAACAGTATTTTAAGCGAACTCTATCGGTGCAGAAATTTTTGAATTTTTGAAGCCTATACACAAACAAAGTTATTTTATAAACATATATTTACATTCGATGAACACGTCGATTAGATTCGAGATAGTTCGACCAAACGCTGACCGTACATGTAAACCATAACTCATACAAGTAATGACATCTATTTACAAATGCGGTCGATTTTCACCTCAAACAGAAAAAGCTTTGGGTGTGCCATCTAGTGAGCAGTAGATTTGTTTTCTTACTAACTTGCTACACTCAAAAGATGTCTCTATTGTAACAATGGAAATTTGATAATTATATCCGCAAATAATAGCATACAAGTACTTTTGTAGTTCAGAAATAATATACTGAATAATAAACTTGTATGTTACCTGATGTCTTTTGATAGAATTTTCTCCGGAACTTTGAAAAAATAATATTGTAGTTTAATTTAACAAAAACATAGTTTATAATTATCCTGTGCAGTGAAGGGTCCTTAACTTAACTGTAAAATAAAATATATCCTACCATCACCGTTTTATTCTATATACCTGGACAAAAAGACTTCATAAAACTATTAAACTGACATTACGTCCCAATGAAAATAGTAGAAATTAAATTTATTCGACGGGCAAACCTGCGTGCGGCTGGCCACATTCTGCTGTCTCCGATTTCAGCAAGTATGTAAATGTCATTGTTATAATTTATAAAAAATTTACGTTATCAACGGTTCGTGATTATTTTTTTACGTTCGGCGGTTCGTTTTGTATCGGTAATCGTGACGTAAACGCGGCAATGTGTGCGCTGGAGGCTCATAACCTCCGCGCGGCGTGCGCTCGCTGCATCACGTAACAACGGGAGTGCCCTGATGGTGAGACGAACCGCAATGGTGCTGAGTACCGAGTGGGCGCAGGTCGAAGTCGTCGAGCTTACGAATGATGGCAACGGCCTCGGGTTCAATCTGGTGGGCGGACGGAGCACCGGTGTTGTGATAAAGTACGTGTTACCTGGAGGTGTCGCGGACAAGGACGGACGGCTGCAGAGCGGTGACCACGTCTTGCAGGTCGGCTCGGTCAACCTGCGAGGTTTCACTTCAGAGCAGGTCGCCGCAGTCCTGCGTCAGGCCGGACCAGCTGTACGTCTCTTAGTGGCCCGACCTGCTGATCCGGCTGCTGCATTACGTGCTCCATTACCAGGAACCGCTCTCGTACCTACAAAGATCCTTGCAGACCCTGAACTCCTAGACCGGCACCTCATCGAAACTGGCTATGGTGCTGTGTATGACCTGTCTCAGTGCTTCACAGATTACATTAACGGTCAAAACTGTGAGGAGGAACCAAACATTGTAGCAGCTGCTGTGAGCGTCATTGGTGATAACCCTCAGCAAATACCAGACCTGCCCATCATATCCGATGCTATATCACCAACCATCACAATTACAGTTCCAGTTGAGATACAGAACTCGCCTGAGATTGAGATTGTGCAAGTGGATTTAAACAAAAATGTGTATGGCTTGGGTATCACAGTTGCTGGTTATGTTTGTGAAAAAGAAGAATTATCTGGTATATTTGTAAAGAGTATTATCGAGGGCAGCAGTGCCGAACAGAGTGGTAAAATTAAAATAAATGATAGAATAATAGAAGTAGATGGAATATCTTTAGCACAGAAGACTAATCCTCAAGCAGTTGAGGTTTTAAGAAACACAGGAATAGCTGTGCACTTAGTGTTAGAACGATATTTGCGTGGTCCAAAGTATGAACATCTTCAGCTGGCGATATTCAATGAAGAGCGTCCATCGTCACCTTCACCTTCTACTACAACCCTGTCCTGGTTCCCAGTGCCTTCCCAAGCTGATAATAGTACAGTAGAAATTGAACCTGAGCCTGAATCTAACACAACAATTGATTCTGGTGTTTTAGAAGTGGGTGAAAAAGAAGATGAACCAACACAAGAAGAATTAGACAGAAGATTTGATGAAATATTGGCAGTTGATGTGGAAGATTTGAAGAAAAAGTGGCAGGACGAAGTTGGTCAAGACAAGGAGGTTATAGTTGCCGAAGTCCGAAAACTTGATGGTCTTGGCATCAGTCTTGAAGGTACAGTTGATGTAGAAGGAGGTCAAGAAGTTAGACCTCATCATTATATCAGATCTGTACTCCCAGAAGGTCCAGTGGGTCAAGAAGGTATATTATTGGCTGGAGATGAACTTTTAGAAGCAAATGAATACAGACTGCATGGTCTAACCCATACTGAAGTTGTAAATATTTTGAAAAATCTTCCTAACCGAGTTAGATTAGTTTGTGCCCGAAATAGCGTTGAGAGTGGTCCTCGACCGTTAATTAACCTAGCACCGGACAGAGAAGGATTTGAAGCTCGGAAGATCATATCTGGAAGCTTGAATAACTTGACCAATTTAGTCAAAGCACAGTCAGATACTTCCATCAACACCACAAGCACAGCAACACTTACAAATCATTCTGGACATTCAAAGAAATCAAGATCTTTAGAGTGTGTGTCAGGATTAGCAATGTGGCAGAGTAAAGAAGATATTGTGGAGCTATTAAAAGGTGATCAGGGATTAGGCTTCTCAATATTGGACTACCAGGACCCTGTTGATCCTCTAGGAACTGTGATAGTGGTCAGGAGTTTGGTACCAGGTGGAGTAGCAGAGAAGCATGGTGATATATCACCGGGAGATAGAGTAATGTCAGTGAATGGAGTCAGTATTAAAAATGCGACACTAGATCAGGCTGTGCAAGCTTTGAAAGGAGCGCCAAGGGGTAAAGTGAGGCTTGGTGTGGCGAGGCCTCTGCCCCCTCACGATTCGAAGTCGAAAAGCAGCACAAATCTGAATACGAAGACAAGTTAATTGTCAATTGTGATTAATAACTGTACTAGTCATCTTGAGTCATATCTGTATGTTACGTGCACATATCGAGGAGTGTTTGGGACGAAAGAGGGATGGTGACTTTTTATTTTATATGTGAATACTTATACACAGTTTATATTGTTAATGTTTTGATTTGATTAATTTTTAAATAGGTGTACATTTCAAAGTATTGTCGAAACATATGTGGTATATAACACTAGATCACACCAAGGTTTTTTTTTAAATCAGAAAGTTGAAAAGGGTTTTTTTTTATAAAACTTTTAATTAAAACTCAGTTTCTTAGATATCAAACAAATTATTTATTAAAAAACATTTACAGGCAATTTGCTTTAAGAAAAATTAACGCATTATTGATTTATTACTAATTTCCTGACAGGAATATGTTACTGGGATGCACTGATGATTTTTTTTTTCTAAATTCAAAAAAGGCGAAAGAGGATTTGCAATAGATTGTATTATTTTATATTTAGCTCAGCACTTTTATTATAAATCGATTTGCAAAAAGCCTTTCTTATTTAGAAGAAATATCACCGGGAATGGGTTATACGGTTAAACGGTTTATTACAGTGTGTTGAACGCGAATTGAAGTCTGTCTGAATACTATTTTAAAAGTGAATTATTTAAAATACAATTTTTTGAAAGTTTGCTTCCATTAATACTTATTTGATAACATCTTTTATTAGTTTGCCATGACATAGAAGCCCTCTATACAGTTTGTAAGAAAGTTTTATAGAAATAAGAAGAAAATAATGGAGACCGCGCTCAAAAATCGTATGATACAATAATAATTAACGCTTTACTAGTAATAGTATTACATAAGTCACTCATGTCATTTTAAATGCACATTCTATGAGTAATAAAGTGGATACCCTTGTCATTTATGTAAAAAAATAACTTATTTAATGCAAAAATATATATATATTTATATATATTTCAATACTCCGAACTGTAAAATACTTTTACATCACAAAAACTTTTACATCACAAACACTGCCTTTTTATGTGTTTAAATTAAATTACTTTCTTTGTCTTGTTTCATATAGGTAAAATATTTTAGGCTATCTGGAATATTTTTTTGTTTGAAACTGCTATGTTAAGACTTCTATAGACTTATTATTTATCCATACTAATATTATAAATGCGAAAATGTGTCTGTTACCTCTTCACGCTTAAGCCGCTGAATTGATTTAGATGAAATTTGGTATGGAGATAGTCAGAGTCCGGGGAAAGTACATAGGGGTAGTTTTTATCCCAGAAATCATACCATAAGGGGGTGGAAGTGTGATTCTTGAAAGTGATATGCTAGTTTTTACCGACATTTACGCGGAGCCGCCGGCAAAAGCTAGTTATTCATATTTAAAAAAATGTGTCTAATGCTTGGATTGCTTTTATAATAATTGTTGATTTATTGATTCTGGAGTGACGTTTTCCATGCTTTGTTTGTTTTTTTTTTTTGAGATTTAAGACGATTAAGGTTAAAAATTAACTTAAAAAATCATCAATTACTTAAATCTACTTAAAAGAAAATAAGCATGCAGTGTTGTGATGCAAAAATTTTCATGACAATTATAATTATTTAACAAGTTCCAAATTTAAAAAAATATTTATTACTAATGCTACCATTTTTGCCATTGTTTTTTTTTTATATAAATCTCAAGGTATCAATTGTAGACAAAATTTTACACAAAAAGAAATGTTTCCCGAGACATTTTTTTTTATTCTAGATTGTAATATCACAAATCTTGTAGATATTTACCTAAGGGAGCAATTATATAGAGTAAACTTAATGTAAATACATGTATTTGAATCTCACTACACTTTGAATAGAGTTATTATACATACCTATATATAGATATGTATATATATACATTATTATATATATAATTGAGGATTTGATTGTGAATTGAGTTCAGGCCTTTTATATTTTTTGTAAAAAAAAAGTATTATTTTGTAAGTATTGTGAATAGTTTGCGTTATCTAAAAGCGTAGCTTAAATATGACGTAGGTATTTGTAAAAAAATATTTGGAATTGTGAGCTCTAAAGAAGTATTTGGTCTGAAAATTTTGTTTGCACGACTTTGGAGACTGAAAGAACGCTGAAAAAATAGGTACAGGTGTTCAGGATCATACAGAAAGATGTTATGATCATATTTTAGAGCTGTATAGAAAAACCCGTAACTTAAAAGCTAACAGTTTTCACGATATTTAATACAGAAATCTTATTTTGTAAACTTTAAATTTCAAAATTAATGAATAAAGCTAATATTTGGGATAAAAGACGTCTGACATGATTGAAAACAGGTTCATTAAAATTGAACCGAATATTCATAATTAACATTAGAAAAAGCATTGTTTTCAGAGGCAAAAACTTTTTAAGTTATATCTAAAATTATGATGCTATTTATCGCTTCTAAAATTTAACCAAACCTGTCTGTTACAACCTATATATAGTCGATCAGACTCCAAAACTTGCAAACTATTAAAGAAATAGAAAACATGATATATTATACTTATAAGCTTAGCTGTAGACATAATCTTGACCAAAAATAATCTTATACTAATATTCAACTTCTTTTTGTAACAAAGACGGTATGTGGAAATTCAAATCAATAATAAACATGCAAAAAAGCTATCACGAGACCTGATACATATTTTTAAGCAATTTACTTTTGCAAAGTAAAATTTTTACTCTCCATAAAATATGGTACCTCTTTTTTATAAAGTGTATAGGTTCTGCTAACGCATGTCAGAATGCCGTCTAGTTTCGGATCATATGGGGTTTTAACTTCAAGGGTTGAAGCAACTTTCCCCGCTAAACATAGACGAACTACGAAACTACGTAAGTGGAACTGTATTTCCTTTATAAAAGTGACGAATTTTTTTTGTTTCAATATTACATTACAGATTGCAAAAGTAGATTTTTATACTATATGGTACTTCGGTCATTGTGAAAGTTTCTGGATTTTGATACATAACATCAGATATTACAGACTTTGATACTTTATTGTTTTTATATAATATATATACCCTCACAATTTGAAAATTTTTCATTAGCTAGAACCATTGTAAAAGCAGTAGGACCAGTCTTCCTCAAAGACGTCTTCAATGGCTTCCTGGTACGCGTTCACGCCCGATCCAGGGCTCGTGCACCCTTTTTTTTTTAGGAAAAAACATCCAAGTTCTTGGCTTCCGTAAATATTGATTATTATTAGTGGGTAGTTCGAGAAACTTTCAGTATGACATATAGCACGAATAACAAGGACACCGTAGTTTTGTAATGAGAGATTCGAACTATAGCCAGTGCTATTTCAAGAAAAAAATGTTTTTAACGTGTTTAGAAGCCCTAACCAGTACGCATTTATGTTTGTACAACTGCACTAATATTAGACGCGCACATGTGATAAAAAAAAGTATTTATAATCAGTAATTTTACCGTACATTGTTTCGTCATAAGCCAGTTTGTAATGATAAACTCAGCTTTAAGTAAAACATAATTTTTGTTAAGGACTTAAAGACTAAATGTTCAGTATACAGTGTACTTATAAAACAGAATTTTATCAACTATTTAAACTGTTCGATATTGTTATTTTGTTTATTACGAGAACACAAGCTACTTCCATCTAAAAATATGTTTTTTTTTTCTACACTACACCTTCAGTATTCAGTATATAGTATTCAGTTCAACTATAAGTGAGCGGGTTAATCTTATATATAAAATTCTAGTGTCACAATGTTCGTTCCCGTACTCCTCCGAAACGGCTTGACCGATTCTCATGAAATTTTGTGTGCACATCGGGTAGGTCTGAGAATCGGCCAACATCTATTTTTCATACCCCTAAATGGTAAGGGTGACCCATCCCTAAATTTTTTTTTAGGCAAAGCAACGTTTGCCGGGTCAGCTAGTTTAAGCTAAAAATTTGATGCTGTGCAGTTTGTGATGTACATAATCTGTAATACTAGAATTATTCGATAGTTCAAATCAAATTCTGTAAAAATCAAAATTCAAATAAACCAATTTTATAGGCATTTTTATCAGTGGTACCAGTTACTCAAAACAATTCAGTTGTCATGTTCTTAGATGTCTGTTCCAATTTCATAGACTTTCACCCGACTGTCAAGGAAGGGTTATGTTTTTCGCGCGTAACTTGTATGTACGTATGCATGTAATATTCTTTATTACCTCATATCTAGCAAATCTCTGCACGGTTTTGTTTAATTAACATATCGTTAGATTCGTCTTGGTAACCCAAGTGTTCTTAAATAGGTGACGAGAAAATAGTAATATATCTCACATAGGCCGTCTGATCCCAAAGTAGGCAGAGCCTGTACTATGGTACCCAGACTGCTGATAAAAATACTTATATATTTTTAAATACATACATATTACAGACAAATTACACCCAGACACAGAACAAATGACCGTGCTCCTCACACAATATTTGTCCTGGGTGGGAATCGAACCCACAACCTCTGGCTTAGCAGTCAGGGTCACTAACCACTAGACCAACAGGCCCTTCAAAAAAAGCCAACAAGACTGAGAGAAGCTATAACTTAAAGTAAAAAAAGGGCTGTGTATAATGGGCTCATTATGAGGATTTTAAAGTGGTATATCATGGCCATATATTTAGTGCATTACTTTTAAATTGTCCTTTTGCAGTCGGGTTTTTGATTTTTTAAATTATTTCAATGTACGTTTGTTACAAGTACCTACTTGATAGTTTGCTCATCAACGCAGATAAAACAGAAATGCCATAGGCTAAATATAAGCCAATATGCGCCATAGCATCCAGTCCAGTCTTCTCCGTTCGAGATAACTTTTTTTTTTGTTTTTAAATTAGGAATCCCGCATAAGGAATATATCCTGTGTCGCGGGGGACTTTACAAACATACATGAAACGGACACAAAGAACACCCAGACTCAAAACAACAATTTATGGATCACACAAAGTGTCGTCCCATGTGGGGATCGGACCCACAACACTCGGCGTAGTAGTAAGCGGCGTGCCGACCGCTTAAACCACTACGCCATCCGTGCAGTCAGACTTCTCCATTATGATACAGTAAGAATAAACGTCAGTGTAGTGACGGATTAAGAATACGGAATGTCACTACCCCAATCCCGTAGGTGTCGTAAGAGCCGACTACAGAAACAATACAAAACAACGCAGGACACCAGCACTGCAAAATGAAGGAAAACTTGACACAAACCCTATACCAACCCGTCTGCCCAGTGTGGTATAGTAGGCCAAAACCTCGTTTCTAAGGAGGGGCCTATGTCCAGCAGTGGACTATTAAAGGCTGTTGACGTAATGATGATGATGTGAAGAATAAAAGACAATAAGACCATATCATACGGATGCTTGTTACAATGAAGTAGCGATTTACGAGGTCGTTTCAGGCTGAATTTAAGAGACAATCTGCTTTAAATGAAACGGGTTGTTTACAATTTTATTGCAAGTCATAAAGCGATCAGCACTTCTCTAGTTAGTTCCGTTGCCCACATGCGATGAAAGTTTGTGAGATCAACGAAATATCTCCCGAGTGTGTAATAAAAGTTTGTATACATTGTTTAAATGTTTCTGGTGTAGGTATATCTCGACACAGTAGCTTTTAATTCGGTCGGTTTATTTTTTATGTTTGTTACTTCAGAATTCTGTTTTTAAGGAACCAATTTGGAAAATAGTTTATTAATATTCCCACGGTGAAGGCCCATTAAAGTCGGTGTTACTTTTTAAAAGTTAATTCATCAACAGCCTGTACTAGTCCACTGCTGGACATAGGCCTCTCCTTAGGAAGGAAGATATTGTACTATACCACGCTGGCCAGACGGGGTGGTATAGAGTTTGTTTCAAGTTTTCCTTCTCTCTGCAGTGCTGTTGTCACCCACGGGATGAATAGGGTGGTGACACTCTGTACTCTTAATCCGTCACCACACGGACGTTATTTATTAACTTTAAAAAGAAAACTTACAGAATATAGTACATCACAGTCTGCTTCGACTTCTAAAGAAATGGGTACCTACTGTAGCTAATCTTCTGTACTACAATATAAGCATTTATAAGTTTACCAAAGAAAAAGTTATACATTGGTTATTGTTCGTTTATGTATGCACAAGATCAAAACCGCATTTTAATAATACGAGGGTTTACATAATATATTTTTTAAACATGTTGGCTATTTATTTATTTAAAAAAGTAATGGCGCGATTCATAGTACCTAACAGAAGACAAGTATTTTTTTTAGTTGACTCGTGTGCACACATAAATGATTTTTCTGTTATACCTACATAAAAAAATCTGTCAATTTAACATACTACATATTTAGTAAATAGTACCAGCATAAACTTTTTACAAAAATATCATCAAACTTAACTATCATGAAATGATTAACGAATTTAAATACGCGCTTTTGAACAGATAAAAACATAACATATGCAACTACCCACTTAATTTCGAGGGTATCAAATACTTGTTCGAAATTTAAAAAGAAAAAGTTAGGGAACTTTCGGGAATAAACCATAGGCAGAGCATATCGTTAGGCACATTTTTCTATTTCGATTTATCAAATCTGACTGTGGCTATTTTAAGACTCGTTCAATGGTTCTGTTTCGTGTACAGAACGGAGTGTTTATTACCACTATTGATAGGAATTCATAATAGTTCAGTTGAAGGAACTTAATCTTGTTTTTATTACTTTAGCTTAGAATCTTACGTAATTTTCACGATTATGAGAAGGTTTTTGATTTCCCTCTATATGTAAGTAGTTATGAAATTTTGTTTCGTAAGTAAAGGGAGAATCAAAGACTTTGGGTCTTTGCAGATTCGCTTCGGAGCCCAGTTGTTCAGGAATATGTAGACACAGAGTAGTCATAATATTTATGGTATAAACTTCTTCTTCTTAACCAAAAGACATCCACTGCTGGACATAGGCCTCTCCCAATTTTCGCCATAACACACATACACGGGTACTTCGTTGGCGGAATTTGGTTGTTTATATTTGACTTCTGCCTGCTTCATTGTAAAGTTTTTAAATCGACAGCAAAGAAATACTCCGAACTGAAAGTTTTGGGTATTCCAATTTTAAATCTTAGACATCCAATAAATTAAATCTTCCAGAAATTATAAAGGATTCCGTTTATCTTTCGTGTAGATTTACTTCGTTTGTTTTTGAAAGCAAAAATTACACAAATTCGTTTTAAAATCTTTTCCGTGTAGTAAACACGAACACGAAACCTCCACATGTCGTTTAAACGCAGGCATTGCGTGTTTCAACCATTGTAAATGTAAATTACAATAAAAGTAACATTTAAGGTGTAACCTCAGAATGGCGTAGAGCGTGTTGCCGTATGTCGTGACGGACGGGGTTCGCGTTAAGCCTCCTTAATTTATCTACCATCAATAAAAAAAAGAAAGGTCAGGTCGAGCCGATATGCGTTTAGAATCAATGTAGACGTCAAACGAATTAAAACTAATAATAATAACATGACTCATTCTTATTTTTTCATGCTCAAATTTTTTTTGGCTCTACCACAGCTCTACATAAAATCCTTTGACAGTTTGTCTTTCAAATACATGACATTGGCGAAATTGTGGTTACAGTCTACCACAAAGCCATTAACCAAAAGTTGAAGTTGAATAACACGACATATCTGAGATATGTCATGTCAGGCTCTGCCTTGTTTGCCGTGTGTGAGATATAATATCTCACACACGGCAAACTAGGCACAGACTGTGATATGGGGGAACCAGATTGGTGATAAACATACTTACATATTTCTCAATACGTAACTATATATTGTAGATAAATTACATCCAGACACAGAACTCAACTCTCCAGGTAATAATAATATTACAATACATTGTTTTCCGTAAAAAGATTATGAAAATACTTTTTTGATGCGTTTGAAAAGTTCTTGTAATGAAATGAAATGATATTTATTTCTGTAATTAAATCTTTTCAGATATTTTTACAAGTACGAAGCTTGTTAGCTTTATATTAAGCGTTAACTTTGATAGTTTTCAACGCCCCGCTCCACGCCCAGCTCAGCTCTGTAGCGACCTTACACCTCTACAAACACCATAAGCATATCGCATTCACACTCACATAAAACACGGAACTTATAGAACGGTCGATACTGAAATAAAATATACATACTTAAGTTCAGATTGACGATTCCCAAATTGTTGGCAGTGAATTTGTTAAAACATTGTTTACTTTTCTGTAATCAGAAATTTATGGAAGTAGAAAACCGGTGTTAAGCAACTTTCTTTCCGTGCTTTTCACCGAGTGAGTGAAATTACCGGAGGCCTAAGCCCTCCTCACAATCTTAAGGTGGAATGGCGGCAACAGCACATCTGCCTTGTCTCTTAGTGGCATGTGTCCATGGCTGGCGGACATCACCGTCAGGTGAGCGGTCTTCTCGGGTGTCCCCTATCATCTTCATCAACAGCCTTCAATAGTCCACTACTGGACATAGGCCTCTCCTTAGAAAGGAGGTTTTGGCTTACTATACCATGCTAGCCAGACGGGTTAGTATAGGATTGCCTCCTATACCTAACATAAAAGATGAAGAATGTTCCTATCTAATGAGACGCTTTTTCGGCCTCGTATTTAAGAAGTTCAATGTAGTTAAGTAAGGAAAAATTAGAGAAAAAACAATTTTAAGAAGTCTTTGATTAATAATTTACCTCGATAATATACTTTGATTATCCAATTGATTTGAGTTCCAAAATTGATGATTTTAAAATCATTTAATTTAATATCTCCTGCTAGCTACCTACTTCAAACGTTTAACTAGTTGTGTTCATAGAGGCACATAGGTAAATATAAACACTCATTGATGTTACGAATAGTACTTATCTTGTTTTATTCCAATGATAATTGTAATATAAGATTTATTTTAGAATAGTAAACAATTACTTCACATGCATTTCATTGTTAAAACTATCTCTGTTGACAACTTTGTAAAAAAATAATGGTTGTATATAGACATATGCAAAATATATGTCTCCCATTTTGCCACGTTCTTCACTCTAACAACCATCGGACATGTTCTGCTATAGGTACTTGGCTTTCTTCAAAGACTTTGCATTGTGCATTCAACCCTATCTTATCGCTTATCAATCCATCTCTCGGAGCAAAGATTCATGCTCTACTTTTTTCTCCACGGTCGCCAGACCCTCGGGAAGAATTTCTTTTAAATGACTTGTCAATTTTTACATCAGTTACTTTAAATCTGCCGCAAAATTCTTCACCTTGAACAAACGTAAGCTTTTTATAATATTTTACAAGGCCAAAAGCGGTCATATATCCTGTTGCCATATCTATTTTAACGTGATACCAAATACTTTCAAAATGAGTCCTAATTACTTTATGAAGTTCGAACAACCTAAAATCAATTAAAGCGATCAAAGTCCTCAAGCCAAACTGATGGCAATGATTTTCATCAGTTAATAATGATTGTATCACATATTGTGTTGAGACCAGGTTAAGCAAAGACAAGCACACATGGTGACACAGTCGACTACTTAAAAATTCTCGAACTTAGGTAAAGACTTCCAGAATGGCTTTATCTTCTTGCCATTTAGATTTTGGTGCACCAAGTGGCAAGGGTCAAAAGAGGTAGCAAAGATTCAGCTTTCTTCCGACACAAGTCATATGATTTGTCGTATGCATACGTTAACATCTCACCACGATTCTTCCGTTTAGCCAGACTGACATAGATGTATAATTTACTCAACCAGGAATATGTGATGACAACTTGTATCCGTTTCCTTTCTCTGACACGCTTTTGTCATGTTCTTGCTAACTTCTTAATGTCTCTAGTTTCTATTTTTTTTTTATTTCAAAGTATATTATTGTACGCACGGACTAATAAAGTGTCCCTATTCGTGCCTATTAGTTTGTAGTGCCGAATTAGTAGGCTCTAGGATCCTAAGTCCTAAGGCCCTATTAATTCCTTTTGTATTTCTGTGGCGTACAGGGGTACTAGTATATTTCTTGCCTTACGATGTATTAATTCTATACTTAATATTGTAATAAACAGTAAATTACTATCCGCTAAACGTAGCCTGCGTTTGTCCTCGTAGATGCAAAAAAGCTCTAATGAATCGAAGCTTTCATAAATTTCTATTAAATCCTTAGTAAACTTCAAGTTAAATTGAATCGTTATCTCAAATCTTACGACATATTTTGGGATTGCGGGTAAAAGATAGCTCAAGTAGGCTTTGGACAATTATATTAAAAAGTTTCTTTATTCTTCGTGCAAAAATTCGTTCAGAAATACGATGGATAATACCAGTTGTAGGCGCAATAGGTGCTTATAGAATCCAGAACTGTATTAAACTGTACTTTTCTTTAGATAATACATATACAATATTGTATTTAAATTTTGTATCTGTTCAAAAGTTCCATTTTACCACAATAGGTACGTATAGTGACGTAGTAGATCTCTTTTGTCACATATTCCTTGGTACTTAACAACATATACAGTGAAATTAGTCTCGAGAAATTTTTGCATATGTAGTGGTGTGTATATTACTCAGATCTTAGAGCGCGTTTCCACTATATCGTTCTGGCCTATACAAAAATGTTTCGATATCCCAACATTACTATTTAATTTTATACTTATCCCTAGCAACATTCTGATTTTTGTTTTCAATAAAAACAAGTTTTTATTTTAAAGAAAAAGGTTTTGACTTTATAAAAAAAAGGTGTGTGTGCGATTCACACACGATAGAAGTGAAACTTCAAAGAGGAGAGACCGATATTTAACATTTTTTTTTTTTTCCTTTCATCTAGGTTTTTAAAACTCCGGGGGGTCTACGGGGGGGTCAAAATTTTTGTTATTTTTGGCATAGGACGCACCGTTTCCGAGATATTTCAATCTAAAGCAAAAAATCGTCACTTGATAGTGGAAAGTGGAAACACGCACAACCATACACTACTACAAACGCAAAAATTTCTCCAAGCTAATTTACCTGTAAACAAATAGTTAGTTACGCACATGTATTATATATATATATATATATTATATGAGTCACGTTTAGCCTTACACACAAATGTAATATAAAGATGATAAATATAAGCATGAGAATTATTATGGTTTTTTTATTTGTCATAACCTCATTTGTTAGTGATCTCTGTTTCTTCGTTCTTTTAACTGACAGCATATTCTTGAGAACACGAGAATATTTATAAGAATTACACTCAGTGTTTTTGTAGCACCTATTGTGCCATGTGATTATTTTAAATAATATAGTATTTGTTGTACAATACCGATACATAATAGGTATTTCTGAATGAGAACAATGACACAGCAGTATTAAGCATTAAAAAGAATTAAGTGAACCCAATTTTACAGAGAGTATCTAAAATCGCATGATCTAACTTGATGTTTTAATCTCGGACTATTCAAGATCCCCCCACTCACTTTTCTAGTTTACCGATTTCCAGATCGAAATTTGACGTCCGAATTTTAAAAGTTCGGACATAATAATTAAACAGTGACATAAATTACATATAGTCACATTTTATACAACGACGCTGGAAGCAATTTGAATAGCACCGATCGATTGTAGCGTTAGATTTTGGTGTTTACATTTATTAATATTACTAAAGCTTGCAAAAAGCAAAAACTATTTAACAAAGAAAAGGAACTATCGGAAAGGATTTAGGAGCCTTCTTTATCGTAAGGAAATTTGCTTTATTAGGACGAGTTTCACATAGCACTGTAATCCATTCGCGTTAAGGAAATAGTGACGCATCGATCAAGCCCCGCCCCTAACTAATCAGATTCCAAGAAGTTACCGTTTCGTACGAAATCTTGGAACCTGATTGGTCAGGGCTTGATCGATGCGTCACTATTTTCTTAACGCGAGTGGACTATAGAAGTTTTTAGTTTTTATTTATCCGAAGCCTATTATTTGCCGCAATCTCAAAATTAAATTGCTCTGAATATTTTTTATAAAGATGATTTCTCTGATTATTTGATTATCACAATCCAATGCTGTTTTTACGATTAACTTTTTAACTTTATATTAAACATAAAATGATACCACAACCTGTTTTCTATCTGTGAATTGCAAAAGAGTGGCCATGAGTTTGTTTGCCCTTTCTTCTCATAAGGCTCAACCCCTTGGAAAGAGGCGGTTGTAGATCGGCACAGGCATATCATAGATGGTTTATTTACTTATTTATTTAGTATAGGACACAGATGCGTTATATAGGCTGTGACGTCGGCAACTGCATTTTCTTATAGATAGTTTTTTGGGTTGCACCAATACCTCACTCACTCTGTGAAAAAACAACGAAAGAATTACTTAACACCGGTTTTCTGTGAGGCCCTGGTATCACTCCGATATTGTCCGAAAATGAGTAAATAAAGAGGCGGCCTCGCGACCTAAGTAAAAAAATATGCTTAAGTAAAAATACTCACACCATATCTATGGCGAGCGCTTCCCCTCTTTCTGTTACACCCATCACACAACAGATCGCAAGAAAGCGAGGGGGAAAATTACAAATCAATAACCTATTTAATTTAAATTGCAGGAATCGTAGAATGTGGGTCCCTAATGCGCCGACTGCGATAATTTCTGCTCTCGCCGCCTCAGCCGGCGCTGTCTGTATATTCAAGTAAGTACCGCCCTAACTTGAAATATTACGTTGGTTTGCGTACGCTATAAAACTCAAAATCTATTTTGTGCTGCATTTTTCATTAATGCTACCACAATGTGCCACAGTGAATCTTGGCAGGGTACAGCTAGTCAAGGCGGTCTTAGACCATGCCGGGGCCCCCACCCAGAAACTTGGGGCCCTGTTGGTCAGTAAAACGAAATAAACAGGTACATATCAATACATACCGGTATAACAGATATAAATACTAGTATTAATTAGATAAGTAGGCTTGAAGGAATGGTTTTAATCTGTTATGATTTCGTTCGAAATAACTGTAGTGCAAAATCTTCTGTTATATTTTCTATTACATCACCACGGGGGCCCCGAAAAGCGAATACATAGAGATGTATTCGCTTTTCGGGGGCCCTGGGTACGGGCCCCGTGTGCCCTTATGGTAAAAACGGTACTGCAATTGGTTCAATTTAAGAATAACATTACTATTTCACCTCTTTCTTTATCCTTTGGCAGAAACCTGTCTAGTACTGTCTGCTCACAATGTCAGTTATCTATTTATAGGTAACACGCCATAGCATAAATTTCTAATAAGGAGTAAAGGTGAACGACTGAGGTTTAACTCGAACTGTCTATCATCTATGTGATATTCCAATACAATATTATTATATGGTACACAATACAGTTTACAATATTTATCCGACTGTACCGACCTGACCGAGTTATGTTTTTCTAGTGAATGTATATTATTTGGAACGGTCTGTACTCTAGACGGATTATGACTTGGGAGATGTCATTACATTCGTCTTAATTGTAACACTGACTTTGGATATATGATAATTATAAAAAATAAATTTATAGATGACTGCAAAGAGAAGGAAAACTTGACACAAACCCAACCTGTCGGGCCAGTGTGGTATTAGTAGACCAAAAGTAGGGATATTGCTTATATAGCTGAATTAGGAAATGTGAACAATAGATCAAAGGTCAGGATCGCATATTTGTAACTCTACCATTTATTTTGAAACTCATTATTTATTTACAGCGATAAAATGTAGGTCATCCACTCACCCAAGGTTGACTACAACTATTTAATCAATATTATTAGAGAAGTCATTTTCAAATTACGAATTACTGGTCAATCTTGTCAATCTTTGCGCAAGATGGCAGGCAGGAGCTGGATGCGAGAAGCCCAAAATCGATCTAAGTGGCGTGCAATGGGAGAGGCCTATGTCCAGCAGTGGACTGCGATAGGCTGATGATGATGATGATGATGAGGTCAATCTCTTGTCAATTTCTAATGGTATCCCAGTCAATCCTTCTCCACGGCCAGTGGCGGCCTTAGCCAGTGCGAGGCCCTGGGCGAGTAGGACATTGCGAGGCCCTTTGTGGAATTAATTTTAATGATGATAATTGAAACAATGCAGCGTAACACATTTCACTCCGGCCCACCGCCGCCATATAAGGTTGGCCGCACATGGAATACTGTTCTTATCTCTATTCAGGGGCCCCTCAGTACCAGTTTCTTCCTCTGGAGCGCATCCAACGAAGAGCGAATCAAATAGTCGACAGCCCATACATCTCCGACCGGCTCGATCCCCTGGCGTTACGTAGAGATGTGGCTTCACTCTGCATGCATTCTTGATCAACTTTCGCAACTTTCCTCCATTGTGTCACACGGAAAAAATCTCATCCCCTTCACCTGGATAGTTGGCGCTTCACTACTGTTCGTTTTTCGAGACACTTATCGTCTGCGGTATTTCCGGACCGATGCGACCTTCAAGAAAAGAGCGTACTCCTTCCTAGAATACCGTCAACGCGTTTGTAACTCCTGATTTTACAGACGTTCATGGGCGGTGTTGGTCACTTTCCATCAGGTGACCCGTCTGCTCGTCTGTCCCCTCTATCATAAAAAAATATATATAAGCCGACCACACATGACACTGTCAGCCTGTCGATATGACAGCAAGACAGGCGAAATGAAGCATGGGAAATCCCTTGATTAACAGATTAACACCATGATAACTATAACGTAAGAGAGCGCGTGTCTGTCTATTTTCATAGCTCATAAAAAGATCGACCAAATCTGATTATTTTTTTCTATTTGGAAATTGGCTTAATTTATTCTTATATAGGGATATTTCATCACGGGCACGCCGTTATTGAACACCGTGGTTCCCACACACGAGGGGGACATCTACAAGCCGTAGATGGCCCTGGGTCCGTCGGGGTACCAGGGATTTCCTTCCTAGGGTTCATCCGGTTCCCCGGCTCCTGGTACCCGAGACGGAGAGCGGTTTTTGGTCGATTCGAGTCCGACGTAACCACCGGTGGGTGGTATCAAATAGGGATATTTCATAAAACCTGGTTAGACATTCGAAGATCGCCAGTTATTTCTTATCGTTAGAGACTATTGCTTGTTTAAATTTTTTTAGCGATTTGCCCCTTAGTCCTAAAATGTATCCATATCTGTTATTGAATGTCTATTCTCGTGTTCCAGAGACTTTTATGGTGGATCTCCTTACGACCGTGATGTGAAAGCCGAAGGGAAAACTGTGATAGTGACAGGAGCTAACAGCGGTATCGGCAAGGAGGTTGCCTGGGACTTCGCTGTGAGAGGCGCCAAGGTAGACAAAAAAATTGGATCTTGTTTAATTAACAATAAAAATAACCTTACACAACTCACACACGGCTGACTGATCCCAGACTAGGCAGAGCCTGTGCTATGGTAACTGCTGATAAATATAAATGTGAAAGTGAGTGAGTGAACCACTAAACCTATTTCAAAATATCAATGCAAAGCTACATTATGAGCAAATAACATTTTTACCGCCATAACCTACTTTAATAAATGCGAACATTTTCACTCAATCAAGGTCTTTTTTGTTTTTTTTTTTGCAATAATTAGCTCGTCACTGATGATGATGAAATAAAGCATTTTAAAGTTCTGATGATTAACTTTCAAGAATTAACTAACCTAACTACCTGGTTTCGGAGCAACATTTTTTTGTCACCTTGTCACATAAAATATTCCAGGTGTTCATGGCGTGTCGCAACATGGAGAAGTGCGAAGCAGTGCGCAAGGACATCGTTCTGGAGTCCCGCAACAAGTTTGTGTACTGCCGCCCATGTGACCTCAGCAGTTTAGAGTCCATCAGGAAGTTTGTTGAGAGGTAAGGTTATCAGGAAGTTAGGATTGACGCCTTGATGATAGACGAGAATAAATACAGCGAATTTAGATCTACAATGTGTGGTGTATACCACTATGTGTGGTATACACATGTGTGTGTGGTGTTAACATTTATAATGTCAGTTCCGGTTCTGGAACTTCGTAATATGCCTGATTCCTGTTAGGTACTAGTGTTTTGGCCAAAGGTCGTGGGTTCATTTCCACACAGGACAGATAATTGTGTGATGAGTACGATCATTTGTTTTGTGTCTGGGTGTAAGTTATCTGTAATATGTATGTATTTAGAAATATAAAACTATGTTTTTGTTTCACCGTCGCGGTTACATAGTTTCTGCCTAATTTGAGATCAGATGGCCTTGGGCGAGATGTGTCATTATTACTTATATTTAAAAAAATTCAAGGTTCAAATCTGAAGAGCCTCATCTAGACGTGCTGGTGAACAATGCAGGCGTTATGGAACCTCCCGCCAGCGTCACCAAGGACGGCTTCGAGACACAATTCGGAGTTAACCATTTAGGACACTTCCTGCTCACTGGATTGTTACTGGACACATTAAAGGTATATTTATTTAAAACTAGCTTTAACCTGCGTTTTGTGTCGATGACATACCGTTTTATATGTTTTGTACTCTACAAATGTGGGAGAGCCATGTTATGGCACGGATTGGCTAGCTCGACTGGAGTGACCGCACGGCCTCACAGCAAAACCGGTGTTAAACAATTATTTTGTTGCTTTATACTGAGTGAGTGAGGTTACCGAAGTTCAACGACCCCGGCCCCTCTTCTTATTCTGGGGGGAGGGGTCGCAAATAGTGTACAGATGCCGTAGTGTTTTACTACGTTGAGTGTTGCGGGTACGAGACCCACATGGGACGACACTTTGTGTGGTCCACAAATTGTCGTTCTGAGTCTAGGTGTTCTTTGTGTCCATTTCATGTATATTTGTAATCTCCCCCGTGACGCAGGATATATTCCTAGTGCGGGAGATTTCTTTAAAAACAAAGTGGTAGCAGGGCCTCACAGAAAACCGGTGTTGGTAATTCTTTTGTTGCTATTCACCGATTAAGTGATGTTACCGGAGTCCAAACTCCACAGGTTCTTCGTACTTCTAACCAGAAATTTCGCTTACCATTAATGACCAAATATACCTGTACATATATAAGTAGTTTTACACTCAATTTGTTTTTGTTTAAAATGGAGGGAATTTAGTAACTAAGCTTTTTTTCAATCGTTCCTTCCAATAATTTTAAAATATAATGCCTGTTTCCATTCCCAGGAGTCAGCTCCCAGCCGCATAATTATAGTAACAGGTTCAGCTCACCACCGCGGCCGCATACATAAAGAGGACCTCAACATGACCAAGAAGTACGACGCATCCGCTGCCTACGCCCAAAGCAAGTTGGCCAACATGCTGTTTGCCAGGGAGCTGGGTAAAAGGTTGCTTGGTAAGTACTTGAAAGGTTACATGATTGAGAACTAAAAGAAGCGTGCCTTACAGTATCGTGATGTGTAAGATTTGACAGCTCACTCCAATTTTGACTGCCTCGGCGGTGCAGTTTCTGCGGCGATTTTTCCGGGTAGGACCAAATGTTTGTATGATCTGCAAATATATGTTTCGGAGTTTGTGTATTTTCTATGTATATTATAAATTTATTTCCAAAATATAGTATATAAGTATTCTATCAGTCAATCTAGCTTTCTTAGTATGCTCTGCTTAGTTTGAAACCAGTGTGCGTTTTGTGTCAGATATCCGAAATATTATTATTAATTACAATTTTAGTACCGCCCGCGCTTATTGGTCAAATCGCTTTTTGATTTGACCAATGAGCGCGCTGCCCCCGCTTCCTGTTACACAATTGAAATTAAACCTCTGACCGAAGTCTACCGATATTATTTGTTAGAGACAACGGCATACTCACAAAAAATCGTCGGTAAGGTTAACGGAGCCCAAACATTCCCCTTGATTGTGGGAAGGGAGCCCAAAAGGCGGCAAAACGCTCTTGTAACTCATAAGTTGTGGGAGTCCATCGGCGGCGGTTGTCCCTTACCATCAGGTGACCCATGTGGAGGAACGGATGTCGTATCCCTCCAACCAGGCGAGGTGATCATGTCTTTGTTAGATGGCGCTGTAGTATGTTTTTGTTTCTTAGTATGTGGGAGTCGCCACACCCGTCTGCAGTTTAGTGACAATAGAAAACTTAAGGCTTGAAGAGTGCATACCAAACGAACAAACAACATTCATCTTATCTTCTTTCTCTTACAGAGACCAACGTGTCAGTGATCGCCGTAGACCCAGGTCTGACAGACACAGACCTCACCAGACACATGTCGATGATGAAGAGCATCACGAGATTTATCGTGTATCCCATCTTCTGGCCTTTCATGAAGTCAGCCAAGATTGGTGGGCAGGCTATCCTACATGCTGCTCTTGATCCCGCGTTGGACAAGTCTTCTGGAGATTACTATGTGTAAGTACATGCATAAGAACAAAAATTTGGTGCACATATGTTTTTTATATTTTTTCTTTTGTCCAGAAAAGTAGGGTAAAATTTATGAAAATATTTTAGGATCTGGCTAAACCGGGCTGAGTGTTACCACTTAATAATAAAGATCTGACAGATGTGAAACATTTAAAATCTTTTTAGAAATAATGAGTATAAAAGGATAGCGACAACAGCGATGGCAACACGTCACCACCTGCCACGCCACTTGTTACATTTACTAGCACATAAAGTGGCGACGCGTCGCCACGCTAATCTGACCCTACACAGTAGATGTTTTATATCAAAAATTTACCTATTTACTACTGATATTAACAAAAATTTAATGAATTTTAGTCAAACATCCACCCCTGAGCGACCAGTAGACAATTTAATTTTAATTTAATTAAAGAACGTAGAAATACATTATTATTACAGTGACATGAAAAAGAAGGAACCATCGAAGTTGGCCCAGGACTACGAACTAGCTCTATGGCTGTGGAAAGTCAGCGAAAAGTGGACCAAACTCGACGAGCATAAGGCAGCACTGGCAAAGGCCAGAACGGCGTGATAGATACTTTTAAACAATAATAGGTATTAACTAATGTACCAAAAAGACCAGGTTCCTTCATATGCATTTGAAATAAAAAATATTACAACTGACTGTCAAGGTAAATAAGTTTCTGATAATAAAATGTCAACTAGTGACGTCATACGTTTGTATCGTGACAATCACTGGTAAGACTATGAAACGTCTTGTTTATAAATTCATGTTCAAAATAACCCTTCTATTAATGACAATAAGGTCTATCCATGAAGTGGTCGTTAAATGCATTTTAATGTTTAGTATAGTTTAATAGTTAATAAATTGTAGAATAATTTTGTACTTCTGTTTTATTTCGAGCCTGTTTTTGTTGTCACGTCAATACGTCAGGAATATTAATGATGAAATCATCAATTTTCTACATTTTTTTCAGAACAAAATAAAAACATAACATTTATTTAAATAATTTAATTTAAAAAAATATTAATATTAACAAGATAACTAGGTCACTAACTCACATCACAATAAAATCAGTGTTTATAACATCACTTTCCATCTTTAATATATTATTTCAAAATGGCAATACTATCCAATTATGAGTGATCATAGTATCACTCATAACTTGACATTTCAGATACAAAATTATTATTGAACCGCAAAAAAATCGTTGTTGTGAGATGACTTAGCCGACTGCCGATGGAGCCGGCAGGTCCATTTTGTCCTGTGACGTCATATTTCATAGAACAATTAGGAACTATGAGATCGGGTAAACGTTGTTTGCTATTTAGTTCATAGTGTGTTGAGTGTCACCACCCCTATTCATCCTGTAGGTGCCGTAAGAACCGACTAAGGGAGCAAACTATGCAGGACAACAGCACAGCAAAGAGAAGAGAAACTTGACACGAACTCTATACTGACACGTCGGCCCAGCGTGGTATGGAAGGCAAAAAACCTCCTTTCTAAACAGGAGGACTATTAAAGATTGTTGATTGACAATAAAAATTGTCCATAAACAGCGTGTACCCTACATAGTCTCCTAACCAATTCACAACGATTTTGGCAGTGGCTGTACCAAAGTTGACCTATTTCCGGTATAAATTCATCATCGTCGCAGTCCACTGCTGGACATAGGCCTCTCCCATTGCACGCCACTTAGATCGATTTTGGGCTTCTCGCATTCAGCTCTTGCCAGCCATCTTGCGCAAATCGTCATTCCACCTGGCCTGTGGGCGTCCTACACTACGTTTGCGGAGACGCGGTCTCCACTCAAGAACTCGTTTTCCCCAACGGTTGTCAGTTCTACGAACTCTGCGAGGCTGTAACCGGCTGTTTAAAATCAATCGTCCCTCCCAAAGCAGTAACGACTCATCAATCGAAAGTTCTCCGCGTAGGCTGTAAACTGAGCTATACTGGACTGTGAATAGGTGTTCAGGGCTAGGTGTCTAGGACAAGGAAATCAAGTGGCAATTTTTTATTTATTTACATTAACATATAATGCCATTTAACCCTTAAAATCTACAGTTTAAAACATAAACTTAATATATACACTGCGACGAGCTACGAGGCAATTATCAGTCTCATTTTCATTATTAGAAGAGTTTCAAAAGAGATCGCGATGAAACTCCATACTAGTCCCATATAGAGGTGTGATACTCTGGCCTGTCGAAGACGAGTTCTTTGATTAACAACGGCTCGGTTCTTGGATGGGCGTGCATCAGCTGTAGGACTCCGGTCCCAATGGCCGCTGGAACTCCAAGGATGATGGACTCGGAGACTCCCTCTATGCAGTCTGTTTGGCCGTAGTAGGCAGCGTCGAACAGATGGTCGGCGGTCTTTTCGAACTGGAAGGAAATGCATATATTTACTTATTGCCAACAATAAAACCCTTAAGTTTTAGTTGATTAAAACCTAGGAGCTTTAAAATTCTTTTTTAAGCTATTGCATAGCTTCTATCGCGGGCCTTGAGCGTGGAGACCGAATCCAGAATTTCCGTAACGAAAATAACCTAACACCCGCCACTCCGACCGGCATAGCGGTGATACTTTTTAGTTTTGCCATCTATCGATGAATAGCAGAACTTTTAATGACTTTTTTGAAATATCACGCTTGTCTCTTTAGTTCAGCAACTCGCCTCTAGGTGGCATTGGTTGTGACGCGGTATTTTCCAGATATTTAGAAGATATCAAGTCTCAAACTTATGTTTCTTATTTCAGTTACCATAAACCTATAGTTTCAAAGAAATATTCCTGAATAACCAACATGTATTGTAAGATAATAAAAATATTTTGAACAATATTAACTTCTCATTTATTTAATAAAAGAAAAAAAAAATGTTTTCTTATCGGTCACCACGCTCAAAAAGTGTAACTTGAATTAGTATCAAAGAAAAAAAAACAAAGGAAAAATAATACTGCATAAATGAAATAGGTAAACAATTATAATTGCAAAGGTGATAAAAAATGCTATGAAATTGCTTTACCGCGGCAGTCCCCGAGTGCCACACGTCTTTTTTTTTATTTTCGACACCACCATTTTTACTTAGTAACAGTCTGTTAAAATATTTTTTCTTTTCTTAAAAAAGACAACTCCCGAACTAGGAATATATCCTGTATCACGGGAGACTATTTACATATATGAAACGGACACAAACACCCAGACTCAGAACAACTTATTGTGGATTACACAAAGTGTTGTCTCATGTGGGGATCGAACCCACAACTCTCAGAGCAGAAGAAAGCAGCGAGGTGATCACTTAAACCACTATGTCATCCGTGCAGCCTTTGGATTTCCTCTTCTTCCCTTATTTTGTTTTTAAATTATAAACAACTAATTTAATTATAAACGCGTCCGTGTGGTGACGGATTAAGAATACAGAGTGTCACCACCCGTATTCATCCCGTGGGCCGACTAAGGGAGTAAACTACGCAGAATAACAGCACTGCAGAGAGAAGGAAAACTTGACACAAACTCTTTACCAAACCCGTCTGGCCAGCGTGGTATAGTAGGCCAAACCCTCCTTTCTAAGGAGAGGCTTATGTCCAGCAGTGGACTATTAAAGGCTGTTGATGATATAAACAACTGGTTTTATACAGAAGTATGGCCCTAACGATTTTCATTGGGAAGTTTTATATTTGCTAACCAGTGTGAGAAGTTTTTATATCGCGATAGAGGATTAGCAGTTACTCCGTAGTTCGGGGAGTCTTCCTTAGATGGCGCTGAAGTACGTTTTTTGTTTTACTCTATGTGGAAGTCACTACATTCCCAACGTGAAGGTAACCCCTTAGGTTGTGAGAACCTTAAAAGCCCTAATTAAATTTTACATAAAAAATTGTAAAATACTCACACTAGCCAAGTTGAGCACGGATTCCTTCATCCTGGCGAGCCCGTACCTGGTGATACCCAGAACCTCACCCCGGGCCGTCATCTGTCCAGCTAACAGCTCCACGTGGCGCCTATCAACGCTCATGCCATGACCTTCCATCACGGCCTGGATCTCGCTGATGATGGTGGACTTGGCTGCTTCGATGCCGAGAGTATGGTACACCTGTTTGATGTATGATATCGTAACGTAAAGGAATTTTCTTTCAAATCTATACTTATACATACTTATATTATAAACTAGCTGAGACCCGCGGTGTTACCCGCGTTTGTTGTTATAACCGCGGGCAACGCTGCGGGGCGAAGCTAGTCTAAAAAAAGTAGCCTAAGTTACTCCTTATGTCATCAGCTATCTGCCAGTGAAAGTTCCGTCGAAATCGGTCCAGCCGTTCCAGAGATTACCCGGAACAAACAGACAGACAGACAAAAATTGTAAAACATGTTATTTTGGCATATGTACCGTGTAAACATACATATGCATTTAGTAAAAAGCGGTTATTTTAATATTACAAACAGACACTCATATTTTATTTATTTGTATAGATGTAAAAGTGATTTTGTTTGTTACGCTTTCACGTCTAAACCACTAAACCGATTTTAAAAATTCTTTCACAAATAGAAAGCTACATTATCAGCGAGTAACATAGGTTACTTGTTACTGCGGTAACCGAAACACACGCGGGGGATACGCGGGTACAAAAGCTAGAATATTATAATTGTAAAATTAAGTTTGTTTGTTACGCTTTCACGCCTAAACCACTAAACCAATTTTCAACATTATTTAACCAATAGACAGCTATATTATCAATAAGTAACAATTTTAACCGATATACACGCGACGGAGCCACGGCTAAAGCTAGTTTTATTATTAATGCAAATTGTAAGTATGTTTATTTGTTTGTGACGTTTTCATTATCTTATTTTATATTTATTTATTTCATTTTAAGAAGGCTTACAGACTAATAACAAACTTTGCTTAAGTAAAAATATCAATAAAAAGGTTGCTTATAACAAGCCTCCACATATGTATAAGAAAGTGAATAAAAACAAAAAACATAAAAACAATATCAAACCTTAAAAGAAGATAATATAAGAGCAAGAATTTAAATATTAAAAGGGGAATATGTTAGATCGATTATATCAATATAATTTGCAGTAGGTATATCACAGTACCCACTGTTATGTATTCTCTCCACAGACAATTCTTAATTATTCAAACGATAATGCCAAAATAAAATCCAATTCCCTAGGCACGGAGACAAACTTTGATAAAAAAATAACATTCATCACAAATCAGGATCAATTTTTCAGTCTGATTCTTGCAATTTGGTAACCGCTTACAAACAGATTTTAATGGATCAGGAGCACTGCTCATAGATTCACATTGTCTTAAAAATCATCCTTAACATCGCCAGTACGTATGCTTTTAACTTGATCCTTCTTCAGTATACTGCCAACGCCTATTTAAGCCTCTCAGGGCTTACTGACACCGACTCAGCCACTCACAGGCGCTATCACTGATAATAAAAGCATTGTCATGTTCTAATCTCTCTTCCTTCAGAGAGTCGAGCTTACCTCCAGAATATTATTCGATGTTGTCTTGGTTCCGTCAACTCCATACGTCGCTATAACATCGCGAAGTCCATCCCCTTCTACGCATAACTTGTACCTGAAAATAAATATAGTTTTTTTGAACTGTGTTGAATCGCCACGTTTATCGCGAAAGTGTTGAGGGGATTTAGTAGGTTTTAATACTAACCCTAAATTATTTTAACAGTCTGACGTAAGATGGAAAATGAATAAAAGGCAAGGGGTCCGTCCCTAGCGACTTACCGCCCCAGCCACGTACCCCTTTTTTTTCTAGAAAGGAAATCCCTAGTACAGACACGTACGCCTAGAGTAAAGTAATGCGTAATAGAGTGGTGAACGCATTATTATAAAATAATCGACGGGCCTGTTGGTCGAGTGGTTAGTGCCCCTGACTGCTAAGCCGGAGGTCGTGGGTTCAATTCCCACCCAAGACAAATATTGTGTGATGAGCATGATCATTTGTTCTGTGTCTGGGTGTAATTTATCTATAATATGTATGTATTTAAAAATATATAAGTATGTTTATCAGCTGTCTGGTCACCATAGCACAGGCTCTGCCTAGTTTGGGATCAGACAGCCGTGTGTGAAATGTGTGAGGTAAATAAAAAACAAAAAAAAAAAAAACTGTTATATTGGACATGTCCTCCTAATGGCATAGGTATGCCTCCCTATGCCATAAGGAGGACTTGTCCAATAACAGTCGTGTCTGATGGTAATAGGGTTTGTGTCAAGAATTGCTTAACACCTGTTTATTCCGAAGTCATGTTGTCACTCCATTCGAGCCTAGCGCTAATGGGCCGAAGCATGGCTCTCCCACAAGCCAATAACTTTAAAACATTATTATTATTAATACTTAATTAGTGAACAATAGAAGAAGCATCTAGTTGCGACATCAGTTACCAGTTACTCATTGAGGTAGGTTACGGTTTGCCTGTAGAAGATTGTCTCTGAGCGATAATAATAATAATATTCTATCACATTCACACAACGCCATCTAGTTCCAAACTAAGCAGAGCTTGTACTATGGGTACTAGACAACCGATATAAATACTTATATACTTTATTTTTTTGTAAATACATACATATTATACATAGAAACACCCGGACCAAATCGAACATTACATGTTCATGCACACAAATGTTTGATTTAAGCGGGAATTGAACCCGCGACCATTGGCATAGCAGTCCGTTATACAAACCACTACGCCACCACATAAGGCCGCCATTTGTATTTGTATATATGTATACCTGGTGTACATTAAAGCAATATGTTATGTTATCTGGTTTCTAATAAACAACTCACTTAACGATACTGGATGTGTCGTCACATGCTATCACAGCTCTGGACACTTGAGGAAGGCCCTTGACAACGACGGCTGGGAGCTGGCGGACGAGCTGCTGCAGAGTCATGTTGAGCCAGCCACCGTGCTTGGTGGGCTCGCCGATTACTTTGATCGCCCAGTCTGATACGATCTGGACGTTCGCCGGTTTTAGCTTCAGTTTCGATGTGCATATTCTGTAAAGAGCCCGACAGGGATACTTTATCAAGGGGTAAAGCGACATGTAATAATAATCCCAAGCTAGGCAGAGACTATGTTATGGTAACCAGACTGCTGATAAACATAGTTAAATATTTCTAAATACATAGATATTATAGATAAATTACACCCAGGCACAGAACAAATGATCGTAGAACATCACACAATTATTTGTCTTGACGGGTCTGGGAATCGAACCGACGACCTCCGGCGTAACATTCAGGGTTTCTCGTAACACTCTGTGTTTGGGTGTAATTATCTATAATATGTAAGTATTATATATGTATGTGTATAAGCAGTCTCGGCCGTATACCACATGCAAGGCTCAGGATTTTTTTTAAATAACCTTGAATTTCATCAAGTACAATACTCACGAATAAACAATAGATTCTACGTTGACTTCGAGACTCAGCAGCCGTATTCTCTCTGCGTCTAATCTTATAAGCAGAAAGCACTCGTTCGGTAGGTACACTTCGTCAATGTAAGTTGTTATCTGAAAAAACATTTAAAAAAATACATAATTCCTTTTATAAATAATAGTAATTTCATAAAAACAGCTTCCACTATAGTTATGTTATTAGATTGGTCGTTCAAAAACTAAGTTAATTACAAATACAACAATAATAATAGCCTAGAATAACAGGGCAGACAGCGGGCGGAACGGGAAGACGAGGCGATGTAAGCGGTTAGAATGTACAGCATTATCATCAACAGCCTTTAATAGTCCACTGCTGGACATATGCCTCTCCTTTTAAAGGAGGTTTTGGCCTACTATACCACGATGGCCAAACGGGTTGGTATAGGGTTGGTTACAAGTTTTCTTCTCTTTGCAGTGCTATTGTCCTCCCGCAGTCGGCTGTCCATCACACCCGCTGTCTGTCCCAGCCTTAAAGTTTATTATCGATGAAGACCTACCTCTCCCAACGTGGTCTTCTCGATTCTGCCTTTAACTCTCCTGGCGAACTCTTGGTCGAGTGGCTGCTGCAGTTCTGCGGTAATGATAGGCGTGGATATATTCTTGGATGCGTTTATGATCTCCTTGACTCGAGGTACTCCTTGCGTGATGTTCATGGATGCAACTCCAGCGAAGTGGAAAGTTTTCAACGTCATCTGGGTACCGGGTTCACCAATACTCTGCGGGGAAAGAATTTCGAAGTAAGTAAATAGAAGAGAATAGAAATTTATCTATACTCGTACGTGTATCGACTGGACTGGAGTCATACCACAGACCCACAGGGGGGGATGTAGAAGGCACAGGGCGGCTACGCAATTGTCGCTCTTGAGTAGCATGTTTCCATAAGCGGCGATAGCCACTTACCAATTACCGTCTGATCTTTTGCCCCCTATACAGAAAAATCGTTGGTATTTGAGATAGTTGGAAAGAGAGAGACAGCAGTGAGTAAGTACCTGTGCAGCCAAGGCCCCAACAGCAGTACCCGGCTCGATGACGCTACGCTGGTACTTGTGGTGGCACACGCGCAGGAACTGCACCAGCTGCGTCAGCGTCAGCCGCTCCAGCTGCTTGGCCACGGAGCCGCAGTTTCCGTAACACTTGCGGAGAATATTCACTTTGTTCGCGATACCTTTCAGGAATGTGCTGGAATAAACACAATGTTTATTACTACCCATCTCTGTCCGTGTGGTGACGGATTAAGAATACGGAGTATCACCACCCCTAGGCATTACGTGGGTGTCATAAGCGTCAACAGCACTGCAAAGAGAAGGAAAACTTGAAACAAACCCTATACCAACCCATCTGGCCAGCGTGGTATAGTAAGCCAAAACCTCCTTTCTTACACACGCCAGCCTGAACTACGCAGAGCCTGTACTGCTGATAAACATACTTAAATACCTACTTAAATGGCTAAGTGGTAAGCGAGTAGGTTAACACATTGCAAAGTTAAGCAATCTTAGCCAGGTTAGTATATGGATGGGTGACCATTTCTAAACACATTGAGACCCCTCCGTGCCTCGGAGAACACGTAAGCCGTCGGTTCCGGTTGCAACATTCTACAGAACTTCGATATCGCCTAGTACTTGGGTTGTGAAGGTCTGATGGCTGTCTGGCTGAAAAAATCTAAGTTCAGCGGTATCTGTAGACTTAAAGCTGACCCCAACCTGGTTTGAGAGAAAGGCTCGGAGGAAGATGTAACTTAAATACCTACATTTATTTTTTTCAGAAAAGACAACACCTACATTAGGAATATATCCTGTGTCGCGGGGACTTTACAAACATACATAAAACGGACGCAAAGAACACCCAGACTCAGAACAACACTTTGTGGATCACACAAAGTGTCGTCCCATGTGGGGTTTGAACCCACAACACTCGGCGCAGTAGAAAGCGGCGTGGCGACCACTTAAACCACTACGCCATCCGTGCAGTCATACACATCATATTACAGATACATTACACCCAGTCACAGAACAAATGATCGTATTCGTCACACAATTATGTGTCCTGGATGGGAATCGAACAGACGACCTCTGGCTTAGCGGTCAGGGTTACTAACCACTAGACCAACAGGTCAGCCAATGTCAACAAATGGGGGGCTTTGGCCGGAGTGATACCACAGACTCACAGAAAACAATGGTTTTCTGTGCCCGTGACACACACATACATACACATAGTTTTGAATAATTATCAATTATATAATTGTAAATTATTACATCAATCAATCATCACATCAACAGCCTATAATAGTCCACTACTGGACATAGATCTCTCCTTAGAAAGGAGGTTTTATCCTACTATACCACGCTGGCCAGACGGGTTGGTACAGGGTTTGTGTCAAGTTTTCCTTCTCTTTGCAGTGCTGTAGTCCTGCGTATTAATTAAGTATTCAACAGCTACTCATCTTATCAATGCTTAACTAAGTAAGAAGAAGGCGCCAGTGTCTGTAACACAGTTAATCATCACACTATCGTGGCCCCTGACGTTCACTCTGTCTCTAAAGAATACGTAATCTATACTAATATTATAAAGCTGAAGAGTTTGTTTGTTTGTTTGAACGCGCTAATCTCAGGAACTACTGGTCCGATTTGAAAAATTCTTTCAGTGTTAGATAGCCCATTTATCGAGGAAGGCTATAGGCTATATATCATCACGCTAAGACCAATAGGAGCGGAGCACCAATGAAGAATATTTCAAAAACGGAGAAAATTTATTACTATTGAGAAACACAGACGAAGTTGCGCGGGTCAGCTAGTGATGTATACAACTATGCTTTTATGTTTAGATAACATGGACAAACTTTATTGGACTTTTCTGATTATAGATTATTATTATTATTATTAAAAATCCAATATCACTTTTTTTTACTTACAGAAGTTCAGTCTTGAACTCTTGTGTGCACGTCTTGAAGTCGTCCAGGGCCAATGTCTCTTCAGCCGCCAGAACTATGCCATCACCATCGAGGGGGTCCTCGTCCCTAAATAAAAAAAAAACATTTTTTTAATTATAAAAGGTTAATTTAACCAAACAAAAGTTAACTTGCTATGATAAGTGTAATTGAAAAATATTTATGAATCAGATTAGTTATGGGTTGTTTAGGTCATTTTATTTATATAGAAAAAGTTTTTAGGCTCGAATAAACATATGATCCTACTAGAACTTTCTATTAAATTTAGGTAGACCGTTTGCAAGTATTATTGGCACTAAAACTATATACATACACATTGTAATGCAGTTCATCATCATCAAACGCCTTTAGTGTCCACTGCTGGACATAGGCCTCTCCTTAGAAAGTAATACAGTTAACACAATAATAAACTTCAAATTAATCCACCAGACATAATACTCCAGTAAATTGTATGTTTAGACTTAAGATTGATCTGATTTTAAATATACATATTTTTTTTTATGTTAGAGGGGGCAGACGACCAGACGGGTCACCTGATGGAAAGTGACCATCGCCGCCCATGAACATCTGCAACACAGGAGACACAAACGCGTTGCCAGCCTTTTAGGAAGGAGTACGCTTTTTTCTTGAAAGTTTGAAGGTCGTATCGGTCCGGCAATACAGCAGACGATATTAACAAATATCTTTTGTATAGAAGATGCAAGCGGGTATTCCCCAGCAATCAGGGTTACCCCATCAACTTACCTAGATAAGTATTTGGCACGAACATCCACCAATACCCTTGAAAGGTCCACTGGTCTGTCCTTCCCCTCCATATAGCTAGGGTCCAAGCCGTCACTCCCGTAACGGAATTCTACTACTTCGCCTGTGGCGTTCCGAACTGTCATATCATAGTGGAGTACCAGGTCTTCTAGAGACTAAGAAACAACAAACAAAAAAAACTTATATTATTTGTGTACTTTTATCAAAATAATAGAATTACATTGACCACTTATTACACTACGCCTGTTTATCATGATCCAAACTTATTTTGGATTAAGAATACAGAGTGTCACCACCCCTATTCATCCCGTGGGTGACGTAAGAGCCGACTAAGGAAGCAAACTACGCAGAACAACAGCACTGCCGAGAGAAGGAAAACTTGACACAAACCCTACCCCTTCGAGGATAAAAGCGTCATACACTCACGCCTTTCTCCGCGAAGAATAATAATAATATTTTCGGACATCTGACACACAACGCCATCTAGTACCAAACAAAGCAAGCTTGTACTATGAAAACTAGATTTACTGATAGACTACTCATATACTTTTTTTGTAAATACATACATATTGTACATAGAAAACACCTAAACTCCGAAACAAATATTTGCAGATGAAAAAAACATTTGGTCCGACCCGGGAATCGAACCCGAGACCTCATTACAGAAGTCGCATACGCTACCACTGCACCACCGAGGCAGTCAGAAGAAGTAAAAATTACTCTTTACTCATATCTCAGCTATCATCAGATGATGATGATGATGATATCTGGATGATGATTTTAATAGGTAAGTTAACCCAAGGCGGTGACCAGGCTTATAGCTGCTAGAGGCAATGACTAACACACGTGGAATATTCTTTTATAGAGTTTACCTTAACAAGCCGCCTCTGCAGATAACCCGTCTCGGCGGTCTTCACTGCGGTGTCCACGAGACCCTCCCGTCCTCCCATCGTGTGGAAGAAGAACTCCGTTGGAGTCAACCCGGAATAGAAGCTGTTCTCTACGAAACCACGGGCTGCGGGGATCTTGGCTGCAAGGTTTAGCAGATTAACAATATAACAGCACTAAATCGAAAATCACAGAGTACATATTTATTACTAAATATTTTAATTGTTAAGTACAATTTACGCGTAATTTGAATAATTTCAATTGCATTTTTTTTTTATGGTATAAGGGGGCAAACGAGCAGACGGGTCACCTGATGGTAAGCAACTACCGCCGCCCATGAACACCTGCAACTCAAAAGTCACAGGTGCGTTGCTGCCCTTGGAGTCCCTCCCGCACGAGTCAGCGGGAGGGGGGATTTGGGCTCCGTTAACCTCACTCTATGAGGTCGTGATATCACTCCGGTTGAGCCGGCCTATTCGTGCAGAAGCATGGCTCTCCCAAGTTGCAATTAATCTTTTCTACGCATTGACACTTCGAAATTTTAATTGATTAATGTACAACTCTACCTAACGGACCACGAACCAGTATATAATATAAATATTGTTAAGATCAGGGTATATAATAAATAAAAGTTGTCGGTTAATTACTTTTATTGCAATGTATTTACAAACACTCACTATAACAAACAAGAAATCACTATATAACTCGTTAGTCGCACTAGAAATTCGCTTCGATGTAAATTCGCTGTGTCAAACGATACTGTGTGCTATCGAATTTACTAGAATGATCCCTAGTCATCGATAGTCCGTTCCAGACCAACAATAATATTCCAGTATCAGTTACACGGTACTTGCAGCGCCATCTAGCGCTATAAGTATCAGAATTATTAATCCCAATCTCAATAGTTGTACTTTACTCGATACTAGATGGCGCTGTCCTAGACATTCTATACAAATCTGGAACAATGCTAATCGGCGAACTTTTTTTAGTAGTTAGTCTTCTTATCCCTAGATGGAGCTGAAGCTAGTTTTGTTGTAAATGCTTAGAAGCCGCACTGCTACTATCATTCGAAGCAATCGTCGATTGTCGAGAGATTTATTTTGGAACTAAGTGCTGTGCAATGGGAGAGGCCTATGTCCAGCAGTGGACTGCGATAGGCTGATGATGATGATATAAAATAAGTGATATACTCACAATGTCTTTCGAAGTGCGGCAACGACCTATCCTCGAACCCGTTGGGCACTCGCTTGCCATTCAGCGCCTGCTGACCCACGCACGCAATCATTTGCGATATGTTGATATTTGATCCTGTACAAGAACATATTTTTTAACTTAATTGCTGTGAAATTTAAGATACGGACTCTCCGTAAGTGGTTTAATACCAGGTCTATCTACATGCACTAAGATGTCGGCTGTCTGATTCCAAACTAGGCAGAGCCTGTACTATGGTAACCAGACTGCTGAAAAACATAATTATTTCTTTTAAATACATACATATTATAGATAAATTACATAGAGACACAGAACAAATGACCATGCTCATCACACAATATTTGTACTGGGTGGGAATCGAACCCACGACCTCCGGTTTAGCAGTCAGGGTCACTAACTAGACTAACTACCTTCATTTTTTTTTATAATAATATATACCTCACACATCGAAAATGTTTTCAAAATGTCCAAAGTTAGAATTATCGCAGCGGTCAGATGTGGAGACATGCTAGTTATGAGTTATGGTAATTGAGTATTTTCTTTATTATTCACGAAAGGAGAATGCCTATTCAAAGTTTCATTATTAGACGTTCGCGTCATATAAATATCTCGTAATGTCACAGTATAATATATGCAGATTAGTAATCTTATTACTTTGCGTATGAAGTCGTAGTTTATTTAGTGAATGTATACTCAAGTGTTAGTTTTGCCTTAGTTTATACATGGTATGCCTGTCAAAAACATGATGCCACAGACAATATTAAATAAAATACTCTTATGTCAGTGTTATGTCACAATATTTTCTCGTTTTCTCAACAATCTTCTTCTTTGGCTGGCCCTTTCCCATTTTAATTGGGGTCGGCCCTCCGTATTATGTATGTTCAGACAGCTCGGTCCTGGGTCGTCTCTTGGTTGACTTGGGCTTCTTTGAGGTTCTTATTTACTACGGACATCCATGTGATTCGGGGTCTTCCTCGCCGTCGGGGTTTGGCTTCAATATCTAGTACTTTTCTGGTCATGTGGTCGTTTTCTCAAAAATATTGACATTTAATTACTCAACAACCCCAAGTTGTGTTACAATAATTTATATTTCAGATAATACTCAATGCAGGCTTATTTATACAGTTTATACATTTTTGACACAGAAAAAGTGTAAAACTGATTACTGAGTGTGTGAACTGATAAGTCGATAAAATTGTGTCTTTCAACGTTTTGCACCAATAATAGTAAAAAAAAAAACATTATCTATACAAATAAATAAAATTGGAGTGTCTGTTTGTAATATTTAAATAACCGCTTTTTACGAAATGCATATGTATGTTTACACGGTACATATGCCAAAATATCATTTTTTCCATTTTTGTCTGTCTGTCTGTCTGTCTGTTTGTTCCGGGTAATCTCTGGAACGGCTGGACCGATTTCGACGGGACTTTCACCCGCAGATAGCTGATAACATAAGGAGTAACTTAGGCTACTTTTTTTAGACTAGCTTCGCCCAGCGGCGTTGCCAGCGGTTATAACAACAAACGCGGGTAACACCGCGGGTCTCAGCTAGTAATTAGTAAAGATGAATTATAAAAATTATATTTACCCTTAGAGCCGCTCTGTGCCATTATAAGAGGAGCATTCGTGCGATGCAGTTCCCGGAAGCAGGCTTTGGCCGCCAACTCTCTGATGCTGCTGAGCTCGCTCAACATAACTGCCTCCAGGGACTCCTCCATGGTACAGCCCGGCTGACACTGCAGCGTGCCCTTCTCCATCTCCAAGATATATCCGTCACATTTTGAGTATCTGTAAGTGGTAATACTCGATTATATACAAGTTGTTTCACAAAGGGGTGGGTTATATTTAACTAGCTGACCCGCGCAACTTCGTCTGCGTCTCTCAATAGTAATAAATTGTCTCCGTTTTTGAAACATTCTTCATTGGTGCTCCGCTCCTATTGGTCTTAGCGTGATGATAAATAGCCTATAGCCTTCCTCGATAAATGGGCTATCTAACACTGAAAGAATTTTTCAAATCGGACCAGTAGTTCCTGAGATTAGCGCGTTCAAACAAACAAACAAACAAACAAACTCTTCAGCTTTATAATATTAGTATAGATTATTTAAGGAACATTACTGATTTTTCTTTATGTAAAAATATTATTTCAAACGGACGAATTTAATGTTCAGCGATAGAGCTAATATTAGTATGACATCTGTATGAAAAAATAAATTAGCTTCGACTGTCACGAATTTAAATAAAAATTTAGATAGATAGATAAATACTTTATTTGTACACCAGGGTTTTACATACATTATAAAGTAATTAACAACAGCCTTTTCGCTTAGTGCAATTTCAATATATTTACACTACATTTGATCAGACATAGGTACTACAATTTTACTAAACTTCTCTGTAACTCTGTTTCTCTGTTCTGCAGGAATCAATCGACAGATAAAACGTCAACATGCTTGATAATGAGAGCGCTTACCCAGATTCGAGCAACTTATTCTTGGCTTCCAGCAGTTTCCTGCCGGGGCTCACATCGATGATACCAAAACTGAACCCTCTATTCATCATGTAGTATGACGCCATGCGGGCTAACCTAAAAACAATTTAAAATATTGTCATATTGACAAGATTCAAATTATATTTTAAAGTGTGTTGCATCAAAATATAATAAAAATAATAACCTCACACATCTCACACACGGCCGTCTGATCCCAAACTAGGCAGAGTCTGTACTATGGTAACCAGACTGCTGATAAACATACTTATATAGTTCTAAATACATACATATCATAGATAAATTACACCCAGACACAGAACAAATGATCGTGCTCATTACACAATTATATTTTCTGGGTGGGAATCGAACCCACGACCTCCGGCTTCGCAATTAGGGTCACTAATCACTAGACAGGTTATAGAATGCTGTTAACAATTAAACCATGTTGATTTAATTTAATAATTGTGCACAGAGCTGCAAAAAAAAAATCCTATTGATATTGCATTGTAATGACATGAACAGCCTGCTAACATAAGCATTAACAGCAAAAACAATGTTCTGACATACCTCCACATAGCCCTGACAGCATACTCCTCGCCCCAGTCCCGGAGCAGTACGTAAAATATACTAGTCTTTGTACCAGAACCTAACGTACTCTTGTCCATTGAACCACATAACAGCTCCGAATTTCGTATTATAACATCTAAAATGTAAACAAAACATTTATAAATACAAAAAAAAAATATTATACAGCACCATTTAATCAAAACTTTTATTAAAAGAATGGTTATATTTTATTACTCAAACAATAGCTAATTTTAGCGTTTATATTTAAGTGTATTAGCTGATCAACTATATTTACTTGAGTATACCTAATCTTAAACTTGTCCGTGTGGTGACGGATTAAGAATACAGAATGTCACCACCCCTATTCATCCCGTGGGTGTCGCAAGAGCCGACTAAAGGAGAAAACTATGCAGGACAACAGCACTGCAGAGAGAAGGACAACTTGACATAAACCCTATACCAACCCGTCTGGCCAGCATGGTATAGTAGGCCAAAACCTCCTTTCTAAGGAGAGGCCTAGGTCCAGCAGTGGACTATTAAAGGCTGCTGTAATGCAAGCATTCATATACTTAGGTCGTATATCCTCGTTTATGACAGAAACTCAAGCTATTTTAGGAAAATTCGTGATTGACTTGAATTAACTGATAAAGGTTCGTGTAAAAAACGGCTGAAATGAAAAAAACTTAGGGTATTTAAAAATGTTGATAGCATGTCTAGATTAAAATGTCTAATGGTCCTAAAATGCACTAAAAACTTAAGACCTATTTGTTAGCGTTTCATGGATTCACCGTGCGGGTGCGCGTTTTTTTTTAATAGACGGGGTCAACACATGCGACTTTGACAGCGTCTGGGTTTTTTTTTTAATGTACGCCTACTATAGGAAAACTTTTTCCGAATTAATAAATATCAAAATCCCATTTTTTTAAACAAAATCATTAAACGCCTAAACCTGAAACTACAGTAACTTCCAGTAGAGATTTACATACATTAGACTTTCGCCAAGTCGTAACAACCCAAAACAACATTGAGGTAGCAAAAGATTACTTTAAAATCATAGTAGTGGTGTTTAATTATAATGCAATACTCACAGGAATCTTGTACACACATATCCTTGTTTCCGGTGTAATTCTTCCCCTTAGTCTCTAAATTAGCTTTCACTTCGCACTTCTTATTGGGTTTCATTATTAGACTGTAACAAATAAACATATAGCTTCAATTCAATTGGTTTTAATATTTATTTATTTTATTTAAAAAAAACAACGCCCGCATTAGGAATAAATCCTGTGTCGCGGGGACTTCACAAACATACATAAAACGGACACAATGAACACCCAGACTCAGAATAACAATTTGTGGATCACACAAAGTGTCGTCCCATGTGGGGTTTGAACCCACAACACTCGGCGTAGTAGGAAGCGGCGTGGCAACCGCTTAAACCACTACGCCATCCGTGCAGTCAAATATAATATTCTACCACATTCACACAGACCAGAATTCAGTTGGGTTGGGCAGCGTTGGGTTTGTGTTAAGTTTTCCTTCTCTTTGCAGCGGTTGGGAAGCGTTTGGGAAGCTACGTCGAGTTTTCTCATCGTCGATCCCGCAGTGCCTTAAGACGAAAGTCTTTAACGAGTGCGTCCTACCCGTCATAACATACGGAGCCGAAACGTGGACACTTACGGTACGGCTGGTCCACAAGTTCAAAGTCGTTCATTTTGTTATGGAAAGGGCTAAGCTCGGCGTTTCTCTAAGGGATCGCATCAGGAATGAGGTGATCCGGCAGAGAACCAAGGTCACCGACATAGCCTACCGGATCAGCAAGCTGAAGAGGCAGTAGGCTGGCCATATTAGCCGCAGAACCGACAACCTTTGGGGAAAACGAGTTCTTGAGTGGAGACCGCGTCTCAGCAAACGTAGTATAGGACGCCCAAAGGCCAGGTGGAGTGACGATTTGCGCAAGATGGCTGGCAGGAACTGGATGCGAGAAGCCCAAAATCGATCTAAGTGGCGTGCAATAGGAGAGGTGTATGTCCAGCAGTGGACTGCGATAGGCTGATGATGATGAACATTCACACAACGCCATCTAGTCCGAAACTAAGCAGAGCTTGTACTATGGCTACTAGACAACTGTTTTTTTTTTTTTTTTGGTATATACATACCTACTTATTATACATAGAAACACCCAGACCAAATCAATAAAATGTTCATACACAAAAATGTTTGTCTTGAGCGGGAATCGAACCCGCGACCTTTGTAATAGCAGTCCGTTACACAAACCACCATTCGGTTCGCAATTCAATTATGAATTAAAGTTTTAGAAGTAGGAAATCTGTACCTGAATATCTGCTTTCCAGTCCACAGCATCCTCGGCTTGAGTATAGCGGGTGGAGGCATGTCGATCGGTATGGTGGCGTCAGGTCCGGCCAGCAGGCACGTGGCCAATTGCTGTGCCTCCTCACGAGTGAGGAATGTGTCCCTCTGGGTGATCAGGTACCCGCCAGTGATGAAGTCTTGCGTCGCGGCGATCAGCAACTCTCCGTTCCGGGGGGTCACCAGGTTAGATTTGTTCTACAAAAGAGACAGACAGATTTAATGCTGAATGAGAAACATAGAGTAAGCAACGTTTGCATAGGTCTATTAATAAATAGGTGACCGCACTAGACCACCGAACAACAAATGCTATGCCTCTCCAAAATAGCTGGAGGATTCTTCAACTTAGTGATGAGTTCATGCCGCTGTGCCGCAGCTTAATGGTTTACATTTGACAGTTGTGTATATGTATATAATACTACTCCTACACACCAATTTTTATTGCGAGATGCAGGATCAGTAGTTACCACCTAGTTTGCCTTGTAAACGTTAGATGGCGCTAATCTAATTTTTTCATCATGGTGAAAATTTGGTCTATAGAAAATATTATCTAAGTATCAGTCAATCTAGCTTGCATAGTACAAGCTCTGCTTAGTTTGAAACTAGATGGCGTTGTGTAAATATTATTATTATTCTAGTGTGATATGTGATAATCGTTCTTACCCCCATAAGTATGAGCGCCTCAGCCCTCGCCTCCTCAGTTTGAGGTAAATGCATATTCATTTCGTCTCCATCAAAGTCAGCGTTGTACGGAGTACACACGCATTCGTTGAATCTGCAAATGCAATTTATCTGATTACACCAAGCCTTTCACCATTGATAAATAGCGGTAGTAGGATTAATTACTTAAAACAATAAAGTAACGATAATTAGGCGCAATCACACTTTACACGCAAATTAACATCACATCATCAACGGCCTATACAGTCCACTGCTGGACATAGGCCTCTCCTTAGAAAGGAGGTTTTGGCGTACTATATAGATAGTTCAACTCAGTTGTGCGCGCGGCCCTATGTGCCGCGGCAGTCGGACGACGACTGCCACACGAATGAAAGTTGTATATTTACAAGCCCACGCACACATAGGGCCGCGCGCACAACTGACTTGAACTATCTATACCACGCTGGCGAGACGGGATGGTATAGGGCTGGTGTCAAGTTTTCCTTCTCTCTGTCCGTCCGTGTGGTGACGGATTAAGAATACAGAGTGTCACCACCCCTATTCATCCCGTGGGTGTCGTAAGAGCCGACTGAGGGAGAAAACTACGCAGAACAACAGCACTGCCGAGAGAAGGAAATTTCACATATGTGTATTGAATTTGAACGCAACCCATCACTACTGTGACAACACTAGCAACTGTCAACGTCATTTTTGTCTATGTCCCTTTTTGTGTGATCTGAATACAGCCTCGGTGCGTTTTTAATTCACCTCGTTTTATTTTTCTGTAATTTTAAAAAAATGTGAATAATCCCGAATAAGCTTCTTAGTACACGCAATGCGTACACGTGTACATTAAGTCGAGCACGCATATTACGAGGCGTGCTCCATATGGTATACGATTGTACCATACAAGCTTGGGCTGAGAAAAGACAGAGGTTGATTTATCATCTTTAGAAGTTTAAGTATTCTAAGAGTTACGTTCTTCAATATTTTATTGCCAAGATCCCTTAAAACCAAAAAAAATGTGGCAAATACCCTTATTACTTGAGATGCTTACCAAGCAAAAGTATTTTTACACGCTTTATATTAGCTTCACTTGTATGTTTGTTTGTAACCGACTCCTTTGGGCGTGATTTTGATTGACTTTAAATGGTCAGAATTCGTTCAAACTTTGTAGATATATCGAGGACCGATGACAATACGCTTATTTAAAAAAAAACTATTTTTTTAATGGTCCTATTTTTTTTTCATTAATTATATATTTTTGTTAACTAATTATTTGACTACCATACTCATTATTTGATTACAATACTAATGTGATTAATAACACAACATAAAAACTTTAAAATATAAAAAAATCAAATACTGTCTGTGCAGGTTTTGTAAATATAGTTAATCCATTTGAAACTTACCTGAAGGTTCGTTGTGGTTGAACCCGGGCCCTGTGACACATGATGGAGAGTTTATGAAGCGATGGCTGACGGTTGAAGAGTACCACATCACCGTCCACTAGATGGCGTTCAACTATGTCACCACACTGTATCAAATACAACATAACAATAGTATCAGTCTTATTGGGTTCATCAAATTTAGTTAGTAAGAGAGATTAGTTGAGAACCTTCTTAAAAAACAAGATTCTAATACGATGAGTTTTTATTCATTGTCACTCACCTTTAACTCCTGCGCAATCTTCTCTCTGTTACCATATTTGAGGTATTTTTTATGTTTCAAACCCCGCTGCTGCACGTAGTTAGCCCCAGGGTGTACGTCAGGGCCATTGCAGACCAGCTTCCGGAGCCAGTTTAGATTGGCAGGGAACACTCGCTCAGGATACGTGAGGATCTTGGCTACGTGAACTGGTACTCCTACCTGCATCAGGACAATACAATTATGGTTAACATAAGAACATAGGTACTGGTAGCGTTCAGTGTTACCAAAATGGCAATTTTCTCCAAATTTAAAGACAACGTCTGACGGTTTTTAAGAGAAAGATTTAAAACAGATTTGCAAAATAAAAAGACAAAAAAAAACATCACCTCTTGAATCTGCAAGTTGGGGTCGGGAGATATGACAGTTCTACTGGAGAAGTCAACTCGCTTTCCGGAGAGGTTCCCACGGAAGCGTCCCTGCTTGCCTTTTAGCCTCTGCACTAAGCCACGACCAGGTTTCTTAGGCTGAGAAAAAAAATTTGTTAAGGATGTAACAGCTATCTTATTGGGAATTCAGGAATATAGGATAACGAACTTCAAATCACACTCGATCCTGTCCAGTCACCGCAGTCTAGTCTGGAATCCTGCAATAACTATATATTTCCAAAAAACAGCTTGGAAAAGGACTATATAGAAAACTGAGGCTGGTGACTCATCTTGAGGAACTTTACGGTTGGTTTGCCAGAGTGTAGACTGTTATACGGGGGCAACAGTAGCCATCACGATTACATCCAGAGCATCCAACGTAACACATTATTGATGAGGTGTAGAGTACTTAGTAAGCCAAAACCTCCTTTCCTAGAGGCATATGTCCAGCAGTGGACTGTTTAAGGCTGTTGATGTGAGTACTTAAAGTCGAAAATAAAGTTTCACAAAGTTGTAGAAAAATAAACGATAAACTGATTTCTCTTTTTATACACGGGCCTGTTGGTCTAGTGGATAATGACTGCTAAGCCGGAGGTCGTGGGTTCGATTCCCACCCAGAACAAATATTGTGTGATGAGCATGGTCATTTGTTCTTCTGTCTCCTGTACCCAACCGTCTAACATGAGCCTCTTAAGGTATTGGTCGAGGCTCTTGGCTATCAATCCGTGAGCAGATACGACTATCGGAACAATGATCACTGAATCGACATTATTATTATTATTAAACAATTTTTTGTGAGATTTTTACAATTGATGTAAAGGTTCTTATTTGTTCTCACCTGCATAGACAAAGGTATTCCTGACATCTCACTGTTGATGTACAGCGCTGCATGCAGCTGCAGATAGTCCCAATCTTCCTGAACTAACTCGCTCTTGCCACCGCTAGCTATGTGACGAGATATCACATCATTGATAAGCAGGATCTCTGATTGTTTCATTGTTAGATCATCCTCATTACTGAAAGAGGAAAGTTCATTATTATGGTTTTTTATGGTAATGGGGTAAGCGAGCAGGGCCTCAATTCTGTTATTTTATGTTAACGCCCAGCCGCTGTCATTCCATTAATACGCTATTGAGATGCCACTGACATCGCTCAAAATATCGGTATTCTACTAACAGAAATTCAGTGTCAATAGATGGTCATCAATGGTAATATCAACAATATTGCCATATCATGAATATTAAATATATCATTTTTTTACAAATTTAAAATGACGTTCCGTTCACCAAACTATTACAAAGACATCGACATTTGTCAAGTCACCCGATGACCATTGGTCTCAAATAGTTAGTAGAATAGGAAAAGTGGAAAACTATTCCGACGACATTCCAACGACAGTCTATTGATACAATATTATAATGGCAGAATTGAGGCCCAGATGAGTCACCTGGCGTTGTTAGATTTTTTTTTTTAGAAATTTTTCTTTTTTTAGAATTAGAAATTCATGAAACGGATACAAAGCAGACCCAGACTCACACCCTTCGGCCGCCTAAGAAACCAAGTTTAGACACCAGTTTCGAAAAAAGAATATTTCCTATTTTGAAACTGGTTTTGGTAAAAAAATAATGTATTTTCTTTCCAAGCCAGCAGGAAGCGAGGTCATCGTTTAAACCACTACCCTATCTGTGATGTCTCCTCATTATTCAGTGCTCCCAAGAATTAGAAGGCAAATGCACTGAAAGAATTCTGCTGCTGAATTCTCAGCAACCTGCAAACTCTTCAGGTTTTTTATTGGAATAGATATTGAACTTACGTGCCGGCCTTGATCTCGGAGACGACGCTAGGCCTGATACAGAGAGGCGGAACTGGCAGTCGTGTGAGGATCAAGTCTTCAGGCCTCGTCAGTTTTGAGTTCATGCCAAGTAGAGGTATGTCCTCGTCAGGGATCCGACGGAATAGGTTTAAGACCTAGAAGGTAATAAGAAAGTTTATTTTTTAATAAACTTACCAAAAAATACGAATTTAATTAAATTGATACAGAAAAAAATAACTGATAAATACTGAATGTATTTTACACTAAAAAGCTCCTGAAAATATTTAGTGAAAACTATAACAATTTGTAAATTATAGATATACAAACAAACATACAGACTTATTTTTTTAAAAAGGTTAAAAATTACTAATTTTAAAAGTTCACAAACTCAAACTCAAACTCAAACTTTCTTTATTTCATAAAATTTTCAAAATTGTTTGAAATCGTCTTCCATGTAGACTCTAAAGTCATAGATCAACACACACAAAAGCAACAATCTCTGTTTTGTCAAATAGTAACCAAATAAATTTAACAAAATCAAACCCATACAAAATCTATGATATGCCTGTGCCGATCTACAACCGCCCGTTTCCAAGGGGTTGAGCCTTATGAGAAGAAAGGGCAAACAAACTCATGGCCACTCTTTTGCAATTCACAAGTAGATACAATGGCACTATTAAATATATCACAACATTGTTTTGATGTATGCTAGTATGTCCGTTATTAAGGACTTAAAGGTGAAAAACAACGAAGAGAAAACAAGATTAAGAAGAACAATCGAGAACGAATACAAGAGAAAATGAAGTGTAACATAAAAAATAGAAAAAATAATAAAAAACATACTAGCCACACCACATTTTTACTTAAGAAAGAAATAGCCTGCGCTAATTAATCCCAAGCATTCTTGTCCTCCATGTAATCCACAATCGAGTAGTAGGCCCTCTGGCACAAGCCACGTTTTATTGCGGATTTAAATTTGTTAATACTCAACTCCTGAATATTATTTGGGATTTTATTATAAAATCGGACACATTGACCTCGAAAAGACTTGTTTATCTTTTGGAGCCTAGAGGCGGGTACAACAAATTTATTTTTATTTCTGGTATTTATGGCATGTACATCACTTTTTTTCAAAAAGCTATCTTTATTTTTGTGAACATATATTACATTTTCATAAATATATTGACTTGCCACTGTCATTATATTTATTTCTTTAAATTTCTGCCTCAATGAACAACGATTGCCTAAATTATAAAGTGCTCGAATAGCTCTCTTTTGCAGCACAAAAATAGTTTGAATGTCGGCAGCATTCCCCCACAGCAGAATACCGTACGACATTATGCTATGAAAGTAACTGAAGTAAACAAGTCGTGCTGTATCAACATCAGTCAACTCTCGGATTTTCCTTACTGCGTATGCTGCTGAGCTGAGTCTACTCGACAATTTATCAATATGTGGGCCCCACTGTAGCTTAGCATCTAGTGTTATACCTAAAAATGTCGTAGTGTCCACAAGGTCCAGCCCGACATCCTTAATTATCACAGTAGTTTTCACTGGCTTGACGTTTGGCATAGTGAAACGTATACACTTAGTTTTTTGTTCATTTAATAGTAAATTGTTGACATCAAACCAATGAACCACTTTCGAAATGGCGCTGTTTACAAATGTGAAATCAGAAAGTGTCCGTTTTAGTCTAAATAATAGTGATGTATCATCTGCAAACAACACAATCTCGAGATTGTCCTTGACAAAGTGAGGTAAGTCGTTAATATATACTAAAAACAAAAAAGGGCCGAGAATAGAACCCTGTGGAACGCCCATTTCTATCACAGAGCCTGGAGACCGCTCACCATTAATATCAACTTTTTGAATCCTATTACATAGATATGAGGCAAGTAGTTCCAGGGCTTTATTTTTGATACCATAGTGCTGTAATTTCCTGATCAGCGTTTCATGAACAACACAATCAAAAGCCTTAGATAAATCGCAAAAGATACCTAGAGAATCGTGGGCATCCTCCCAGGCATCAAATATATGTTTTACTAGCTCAACACTAGCATCAGTTGTGGAGCGACCCCTTGTAAAACCAAATTGTCTATTGTGCAATAAATTATTATTATTAAAAAAACTGTGCAATTGATCATACATAATTTTTTCAAAAATTTTACTAAATACTGGTAGTACTGAGATAGGTCTAAAGTTAGTTGGGTCAGATGTACTACCAGATTTGAATAAGGGAATAATTTTACTAGACTTCATAAGATCAGGAAATACACCACTATCAACACATTGATTAAATGTAAATGACAATTGATTAGCCACAAGAGATATAATTGTCTTAGTAATTAAAACAGAATTTCCCCATAGGTCGGTTGTTTTTTTAACATTAATAGTGTTAAAGGCTTTAATAATTTCAAAGGGGGACACATATTGGAACTTAAATTCACTATCAATTCTTCTAACATTCTCTTTTAAAATTGATTCTGCAAGGTATGGTGAGGAGTTCAAAGATTTAGTAGTTGATACAGGAATGTTAGTAAAAAAATTCTCAAATGCAGCAGCAACCTCAGCATTTGATGTGATAAATTTATTGTTTATGTTTAAATTAAATTCATTATCACGGTTTGGATCTCTGCCAGTTTCACTATTAATAATTTTCCAAGTGGTTTTAATCTTATCATTACTACTTTTAATCTTTGAACTAATAAAACGAGACTTAGCCAGTTTACAAAGTTTCCTAAACAGCTTCGAATATTCTTTAACATAATTATGAAACTGTTCACTTTTATTATAATTCCTCTCATCGTATAGCTCGTATAATCTTTTCCTACTTTTGAGTAAGCCAGGGGTAGCCCATTCACTAAATGTGGCGTTACCTTTAACCACTAGCGTTTTTGGTGTAAAAATGGTGTTAAATGTTGAAGAGAAAGTTTCAAAAAAACTATTATAATAAGTATTAGGGTTATTCTCTACACAGAGTACTGAATTATTAAAAGCAGCTTTAAGTTTATCCTTAAAGTTTTCACAACGCTTTGCGGTTTTAGGTATCACCACAATTCTTTTTTCTGACACTTTTTCATACCTATCACAGAAAGATACTAATTGACCACAGTGGTCAGAATGTAATTGATTGATTATTTTCTTGTCCTTAATAACAATATCTGTAAATATATTGTCCAAACATGTGGCAGTGGTGGCAGTGATTCGTGTAGGCTCCAAGAACAAGTTCTTCAGATTGTATGATTGAAAAAGTGCCTTGAACTTGGTTACTATACTTGAATTTTCCAATAGGTTAATATTGAAGTCACCACAGATGATGACCTTCTTTTTTGATCTTGTTACTTTAACTAATACTTCATCCATAACACGTTCAAAACAATCATACATAGCTGAAGGAGGTCTGTATACACATACTACTATGAAACCTTTTAGTTCTAAACAGGCTATTTCTGTAGTTCGCTCAACTGATAAACTAACAATGTCATGGCGCTCTTTAAATTTAAGTTTCTTATTAATGAGTATCATAGTGCCACCATGTATTGCTGTACTTCTGCTGAACGAGCTGCCTACCTGGTGGTGGTCAAAATTGAACATAAACTGATCCCCTTTTAGCCAGTGTTCAGTAATACAAAAAATATCAATTGCATTGCAGTTCATGAACAGTTCCACCTCCAAGTCTTTGCCCATCATTCCTCTAATGTTTTGATGCACCAAATTTATATTATTTATCATATTATTTTTAATAAATTTACTGTGATTGAACTTTCTATTAGTGATCAAATTAATATTGCAAGAGGTAGTCTCTATTGTCTTATCAGTAAATTTAAATTATTTGAAATGTCAATCTCATTATTATGTAAATTATTAGGTATGTCATTTAAATTTTTATTAATGTCTAAAGAAATATCTGCCAACGGATTGGCAAAGTCGCTATGGGTAATGTCAATTTGCTCAATAGAAGCAATAGTTTTAGCCAAGTTCTTGGCTGTAATGGAAAAATAATATGATAGCGAAATTGCTATCTGTCTCTTATAATAATTAGAAAGGTAATATCTACCTTTCGTCAATGAAATATTATTACTAACAAGCTTGTTAGTGTCGATTAGATGTAATTTATTACAATAGGGTCCATTTATTTGGCAAGTTAGGTTGTGCATCATTATATTTAAATTATATCTAACATTTCTTTCCTTCTGCGACAACCCTTTGCTAAGAGGAAGTGTAAACAATACAATTTTATTTACATCTAACTTTAACAATGATTCAAAGTAGCCTAAGAATTTCTTTTTGTTTACATTTCCCCTGTTACCAACAAAAATGACTAATGAAGTATTTACATTGTGGTCTGATTTGGAATTTAAAACTTTTTCCATAATATCATTAAAAGATGAGTGAGGCATGCAATAATTGCTGAATGAATGTCCCAACTGTGTATTTAACATTAAGGGACCCATGCCCTTTCCAATTTCATCACTAAACATTGCTATGTTATCATTTTTGTACAATTTGTTTGTTTGTAAATGGGAGTCCTTGAATTCAGGTACAAAAGTTCTGATAGGTTGTGGTGGCAGCGAGGAAGGAGCATGTGCTGTCCTGGGGCTGTCTATAGAATACACTGAATCATTACATTTACAGGAGTTAACCAGCCTGCCAATAGCCAGCACCTGCTCCCTGCTCTGCTTTTGGGAAATTTCATATTTATAGGTAATATTACTAAGTTGTTCTTTAAGACGGTCAATCTCACTTTGTAATTCTCTTGTATCTTTAATGTATTGACTCGACATGTTGTCTAGTTCTAATGAGTACATAGACACCTGATCAATCAGATGAAGTCTCTGCCTATTTAGTGACATACTATTAATAAAAAATTTTTGTTTGTGAATCATTTTTTTTGTTTTGGTAATTATTTTTTTAACTTTAATGTATTTTTTCAATTTTCTCAAGCTGCATTTTACAATTTTGTTAGGTTTATAAGTACAACTACTAGTATCATCGTCAGCTGTGAGATCTATTACCATAGATGGATGGAGACTGTCAACTACAGCCCGATCCAACCCCGGGGCAACCAACTCCTCGAACAAACTTTGGTTAGAAGCTACAAGGCAGTTGTGCTTATGAGTGTCGATTTTTGATATTTTTTCCTCTGCTTTCTGTAGTTGGCATTCTAGCTTCCTAATCCTTTTCAGTGCCTGCTCATACTCATCCCTACATGTATCAAAGCTGTCCACAAGGAGTTGGAGCTTGTTCCGGGCATCAACAGAAACTGTATACCGACCATGCAACAGAGACATTTCTTTTTTAAGTTTCTCATTCTCGTTTAATGTCTCAAGGACTTCCCTTTCATTGTCATCTCTTTCCCCAATGAGTTGATCACACCTCTCCTTAGTTGCCTTTAATTCGCTTAAAGTCAGTTGAAGCTTGGACTCCAATTGACGAGCCAAGGCATTACGAGTCTGAACCATGGTGTAAGGCTTTGTGAAAAGGCAAACTATTGTTAAATTATCACCAAGGAGAGTTGATATCACACAGTGGAGGGTAAGTTGTGTAGTGTCAATATAAGCGTCTTAAGAATTAACTACACTTTTACCGAAATCGTATTAAAGAAAATAATAAATAAATCAAATAGCGATACCTGTAAAGCGATGACAATAAATTCCAGGCACAATTTTCAACACTTTTTTAATGTTATTCGTAACTTGCCGGTATCCCAACCGTCACTTACAAATTTGTTTATTTACTAAAATAACATTTATGAACTATTCTTATATAATTTGTGCAAGTAGCATTTATTTGCTTAGTGAGAAATTGGTATTTAAATGATATTTTAAACAGAATATAATATTTAAAACAAAAAAATAAACGGGAGCAATTCAGAACAGCTGTTTACCGCGGGGTTGCCACAGAGAAAAAAAAAAAAAAAAAAAAAAACACAACTAAAAGGACTGTGTGTCATTATTGCGTAGAAGGTGAAAAGTAAAGCAGGCTGTATTTTACAGGAAATCTTAGAACATAGTGATCATTATTTACATTAAGTGACCCGTCTGCTCGTCTGCGTCTGCAAAACGTGAGTGTTTGGACTTTCTAAAATCTGGCCAAACGATTACGGCAGATATCTATTGTCAGCAACAGCAAACCACGAAGGAAGAACTCGCTGCTAAACAACCGAGATTGGTCAATCGCTTTAGGCCACTGCTGCTTCACGACAACGCAAGACCACACACTGCACAACAAACAACCACTAAGTTTAATGAGCTACAATTGGAATGTCTGCGACATCCACCGTACTCCCCAGACCTTGCTCCAACACATTACCATTTTACCGGAATTTGGACAACATCTTACAAGAAAAAAAATTCAACTCCGATGCGGCAGTCCAAACCGCCTTCAAAGAGTTTGATTCTCGCCCCCATGGTTATTTTAGTAAAGGGATCAATGTACTACCTATGAGATGGCAAAAGTGCATAGATAACAACGGTGCATACTTTGATTAATTAAATATACTTAACAAAAAAAAAACTTTATATTCCACCCGTACAAAACGCCAATTTCATATATTTAATACTAACCTCTAAAGGGCTCAATTCTATAATCAACCCACTATTAATCATAGAAGCTAACTCCTTGTTTGACTCTTTAGCTTCATGAAAATCCTTTAAAACCCGTTTCACTATGGGATCCGTGGGTTTCTTTGTCCTATACTTATCATGTATTATCTTCAATATGCCAGCGGAACTTTTCTTCACCATACCGTTCAAGGCATCACAATGCATGCACTTGGTACATGTCTTTGCTTTCTTCTGGACCGCTGCACGAAGATTCTTTTTGTGTAAATACATGATGTCAGGGTTCATAAATTTGCGGCAATAGGATTTCTTCAATGGTTCCGGTAACATGACCCTGGCACATTCCTAAAGCAAGCAAAAAATGTATTATTCATGGCACGGATTTGTCATTATTTATTTATGGTAATTAATAGTAGGGGGTTCATAATTTTCAACCCCCCGACGCAAAAACGACGGGGTAGTTAAATAAGTAGTTATATATTTATACCGATGCCAATAGCCACTCGATGGCATCTCAATAGCGTGTTAGTGGTATGACAGTGGCGTGGCGTGAACATAAAATAGCAGAATTGAGGCCCTGTTTGGTTTACTGTACTTACCACACATGTGTATGTGTGGTAAGTAGAAAATTGTTACTGTATCTGCTTAGTTAAAGTTACAGCTCACAAGCTAAATCACAGTCACCCCGGGATGTGCCTCAGACATGGGGTACGTTAGTGAGGACTCCAGAAACCGTCGATGCGTACCTGCGTTTCCTTAACGAAGTTACAGCTCGCTAATGAGTACCCGGCTTTAGTAGTAGCCTATGCAAATATGGGCATGGGTGGATGAAATAAAGGTCATAGCTGGAGGTGGATGGACAACAGTTGCTAGAGATAGAGGAAAATGGAAACAGTTGGAGGACGCCTTTGCCCATAAAGGCACACAGACAGGTGTCAAATAGAATAATGTTTTTATAAGTAGCGGCACGAAACTCTAGCGGTGACAGTTACTACGCAGAAGTCAAAAATCAGGTACTTTTTGGGGTAAGAGGGACGAAGGGCGGGCGTGCGTAGCGCCGATTGGCTCTCCAGTCGCATTACGTCCCCCGCACTGATACGACACGCCGCTTGCTTCCAGAGTACAGTCGCGTTCTGAGTTATATTGTTATCGCTGTTAATTTTTGTTGCAATAAATACAATACTCATTTAAAGACAATGCAGGTTGCAGCTGGGAACAGAAGACATAAAAAAAGCGTTTTAAAATTATTTAACGTTACAGTCGTATGTTGTGGTAGGGAAAGGACTGCGTTGTGGTATTTAATGCGACAAATCAAGCATCATTGTTTAGATAATAAACTGCTAAGTTGAAAACTTTCACAAAGTGAATTGCATATAATTATAGTTCAACAAATTCTGTTTTAATTTTTCTACTTCCTATAAAGTTGTTAAAAATCCTGGGTAACATAATTTTTTTGGATATTGGAACTATAAACTATAATAATGACATACACATACACTCACGCATACATACGCACGCACACCACGCACACGCACAAACAAAGTACATTTTTTTTTAACATACACGTTTATTACTACTACTTAAGATTTAAATGTTAATACACATGGAGACCAATAATACTGGTTCAACCCAGTGCAGGCTCCCATCTCCTACAAGCACAATAACTGTCTGTATATATTCTTATAGCCTTTACCCGCGGCTTCGCTCGCAGTTTTATCTTTCGTAAAAAATATTATTTTAATAAAAAGTATCATATGTTACTTCTAAAACCTCCAAGAATATGTGTACAAAGTTTCATGATGATCGGTTAAGTAGTTTTCACGTGAAAGCGTAACAAACAAACTTACATTCACATTTATAATGTTATATAGTATGATTACTTACTTACCTTTTGTACCTATTGTTGAGAAAATAAAGAAATTCAAATTTGACGTCTTTCTGAAAGTTGTTCACTTTCAGGCACGTGAACAACTTTCAGAAGTTACACTCTATAACATTAACTATTTACTAAAGTTAATATTTGCGTGCGCGATAGTACCCATGCGCGGCTATCCCTTCCACGTTCCGCTCAGCGCTAGACTTACGTGCCGCTAGTTATAATAAATCTATTTGTAAACGTTTTGTATAAGATGTCTGAATAAAGGCTATTATTATTATTATTATGCAAATGGATTAGACAGAGTTCCCAATAGCTGAAGCAGATCAGTTGTACAGCTTTTGCCAGGAAGTCTGAGCTTTTTAACATAACACACTACACATTAAAACATACCAGGTAACTGTTTTAGTAATAATAATAATAATTCTTACCTTACAAATAGTTTGTAATATAGTGATAATAGATCGGAAGTATCCAACATGAAACACTGGCAGTGCCAGTTCTATGTACCCGTAGTGGCCAACACACTCTGCCAACCCAAGCCCGCAGGTATCACAGTTGGCATCTTTTTGATTTGTACCCTGTATAAATAAAAAAATGTTTAGACTTCAGAAGGAACAATACCATGCAAAGAGAAGTGGATGACTGAACGGATGGAGTAGTGGTTTAAGCGGTCATCTCGCCACTTCCTACTGGGCGTTGTGGGTTCGATCCCTACATGGGACAACACCTTGTGTGATCTGCAAATTGTTGTTCTGACTCTGGGTGTACTTTGTGTCCATTTAATATATGTTCGTAAAGTCCCCCGCAACACATGATTTATTCCTAGTGCGGGAGATGTCTTTTAAAAAAAGAAAAAGAAAGAAGTAGTAAAACTGATACAGAAACTTTAGCTTTAAATTTGACAAGCCTCTTCTTGCAGTTACAGCTGTGCTTATCACTACTCTGCTCAAAAAAGATATAACATAGTGTTTTATAGAGTATTCCTCAATAATTACTCTATTCAATATGAAAAGAATGGTTCTAATCTGACTAATAGTTACTAGATTAATGTGTTTCATCATCAACAGCCTCTAATAGTCTACCGTGGAATATAAACCTGTCCTTAGAAAGAAAGTTTTGGCGTACTATACCACGCTGACCATACAGGTTGGTATAGGGTTTGTTTCTCCTTATCTAAGCAGTACTGCTATACTGCATAGTTTAGTCTCCTAGACCACTCTTAAAACAAAAAAGATGAACACAGGTGGTGACACTCAGTATTCTTAAACCATCATCACACTGATTAATATTCTATGGAGTAATACTGTACATAACAAAGAATTCATACCATTCGTCTGTCCAGGACACCATATGTAGCTGGTACCCTCTGGCCATCCTGGGCATACAGGTTCTTTGTGATGACTTGAATATGGGCTGCCTGTTGTATCGCAGAAGCACTGTCCACATTGAATGTGACATGAGAACTGAAAATAACACAATAAACAAATATAAAGTTATTATAACACTATTTTAAATATACTTCAATTTATTTGTGCTACCTCCGAATAGTACAACAATAAAAAATTACAAAGTTTAGTCAAAATAACAAAAATAAAATACCATATGACCTGGTAAACATAACCTAACTTACATTTTTCTCCCGACGTAGGTTTCACGGTACTGTTCTTTCGGCATTTTCAAACTGTTTTAACAGACGTCGTTTAACACAAACACAATTTTCTTTTTGCGGCTTTTCATAAAATTCTAACTTTGCAAAGCTTTATTTAAAAAATGAAATATAATATACAAAACAACCGTTTCCGTTTATTTTGACATCTTGAAAGCATTCAGAATATAAATAAGAATAGGCACAGCCACAGGCCCCCAGTGTTGCCAACCGTCAAATTAACTCTCCCACTGATTCAACATCTAAAACCACCATAAAATACACCAAATACACCACAATAAGCATTTTGTGAAGAGACTACATATCTACCTACAATTTATCCGTGGCTGTCGTTACTATAGTTACGTTTGACCGTTTACATGTCACTTAACAATTTTTCTTTTCATACTTCTTATCGGTCTGTCTATATAAAATTACTAATAATAATAACTTCACACTTCTCAGACAAGGTCGTCTTTTTCCAAACTGGGCAGAACCTGTGTTGTGGTAACCAAACTGCTGATAAACACACTTTTATATTTCTAAATACATACATATCATAAACTCAGTTCCAAAAATAACGGGTCAGTCACAAAAACCCGAATATCTCCCGAACTACGTATGCCATCCTAATGAAACGAAGACTGTTCAATTGAGAATTTAATTATACAGATAAAAAATAAAACTTATCCCCAAATTAAAAAAAAACTAAAGTAGTCATATTTTTCTTAAGATTACATTTTTTTTATGATTGTTTTTTTGCTGTTTTTCATCACTTTCTTCATTAATACTTTGTATTGCCTCCACGAGCTCTTCTGACAGCTTCCAGGCGATTAGGCATGCTGCACACCAAATTTCGGAGCCGGTGCTGAGGAATACCTTCCCATTCCTCCACCAGTGCTTGTTTGAGCTCGGGAAGCGTGATTGGTGGGGGGTTTCGACCTTTTACGCATCTCTGAAGCTCGTCCCAGGCGTGCTCGATGGAGTTTAAGTCCGGGGTTCGCGCTGGCCACTGTATGAGTTCGATACCGACCTCTTCAAGGTAGTCATGTACAATTCTGGCGGTATGGGGACGCGCATTATCATGCATTAATATGCCATGCCGGTCCATCCTGGCCATGAAAGGACCTACATGTTCATTGAGGATCTCTTCCACGTACCCCTCTGCATTTAGAGTTCCATTTTGAATGAGTACCAGCTCGGTGCGGGCCTCAGTAGGAATCCCAGCCCAAACTTGTACGGAGTATCCACCGTACGCCACTTTTTCCTCCACACACGCTTGATGGAAGCGCTCCCCTGGTCTTCTGTACACCAACTGCCTACCATCATGCTTATAAAGCATGAATTTAGACTCGTCCGTGAACATTACCCTAGACCAATCGTCTAGTGTCCAGTTTAGGTGCTCGCGCACGTATCTCTGTCTTGCAATTCGATGTCCCCGTTCCAGTTTGGGGCCATTCGCGGGCCTCAATGGTTTCAAATTTGCTTCAGCAAGACGTCTTCTTACTGTTTGAGCGCTTAAATTGCCACCTCCAAAGCGAATAAAGTGAGTTTTTAGACCAACAGCAGTTTGAAAACGATTTCGGAGCATTGTAGCCACCAGTTTTCTGTCTTCCCTGGCCGTTGTGCATCTTGGTCTGCCATTTCCTGGTCTTCTAAGGTGTGATCCAGTCTCTTGGTACCGCTGGACTACCCGCTGAACAGTCGACAAAGATACACCAATGTTTCTGGCTGTTTCACGCTGGCTCCGCCCAAGTTTCAAAAAAGTTAGGATTCTGGTACATTCCTCTAGCGTGACTGCCATGCTTCACCTCACAGAATAATAATTATGCACGTGGAAGACGTTCACGATATTTTTTTTTGTGACAGAATAGAAATGGAAAGCATCCATAATGAAATGAAACAAAAATTTTGTTTTTAAAAATAGTCATTTTTTGTTTTTCTAATGAAGTTTTTTCATCAACCAGTTTAAATAATATGCTATTAGAAGCGCAACTAAAATGTATTTATTCTGTTTTTTATTTCATTGATCTAACTTTTACAGTTCTGGAGGTATTTCAATTTTTGTGACTGACCCGTAAATTTTGGAACCGAGTGTAGATAAATTACACCCAGACATCGAAGAAATGACCGTGTTCATCACACAATATTTGTACTGGGTGGAAATTGTACAATTGGACTACTCATGGACAGTCATGGTCACTAAACACTAGACCATCAGGCCCGTCAAAAGTGGTTCCACATTATAAATTCAACACATATTAATAATTCGTTTCCTTTATCATTGTGTAATACTAACAATAAATAAATCAATATTTAAATAGTAAATCAACTTTTGCGACCAAAAAGGGGTCGAAACCACCAGTTTTAGTGGAAAATCCACTGAGCTAGTAACACTAAGTTAAACAGACATGGTGTTACTGATGTGACGCATAATGCTGCCAGCTTTAAGTATAAAAGATAGTAATTGTTTTGAGGTTGCCATTTTAAAAAACACAAATCTACCATTTGTAGAGAAATGGTTAAACTTACGAACTCGAATCTATTTTCCTATAATTTTAGAGCAACTGGACCAAAATATGCTTTGGTTATCTACTTAATGCTACATAATTAAAATAATAAATGATTCATGGAAAAAAATGCATAAAAGTCCATATACAGAATGGCTGTGGAGATTCGCTACTCCTCAGTAATAATATTATATAGTGCGAAAGGCAATGTTGCTGACATAACACGTCATGGTTGTATGCAAAGTCCACTCTACATAATTTTTATCTCATCAAAATATTTTGCGAACCATGAGTAATATGTTAAAGAACATTAATGACCAAGATAATTCTTGGGGTAGTATATTCTAAAGCTCTATGGGTCTCTAAACGAATAATGCGAGTTGCGTTACATTTGAAGAAGGTCTAATAGAAAAAATGGATGACCTCTCTCCCAGTACTGCCTTTTTAATAGCATGGAAAGTCTCAATTTTACAACAGACCTATTTGACGAACACATGTAAATGGTGTGTTTTATAGATCCCTGCACTTGAAACAAAAACATCACTTACGATATTTTTGCAGTTTTTCATAGACCACAATATTATCGGTTGGCTCACGCTTATCCAAATGCCTTTCATACTATTTTCTACCAATTAAGTAGCATGCTATAACTTGCCTTAACCCAGTTCATATGTTTCTGGCGTAAAAAGAAGCGCCTCAGCGCGCCGTTTTTTGGCTTGTCAACTGAAACCACGCAACATTTTTCACTCGAAATATTTAACAAAACGTATCAATTTCCTAATGTGCTATTCAATGGGACATAGGGTTAGATGCGCCATACAAAGTTAAGTGATATACAACACAAGTGTTATTGTTTTAAAGGACTTATTATCGTTTTCCCACCGTCGTGACCCGCGAACTCTCAACATGCCTCTGTTGAAAAGGAAAGCATTTGAGAAATCAACGGCGTCGGAGTACCTCCGCGATGAAGATGAGGTCTTCCATTGCGAGATCACCGACGAGATATTCAAGGATTATGAGTAAGTACATAAATAAACAAAATAGCCGCCTAAATTTCACGATTTTCTCATGTTTAATGTAGTTATCAGTTTTACGGGGGACCGTTGGCATTGTGAGTGCGCCGCGGATCGCGCAACAACGCGAGCGTGACACGATATTTCGCTATTTCTGTCATTGGCGTCACAATTTTTATCATGTTAGATGATAATTTAATAATGTTTGTTTACAGGGAGTACTGTGAGAGAATCATTTTGGTTAATTCAATGGTGTGGACATGTGAGATGACTGGGAAAAACAATTTAACGTACTCAGAAGCTTTAAGCAGTGAGAAAGCAGCCAGGAAAGCTCTTAAAGATTTTCCTATGGAACTGCGGATCCCCATACTATACTTGGCTGTGAGAACAAAGCGGTGTTCTTTTGCTGAAATGTCAGAGGATGTGTTTAATTTTGTGAGGGACAGATACTTTGTTGGAGAGACAGTAGAGGCATGCCTAGAGGGTGACCATTGGAGTGAGGGTCATATCCTTTCAGTGACAGCACAGAAGCAACATCCAGACAGGTTTGTTTTAACATTATTTAACGTCATGAATTAAATACTTTAAATTCTATTATCATAAAGCAAATGTTTCTAATAGGAACACAGTTTAAACTGTAATAACAATATTTATCATAATTAAAATCTAGGTTGGCTGATAAATACATATTTGTCATGTGTACTAAAAATTTGTTATTAAACTCTTTGATAGTTAGTTACTTAGTTTCTAATCTTCTGGTTATGAAAATTTTATACCTCAGTCTATACATACTAGGTATGGGGTAAAATCACAATCACTTGTGATTAATCATATGATTTTAAAATAATCTCACCTGTGCCTCATCTACAACATCACTGCTACATAAAAAAAAATTGTTTTTTGAAAGGTGGCATATATCTTTGTTTATGACCAAATCATCATCAAAGTTGAAATCACAGTTACCAAAACTAATAATATAATAATATGATTATGATTAAAAGTAGCAATAATATCCATGTCTAATACATACCTACACTCAATATTTGTTGTGTGTAAATGCATGGGTAATTGTATAACATAGTAATGCTCATCATAGACTGGTATGATACCACAGTCTCACATAAAGCGGTGTTAAAAGCTAGGTAGACTTACCAAAGCCCAAATCCTGTTCTCCTTTTTTTTCTGTGTGGAAATCCCTTCGGATACCACTCACCGGTGGCTATGTCGGATTCGAAACCAATACATATATGTATATTGTAATTCATATAGAGTGTATTGTATGTACAGAAATAGAAATAATAAAAATAAAATAAGAATGACGACTAATAGGATTTATATAGGTAATAGCTAGGTCCAACCCCCGCCCCCCTCCCTCTAATTCTTTGAGAGGTGCACTAAAAGTGTGTAAATGCACTTGTGTCTTTTTCAGTTGTGGTGGTGGTGTATCCATAGTTGGTGGTAGTTATCATCTGTATCAATTATAATATATAACATTTTAAATTTATCTTTAAAGTCAATTATATTTCATTGTGAAGGCCATTTGAATTGTAACATGAGGAATTAATACTAAATAATAAAAAAGTATTACCTCATAAATTCATGCAGGATTCAGAACAATGTTTCCTGTAGTAAGTTCTCAACTAACCATATTGTATATAACTAATTAATTGAATATTACTTTGGGTTTTGTAGCTCATTTTATCTACAATCTTAAGCTTTTTTACTGGCTTCTTGAAAACAATCCTCATAAATTCTTTTAAGCCCTTGCGAAGTCAGAATGTTAAAGAAGCTTCCTCATGGTGTTATATTTACCCAAAATGTGAACCAATTAAACTTTTTTTTTAAAAGACAACTCGCATTAGGAATATATCCTGTGTCGCGGAGGACTTTATAAACATACATGAAACGGACACAAAGAACACCCAGACTCAGAACAACAATTTGTGGATCACACTCAGCGTAGTAGTAAGTGGCGTGGCGACCGCTTAAACCACTACGCCATCCATGCAGTCTTAAAGAGCCTGTACTATGGTAACCAGACTGCTGCTAAACATATGTATATTTTGAAATAGATACATATTACAGATCAATTACAACCAGACACAGAACAAATGACCGTGCTCGTCACACAATATTTGTCCTGGGTGGGAATCGAACTCACGACCTCCGGTTTAGCAGTCAGGGTCATTAACCACTAGACCAACAGGCCCGTCAAACTCGACAAATACTTAATTAAATACAAGAAGAATAACTAATAGGAATCTCTTGGGATGGGCTGTAACCTCAAGATTCCTATTAGTTGTGACTGATAAAATCCTCTGCTTTTATCAGATGTTTCCACTGCCTGCCTGCCCATTTGTAAAAATTACCTTTTCGAGAATAAATCATATGATCAGTAATAGCTAATGTTTCGAATAGAATAATAAAATAGATGAATTATAGCTTCAATCTTGTTATAACCTTATATATTATCCTGTCAATCAGCCTATTTTTGTCATTATTAATTGTCTTTACCATGATTATCATATTCTGAAATAGGATTAGAGTTGATTTATTACTTCATCTGCCAAGGATCAAGCAATGACTCTTGGGATACTTTCTTTATTAGAAGTACCAAGATGACATTGTTTTTTAAACGTTTTTTTTTGGTAATTTTTCTAATAATAAAACCTAGCTAGATCAATTAATGGCCCCCGCATCCCCCTGCATACTAAATTTCATGCAAATCATTATAGTTTCCCAGATTCTGATTATATATATATACAAGAATTGCTTGTGTAAAATATCGTCAGATATTGGGTTCCAGTTACATGTGCTATCATAAATCATACCAACTTCATAGTAATCTGGAAATCTATAAAAAATAGTACATGAACAAAGTATAAAACCAATTACTGAATATCTTCAAAGTTCTTCCCTAGACAATGTACAAGACTATATAACTCCTTTAGAAGTAAATACAAACCTCAAGAAAGTCAGTTTTCTTTTATAATTATGATGTTTTTAATTCTTTGAATGACTTTATAAAGTTACTACCAACTCCCTTCAGTTTCATTTACATTTATGATCACTGCTCTGCTCCTATGTTAATAGCGTCCAGAGTCTTAATCATTAAATAACATAATCTAAAATCTTCCTCATTGATACATTCAATTTAAAAAAATATTCAAATAAGACAGATCTTTAAGGAAAGAGTGTACTCTCGCCTCAAAGCCCGGCAACGCCGTTATGACTCCCTTCTTAAACTCTGGCAACCAGGGGCGGACTTGGCGAGCAGGGAAAAATGTTTAGTTTATGCTACGAGTATGAGCAGTAGAATGTGTTGCGTTGCATTTTGTGTTTTTTAAATATCATCATTAAGACTAATTCAACAATGACAAGGGCCTCGCAATGATCTACCTGCCCGGGGCCTCGCATTGGCTAAGGCCGTCACTGCCGGCAACACGCTTGTGACTCCTGCCAAGTGGTTACCGTCGTCCATGGACGCTCGCAACTCAAAAGACACAAGTGCGCCGGTGCCCTTTGAGTACACCTTCTCTTTCCAAAACGAAAGCTTGGGCTCCATTAACTCCATTAAACATTTCACTCGGTGAAATGTAACGGAAAATCGCTTAACACCAGTTTTCAGGCCGCGCGTGGTATTACTCCGACCGACCCGGCCCATATCTTACGAAACATGGCTCGCCCACGGTGGTTCCTACGCTTCCTAATAGTCATACTAAATGACATAGTTAGTCATGTGTCAACAAGCTGCAACATAACATCTAAAGGCTCAGACTGAGAAACAAGGGGTTGCCGATTTGGAACCCACTCAATTCAACTTTGTAGTATCCTCTTTCTTTTTTAATGTCTAAATACCAACTCACTTTATCTCAATTCCCACAGCAAAACCATATTACCATCAGCAGCATACTGTTATGAGGTGGAGCAATATGACCAGTCAGACCCATCTGCCTCGGGTCAGATCGGCACAGCTCCCTTCGACCGCGTGCGTCGACGTAAAGGCGTGTACACACGTGACAAAAATCGTCTTTTCCTCAAACAGTTTGTCGAGATTGGACCAGGTGGCATTATCAGTATTAAGGTAAGAAAAGGGCTATGTACTTACGAGGGGTGATCAATAAGTAATGATAATCGAGTATTTCTAGAACGCACAAAAACCCAAATTATTTTTTTTCTGCTTGCTTATATATCCACTACTTCAGCTTCAAAAAAATGTATAAATAGGACACCATTACCGGGAGATACATTCATTTGAATACGAACTGTCGAAGAGAAAACATCAAAATGGAGAAAAATGAAATAAGAGCTGTCATCAAGTACCTCTGCCTGAAAAAAATGTCTACCAAAGACATACACAGCGACTTAGAGGAAACATTGGGGGAGTCTGCTCCTCCATATTCCACAGTCGCACGCTGGGCAAAGGAATTTAAGCTGGGCAGAACCTCCTCTGAAGATGAACATCGCGAGAGGAGAAAGACTTACTGGAGAAAACGTCAAAAAAGTGGAAGATATCGTGTTGGCCGATCGAAGGGTGACCGTAAGGCATGTAGCTGAGGTCACAGGGATCTCCTATGGCAGCGTTCAAAAAATCATTGTCAACAAAATGCATATGAAAAAGGTCTCTGCGCGTTGGGTACCAAGAATGTTAACCGACGAACAAAAAAAGAAACGAGTCGACATTTCGAGGGTGAATCTTCAAAAGTTCCAGGCCGCTAAATAATTTTTTTTGTCGCGTTTTGTGACCATGGACGAGACCTGGATCCACCACTTTGATCCCGAAACCAAACAACAATCAATGACTTGGAAACGAGCTTCCTCACCAACGCCGAAGAAATTCAAAGTGTCAAGTTCAGCGGGAAAGGTTATGGCGTCTGTTTTCTGGGATGCAGAAGGAATTATTATGGTGGAATATTTGGAAAAGGGGGCCACTATAACAGGCTCCTACTACGCAGGCCAAATAAGAAGATTGCGAGAAGCTATTAAGTCAAAAAGCCGCGGTAAACTGCGCGCTGGAGTGCTGTTTCACCAAGACAACGCCCCGGCTCACAAAGCCGCAGTTGCGATGGCTGCCATTGAAGAAACGGGGTTCGAACTGCTCGAACACCCTCCCTATTCGCCAGATCTAGCTCCCAGTGACTTCTACCTCTTTCCTCGGCTCAAAGAACACCTCCGGGGCAACAAATTTGAGGACAATAGTGAAGTGATGGCCGCAGTAGAGGCATTTTGGGAGGGTCAAGACAAAGAATTTTTTTCTAAGGGAATCATGGGCTTAGAAAAAAGATACACTAAATGTATTAACTTGCAAGGAGACTATGGTGAAAAGTAAAATACTTTTTTTAATCTAATAGTTCTGTTTCATATTGATTATCATTACTTATTGATCACCCCTCGTATATTATAAACCAATGGACACGTGTGGTGACGGATTAGGAATACAGAGTGTCACCACCCCTATTCATCCCGTGGGTGTCGTAAGAGCCGACTAAGGGAAAAACTACGCAGAACAACAGCACTGCAGACAGAAGGAAAACTTGACACAAACCCTATACCAACCCGTCTGGCCAGTGTGGTATAGTAGGCCAAAACCTCCTTTCTAAGGAGAGGCTTATGTCCAGCAGTGGACTATTAAAGGCTGTTGATGATGATGATGATGGACTCTCCTATGACACATATATTTTGGTAGTAATGAATTAGGCCAAAACTCCTTTCTAAGGAGAGGCCTACATCCAGCAGTGCACTGTTAAAGGCTGTTGATGATAATTGATGAATTAGGCCAGGGCTGTCATGTTTAGTGTAACATCCATTACACACAAACAAAATGCCAAAAAACCTATGGAAATTTAAACTGTCTCCAATAAAGTTTGTTTTTGTCAAAAGGTGTATTGGTCCTATAAATAAGCGTAATTAGACATTACAAAAACTTATTAGTATAATATAATGAGAACCGAAACACTATTTTTGATGATAATTAAGTAACCCAATAACTGCCAATATTAACCTCTAACAAGCTACTTTAAATAAATAATAATATGTTCAGACATTGACACACAATGCCATCTAGTTTCAAACTAACCAAAGCTTGTACTAGGAAAGTTAGATTGGTTGATGGAATACTTATACATATACTTTTTTTTTGCAAATACATACATATTTGAAAACACCCAAACTCCGAAACAAATATTTGCAGATCATACAAACATTTGGTCCGACCCAGGTATGGAACTCGAGACCTTAGCACAGCAGTTGCATATGCCATACACAATTTCCTGGCCATTGTAGTATAGTAGGCGAAAACCTTTCTAAGGAGAGGTGTATGGTATGATGAAGGTTTGGTATGTAAGATATACCTATTTAATTTTTCATTTTTTACAGCAATCAACATTAGAAAAATACAGCATAAGCAAAGTAAGCTTCAGTCAAATATTTACTGGCAACCCACCTGACTTTGCTCTGTCTAAGAAACTTCTCAAGTCTCCGTCACCAAACAAACCACAGTCCAAGCCGGGGTCAGCTAACAAGGTGAACAAATCCCTGAAGAAACCTAGCCCTGATAAGAGAGGCCAGCAATCTATGGACAAGTTTGTGAAGAAGACTGATAAAGCCGAAGGTACAGTTGCTTAATAATATACAGAAATTATATATCGTTCATATATACAGGGTGTAAGGGACGTCGTAACGAATACTGAAATAATAAGAATATATCTCGCACATCTCACACACAGCCGTCTGATCCCAAACTAGGCAGAGCCTGTTACAATGGTAACCAGACTGCTGATAAAAATACTTATATATTTTTAAATACATACATATTATAGATAAATTACACCCAGACAGAACAAATGACCCTCACTCAATATTTGTCTTGGGTGGGAATCGAACCCACGACCTCCGATTTAGCAGCCAGGGCCACTAACCACTAGACCAATACGTCAATAGTGTATTCAGACCATCATTCTGAGTCGAAAATTATTGGAATTTTCTGCCGGAAAAAAAGAAATGTCTTTTTTTGATCCTCTAGAATATTGAGCTTGATTGCAGTTTTCGGTGGTGATAAATTTAAAGTAGTTTATCCGTGTGGTGACGGATTAAGAATACTTTCATATTGTCAACACCCCCAATCATCCCGAGGGTGTCGTAAGAGCTGACTAAGGGAGTAAACTACGCAGGACAACAATACTGCAAAGAGCAGGAAAACTTGACACAAACCCTATACCAACCTGTCTGGCCAGCGTGGTATAGAAGGCCAAAACCTCCTTTCTAAGGAGAGGCACATGTCCAGCAGTGGACTGTGAAAGGTTGTTGATGATGATGTATGGTGAACTAGCTTTTTCCCATGGCTCCACCCGCGTGTATGTCGGTTATCGCGCTAAAAAGTAGCCTATTTCCTTTCTCAAGAATCAAAGTATCACCATGGCAAAAATCATTATAATTGGTTTAGCCGTTTAGCAAAGCATAACAGACAGACAAAGTTACTTTCACATTTATAAGATTGGTTGTGAATTCTTCAATCATTTTTTCTCATCTGTCGCCATTAACATTACTCCAGTATTATCATATTTATAATTAAATTCTTCCCTACACAGTTCAAAAAGCGAAACCTCCAGCAGACCCGGCAGCTAAAAAGAGCGCACAAGAGTTAGCAGAAAAGATGCGCAAAGCTGAAGACCAGTTACGACAGCGGAAAGAAGAGGAGAGAATAAAAAAGAAGGAAAAGACTGCCCGGTTGCAGGCTTATATGAAAGAGTGGCAGAAGGTCAAGGATGATATGGAATTAGAAGACCAAAGGGTGAGAATTTAAAAGTAATATTTCTTAGTTACATAGCATGCATTCAAAAATATTAACTGGTACTTAAATTTTTTGCATACAGCATGTCATAGTTTTGACTAAGTTTATTTCAAAATCCTCTTAATACTCCAGTTATGGATAGTAAATTCTTCGCTAGCATCTAATTTATTTATTAACTTCAGTTAGAAAAACCAACAGCTACAAAAATGATAATGGTCAGGTTGATATACTACATCAAAAGAAAAGAAAATAGTGTACTCCTTACTCAAAGGCTGGCAACGCGCTTGTGACTCCTGAGTTGCAAGCGTTCATGGGCGGGTGAGGTTCAGGTGACCCGTCTGCTCATTTGCCCCCTAATCCATAAAAAAAAATCAAGCCAATTACAGGTTTTCACGAATAGAATAATTTTAATTTAACAGAGGTTCCAATGACCAGCTACTAAAAGGTACCGGTCGCGAACTATCCCTTGAGAACATGACTCGTGACCCTTACTCCTGTATCCATCACCTAATTGATAGACAGAGACAGATTGACTTATCAGCCGCCGCACATTTAGTCTTTATGAAGTAATGGGGGGGTCAAGCCCATTGTCGTCACTTGTGTGTCGTCATTCAAAAAGAAAAATGGTCAATTCAAAGGTTTTCATAACTGGAGCTGTCTGACACCTGGAAGCGTGTGTCCTCTAATTTAACTGCTTTCATTCACAGATTATACCAAAAGGCACTTTGATAGAAGTAGAGGGTATACCACATCAGCATTTCGGCGACTTCCTCTCCGTTCTCGAGTTCGTGCAAATGTACTCTGACATTCTGAAAGTCAAAGACGTGTTCCACAACCAGCTGGATCTGGAGACATTTCGAAAGGCTTTGACTGTCAAGGAGCACGCTGGAATGTTCAGTGACTTGATACAGATGTTCTTGACTACTGTATTCTCGTTGCAAGAAGATGAGGCTGAAGAGTATAATGAGAATGGTGGAATTCTACTTTCTACTGGTAAGTCGGAACGCCGCTTCCTACTACGCCGAGTGTTGTGGGGTTCAAACCCCACATGGGATGACATTTTGTGTGATCCACAAATTGTTGTTCTGAGTCAGTTGTGTCTGTTTCCTATATTTTTGTAAAGTCCCCTGTGACACAGGATATATTCTCAATGCAGGACTAGTTTTTTTTTTCATTTAATGTTCTTAACTAGCTTAGATTGACCTGTTGGTCTAGTGGTTAGGGACCCTGACTGTTAAATAGGAGGTCGTGTATTCGATTCCCACCCAGAACAAATAGTTCTGTGATGAGCATGGTTCATCAACAAGTTGTTATGGTGCAGAAAGTCTATACAATGAAAATATAAGTTATAATGGAATAAAATAAAATGTAATTAAGTATAGTAAAAGTTCTACCATCACCTCCGTAGTATACCATAAAAATAATAATTTCCACAGAGGACAAAGAAGTGGACAGTGAGATGGGTGTCACTAAAGCAGTGGAACTGGCCACTAAAGCCAGCAAATGGTCACAAACATACCTGGGCACACCGCTCAGTAAACTACCTCTCGACCCGACCACAGTTAGTGAAGTGTTAAGGTATGTTATTAATATACATTATTAGAACTTTAGATTTAGACTTTGAAATGTTGGGTTATTTCTATATTCTAAATGTCAACCTTTTTATCAAATCTGGCTCCGATAGGACCATGTACAATCTTCCAAAAAGTCCCAAGGGCCGTCAAGGTATTTGAACTAAAACACACTTGCTCAGAATGAGGTAAATTTAATAGAAAAGTTACACAATGTTATATCGTCTCGAAGAATCTTAATATTGCGATATAGGTTTATGCAACAACGTCATCTTTCGAGACGGATGTAAATATAAATAATGACTAGTTAACAGTGCATACAATATAGAATAGAAAATGATTCATACATAAAGTTGTATTGAATTGCTGCTGTAGCACGAAAAAAAGACAAATCGTTAATAGTACAAATTAAAAACAAGATATTTAAAATTGATTCTAGTTTGTTATTATTTTAAATATCTATCACATAAATAGCTAAAAATAGAAGAGTTTAGAATTTCAACATATTAATAATATTGTTTCTTGTTTAGGAAGTATTAATAACCTTTAGCGTTCAATAAAATAAAGTTGGAATTTGGATAAGTAGACTAGTTAATGAGAAACAATTTGATAATATCAAAGTCTGAAGTCATAATTAGTTAGAAAATGAATAGTAGGTAAGATAAGTGGGTAGTGACGGAGTGTGGGTCTCGTACAGGCTGCACCTGCTGTCGTCGGGGTCTGCGGCGGGCGGGCGCTGCGCCACGTGGCGCTACCACCAGCGCGGCGGCTACACCAGCGCCGACGACGCCGGCCTGCGCCTGCGCGTGGCGCACCCGCACCTGCTGCGCCTGCTCGCCTCCACGCACGTCGCGGACCTGCCGCTCGGTACGCACGCACTTCTATCTGATATAACCTTGACGAATAACATCTAACCATAAATGAAACATAACTAACCCCTTCCATAGTATATACAATACCAATCACCCATAGTACAAAAGATGCATGATAACTTTAATATAACCGACCGGAGTGATACCACACCCCCACAGAAAACCGGTGTTAAGCAATTCTTTAGTTGCCTTTCACTGAGTGAGTGAGGTTACCGGAGCCCGAATCCTCCCTCCTGCTGACTCGAGCGGGAGGGACTCCAAGGGCAGCAACGCACTTGTGACTTTTGAGTTGCAGGTGTCCATGGGCGGCTGTAGTTGCTTAACATCAGATGACCCGTCTGCTCGTTTGCCCCCATACCATAAAAAAAAACACAACAACCCACAATATGTCTTGTCAATTACAAAACCTAACATGGCAATCAAAAAACTTACAGCTTGGGTAACCAATATTTGTTCTAAAAAATGAGGGATGACTTTTTTTCTTTCCAATAACTTACTCAAAATAGTATCTAACTATAAGTCTTTGAAAAAAAAAAACACTCCCAGATAAATATAGTAAAGGACTAAAGTATATCATTATTGTTTCCACAGAGGATAAGTTCCTGATTCTGCAGTGTCTAATGAACCAAATACTTAGCTACGCTACAGTGCGTGATGTCGTGGAAGAAAAACTTGAAGAGTTGAAAAACGCCAAACAAGCGCTTAGAATGCATCAGGTAATATTTACTTATTTCTAGTAAACACTAAGCAATAGCGAAGCCACGCCCTGTGAAGTACTACGTACTTTAGGTATGAAGATACGGGTACGTAGCGACCTCAACCTACGCACATTATTCAGTAAACTCACGCCTCGAGTTTATCATTCGTCCACAAAGTAACGTGTACTTTATGTCAACGTACAACTAATGTTTATTTTCTTAGATTAAAATATCTCTTAGCTAGCTCAGAGATATGAAATTATCACAAGAAACAAATAAAAACTAAGGCTTTGGGCCGCACTCACCGCTTCCTTGACCAGCTCTGCGCCCGAGTTGTTTGGATTGTCTCAGGATGATCCGCTCGAATAGGCAGGGTGCACCACTGCTTGTAAGCCAGTTCTAGTATGATCTTGCGGTTGGTTTTTATTAACTTTTTTAAGCGGAGCTCGTGACCGCAGCGCGCTGTTATTTTATGTGACAGGCTTACGCGCATTTGACTTGATTGGTGGACTGGAATGGCCCAAAACCCTACAATATTTATTTCGATATTGTGAAATAAAATACTTTTCTTCAAGCTTCATCTATAATTTATATATACATCTAAATCTAATCTAGGTTTATTTAATGATAAACTCTTCTGGATGGTTTGTTACAATAGATATGATATTTTAGGGGCATATTGTTGCAATTTAATACTAAACATACACATAGTTTTTGAATGTGTTATAGTCTGTTAATACCTGTATGTTGTCTAAAATACATATTCGTTTTTTTTTCCAGATAAATGAGCGGAAACGTGAAGTACAAGTCCAGGCCTCTAAACAAGAGCTACGGAAAGAAGCTGCACTCAAGAAGGAGGAAAACAAATTAGTCGGCGAAAAGGCGAGAGTCGTGGACGAGGAGACCAAGGCCGCCATAGACAAACTTACTGCAGAGAACGAGGAAAAGAGAAAAGAGTACGAGAAGAAGTTGAAAGAGTTACAGATAGAGTTGTTTGATTTTACTTCATATGTTGGTGAGTCAAATTTTATGTTGATAGTTAGAATATTTAAGTTACTTCTGTTGACATTTTGATGTCAGAAGGAAAGGGTTAAAAGATAAAAAAAAAACTTGCTTGAAATTTTTGGCGTGAGTTTAGGTTATTGGTTTAATGCTTTATCCATAAGATGTAGCGATGAGTTTTTACATATGTAGCAGAATGCTGTCCAAGTTAAATTATCAGGAATACGACGTGTAATTTTGCGTAATGGTTGAAGCGGTCGCCACGCCGCTTCCTACTACGTCAAGTGTGTGGGTTCAATCCCCACATGAGACGACACTTTGTGTTATCCATAAATTGTTGTTTTGAGTCTGGGTGTTCTTTGTGTCCTTTTCATGTATGTTTGTAAAGCCCTCCGCGACACAGGATATATTCCTCATGTGGAAGTTGTCTTTAAAAAAAAAAAAGAAAAAATAGCATATTTACTTGATTTATTGTGTAACAACTGCCGGCAAGCTTCACTCAGTTGAATATAAGTGAACGAGCGTGGTTTAAGAAGGTGTGCGTGTGCGCAGGGTCGGACCGCGCGTTCCGGCGCTACTGGGTGGGGCGCGGCGTGGCGGGGCTGTTCGCGGAGGCGGGCGGCGAGGCGCGCGGCGCGTGCACCAAGCCCGTGGCGCAGCTGCCGCCCGCCGCCGCCGCCGACACGCTCGCGCACGTCACCAAGCTCTTCGAGGCGCAGCGGGAGCGAGGTACCCGCTCACTTCCTACTGTTGCTCCGTCCTTTACGTTAAATACCTCCACCGGTCCCATCCCATCACGTCACATCGACAGAATTAAATAGTTCACTCCTGGACATGGGCCTCTCCTTAGAAAGGAGGTCTTAGCCTACACTGACCGGACGGGTTGATATAGGGTTTGTGTCGAGTTTTCCTTCTCTTTGCAGTGCTGTTGTCTTGAGAATGTTGTACATTGCTTATTCTGCTCATTGCATAAATTACAATCTTTTTTTATTTTGTATAATAAACAATCTTGATCGTTGACACTACTCTTGACGACTCCCACCTCAAAGACAGTGTCCAAGACCCACCTAAATTGTCATTGATGGTATGGCAGTAATATCACTTTCCATCAGGTGTTTCATCCCGTCTGCTCGTTTGCCCCCTTTGCCGTAAAAAATACAAACAGATGCTCATTATAAAAATATCTAAAAAACATTCACTTCATAAAAATAATGCGAAAATATTCATATTAATTATATTTTTTTAATAAAATGCTTTTAATTTACAAACCATCAAAGTCTTTTAAAGGTATTCCAAATGTATTAAGTTTATTTTTAACATGTTAAATTCTTTTTTATATTATTTTAAATGTTTAAATTATTTGCCTCTAAATATTTCCAGTAACTTGTATCTATTTCTTTCAGCTGGCAGTGACAAAGAAAACGAGTCGGGTGCAAACTCGCGGGGCAGTTCTCCTAAAAAGCCTCTAACAAATTTAAATGGTCTTTCACACAAGTTGAACGGCTTGGAGTCAACCACACAACAGTTGAGGGATCTACTCATGTGTACAGGCGACATTAACTCGTGCTATGTTCATGGCAAGGTGAGAAACTTTGAAAAAACCACCAGGGATTTGACCATTTAATAATGGCAGTTAAATACAAGAAGTTTATACAATTATATTTCATAGTTAAACAGTAACGTCCGTGTGGTGACGGATTAAGAATACAGAGTGTCACCACCCCTATTCATCCCGTGGGTGTCGTAAGAGCCAACTAAGGAAGCAAACTACGCAGGACAACAGCACTGCAGAGAGAAGGAAAACTTGAAACAATCCCTATACCAGCGCGTCTGGCCAGCGTGGTAAAGTAGGCCAAAACCTTCTTTCTAAGGAGAGGCCTGTGCGTAGCAGTGGACTTGTAAAGGCTGTTGATGTGAAACAGTAAATAATTACTCCACTGCCTTTTTTTTGTAATGATAGGCCATGCTCACTTCGCAACCTAGAATTAAATAATTTATTTAACACTCTGCTGTGTTACCCATGGCTTATTTGATACACTGCTCATCTCACAGGAACACTACATTTTTTAGTAAAAGAGTAGCCCGTATGTAAATCCTAGCAGAAATATCCTCATGATATCGTCACCCAAACTTTATTGTATTTATTATATTCCGTATGTATAATATATTAATAGTTATCTATGTATTCGTCTATCTATTTTAAATAGTATTATCAAATTTATGTTATATTTTCATAGCTTCTCTTCTTATTACATAATACATGTGCACCTTCCATGTCCTTTACTGAACCATCTTAAGGTTGACTGGTAGATAATGCCATGTGGCATTAAGTCCGCCTTGTGCAAACTGTAATGCAGGAAGTGTAAAAAATAAAAATAAAATAAATAATAAATCCAGGGTGTCACCTCCACACTAAATGTTATCCAATTGGTCCAGACGTTTAAGCGTGAAGAACAAACATACGAACACACACACTCACAAACCTTTGCTGTATAAATTTAGTGTGATTCAATTAAGCTAAAAGTACAAGGCGGGTCCGATTCGTCGATGCGGTACATAATACTCACTTATACATAGTAATTGTATTTGTTACAGGCGGAACGGCCACGTTGGGTTGTGTACCACACAGAAGAACAACTGGATGGTCTCATCCAGTCACTCAACAAGCGTGGGCTTCGCGAGAGCGAACTGCGCCAGAACCTGGAACAGGATCGCGCGAACCTCCTCCACCACATCAGCAGGTGTCCCGTTCACCTGCTTAACCCTGCTGCTGCATCTGTAAGTTTGTTAAAATCAGCACATGACCATCCAGAAATCAATTTAGTTTTGTAATTAGTTTAATTTTTACTAAAATTGTCTAGTTGCTTTAAAGCGTACAGAGAAAGGGATGAATCATTTTTAAATTTAATTTTACTGAACACATCATTTTTACAAACGATATATCGCGTTCCCCACTGCAGACTTCTTCGTTATATTCGGGTCCAGTAAAACCTTTTGTCTACCTCACCCAACCAAAACCACCAAACCCGTAAACCAAAGGATAGTAGATAAATAAAGAATTTTTGGCTTTTTATCTTTATCTATTATAAAAAAATACAAACTGTTTATTACTTTACCTGAAGATATATCTTTATTAACTGAAACTAGAGAATGAAACCTGCACCATTTTGATTTAAATACATTCTATGATTCTAGTCACCGCCACCTCCAACGCATCATAACACCCGACACAGAAAGTTCCAGCCCTCGCTAAATGTGCCTCCCGACAGTTCATTATCGGAGGCGTTAGAATTGTCACTCAGAGACCACATTCTTGAGCTGGAGGAAAAAATATTCCACGGGTGTTTAGGTTCATTGAAAGTTAAGGTATGTTTATGTAATTATTTATATAGTGTTACGATCCGTCAGGACTCTTCGAGGGAGACTTTATTAACCCCAGAATAATTGTAATAATAGCGCTGGACGACACGGGACAGCTTTATTAGTATATGTATAAGGTCGGGAATAGATTGTCGCGCAATGTTGTTTTACCGCGTTTCTAGAATTCTAGAATTGTTAGTCTAAATATAGATACATATTTTTTTTTATGTAAATACTTTTGTACACTTTTTAATAATAATATTTTCTGACATCTGGCACAGTGGTACCGCATGCCAGTGTGCTAAGGTCTCGTGTTCGATTCCCTGGTCGGACCAAATGTTTGTATGATCTGCGAATATTTGTTTACAAAAAAAAAGGTATATAAGTATTCTATCAGGCAATCTAGCTTTCATAGTACAAGCTGCTTAGTTTGAAACTAGATGGCGTTGTGTCAGATGTCCGAAAATATTACTATTATAGAAATGCCGATACACATATTTGTAGATCATACAAACATTTGACACACAACACATGACCCGGAATATTTTACTCCTTGTACAATAGGGAATATGCACGTGACACCGAAATGGACAACTTATTTTTATTTGTAATTTTTGTTGCTAAAAAAAGATACCCATACAATTATTTTTGAAATTTATTATAATTTAATAGTGAAATTTAATCATCAAAAATTGGCTTTTTTAAGATTCCCTCGCAAATTTCTAAAACGCAACGCTATTGGTTGAATAAAACGTGACGTCAACCTACACTGTCAAGAGTGTCAACAAGTTGTGTGTATTTGTAATATTTGGTTTCTGGTGATTATTTGTTTCATTTTAAGTTAATAACTAATACGTTTTCAGTGTTAAATTAATAAATTCCCATGTAGAAAGACTCAACACAATGACTGAATATTTAAAATTGCACTTTGTCAGGTGCAGTTTTGATATTATTTGGGCACAAAGGAACGGCACAATATTTATAATAAGGTTTATTGGCTTTTCCATGGTGATAAGTTAATTTTTATCACTCACTTTTTTAACTTTCACAAACTTTGTGAACTTCACTCCGTTGTTGACATCGAATTCGTCTGAAAGTGGAATCTGACGTCACAAAAAAAGCGCGCCAAAATGGACGTGTTCAAATTGCCCCAAAATGATAGTGATGTTAATAAATTTTTTTTTGCTTAACGGTTTATATTTCGGATGTGTTATATTTATTTTTGGTAATGTAATAACTAGTAGAATCGTTAAAAAAAATAAAAAAAATACATGCATATTCCCTATTGTTTGGCCTGAATGGGATGGGAACCAAATCCAAAGACAAACGGCAACTTCAATCAATAAATCTCTTATTTTATTTTACTTGTTGTTTCTTAGGACCGAGAAGCGTGGCGAGGAACAATAATGCTACGTGGTTACGACAAACAGGCTGACTATTTGACTTGGGGACCGGACAAGCAGTACAGAGATGACTATCACCTGCCCAATGGAGTACTGAAAATGCCTAGTGGTGAGTACACTACTTTTAAATATAAACTTATAAGCGTGGGTTATTGTAATACAGCTCTTATTTCTTCAGTTTTGTGTTTATATTCTACTGTTCAGCTCAATCGTCAGAGCTCTAGGGGTGTGGGTAAAAATATATCTTTAATTTAAGTTAGTGTAGTACAGAACAGAATAGAATTAATGTATATTGAGTATATTGAATTACAGTAGGTAATACTGTTATATTTTAATTCTAGAGCTTTAAGTGCTCCCATCATATAGTAGTCTATCTTTGAATAAAGGTATGTAGTCCAAATACTACAATACGAAAGGGCTTTTTATTATCTTAATGTAGTGCTTTCAATATTTAATGATTACTTTTAATAAAAAAGTAAGTATCATCAATTAAAAAAAACATGATAAATTGTAATAAACTATATTCTTTATTCTATAATTTATGGCCTTAGAGATAGCTTTCATTTTGAAATTAAATTTTACCAACCGAACCAAGCAGTGATTTGGTACACAAATAGTATCCCGAACTCACATCAAAAAAATAAATAAAATTAAAAACCTCTTTTTTGTAGTCAGTTAAAGATTATAATGAATCTAAAATTATATTCGACAGACATAGAAGAAGAGGACATAAAATCAATACCCATAAACAAATATCGTGATCCTGGGCACTACCTGGAGGTGCCGAAGGTCAACGGCGTGAAACTGGAGCCTGCTGCTGCGGACACTAAGGCCAAGCCTGACGTTGTTCGTGGTCTGGCTTCCGCCTTGCTGCAAGTCAGCCAGGCTATACACCAAAAATACCTCAAGAGACCGCTTGGTAAGTATCCTGGCTAGTAACCTTATGACTGATAATTTTAGTTTGTTTAAAATTACACGTTTCCTTAGGCACGTTATGCAATTCTTCGGTCGTTCTCTCGTTGTTGTGGCGTACATTGGGGGAGACCTATGTCCAGCAGTAGATGGACGTCTTTCGGTTAAGATGAGATCTCTGTTGTAACGTCACGTCACTAAGGTTTTAGTTCTTTAATGCTTGAGAGACCCATGCTACGGCACATGTGAGCCGGCTATTCCGGAGTACCGAATGCCAGGGCCTGATAGAAAACCGGGGTTAAGAGTGAGATTACTGGAGACGAAACCACTCCCCATCCTTCTAATTCTCGCAGGGCATTCGAAGGATGGCTACGCACTTGTAACTTAAAAGTGCAGGTGTTCATGGAAGACGGTAGTAATGTTAAATATCTGTTCCAGGTCTTGATGATAAAGAACGCAAAGATCGTGAAGCCCGCAACAAACCTTTAGAATTCGATGCGTTGGCTCGATGGGAGGTTTCCCTCATGGAATGCCGGAGCTTCGCCCAAATAGTCCTGCACCTCTTCACTTTGGACTCCAGCGTGACCTGGTCAGCCAGCATATTGAACGCCAGCTGTCGATTGTGTAGGAGGAAGACTGATCCTGATAATATGCTGTTGTGTGATGGATGCAATAAAGGACATCACTTATATTGTCTGAAACCTAAGTTAACGGTAAGTTAATATAAATTATACTATAGTCCATCCGCGTTAAGAAAATAGTGAAAATAGTGAACCAAGAAATTATCGTTTCGTACGAAAGCTTGGAACATAATTATATTGTTAAGTTGTTCCAGCCAGGTTGAGACTAAACTAATAGAATGTTCCAGAAAAAATCGAATAATTACACAATGACTAATGAGCGCGCGACCTGCCTTGTATATTTGTTCTAGCACTAAAATACAACGCCTACACAAATTACTGTATGTTGTATGATCTACCATAGGTATACCCCTCCCCCCTCCCCCCCCCCCTCCCCATCTCATGACAATGGTTGTGAATTGTGTATCAATATAAAGTTATCATCAGTACAAAATACCTGCAGTTATTTTACAATATACATATTTTGTATGTTTTATTTCATGCATTCATTAGTCTGGACCAACAAGGAAGGTAAAACAACAAACTTTATCACATGTATTCTACAAATAGAGCATTGAAGTCTAGTACATTGAGACTTTATTTGTAGAATGCATAAAAAGTAGATAGGTGTTAGTGTATAAACGGTGTAAGGGACGTCGCAAATTAAACTTTTTATACAATCAGTTGTCAAAGGTTATTCGCCGTAGGTAACGCACTAAAGTAATAACTACATGTGTATTCACTACTAACACAAAAAAATGATGAATTTTCCGGCAGAAAATTCCAATGGGATTTTCGATTCAGAATCATGGTCTGAATACACTATTTCAGTATTCTTCGGTGCAATGGCTCTCCCTTACATCTCTTGGCAATCCCTTACATCTTGTATATGCAGTGAGTACTATCCACTGGAGATTTTCATGCAATGTTCCAATTTCAATTGCCACTGGGACTAGAAGTGATTTTTGTTTAAAAGTGTTAAAAATGACACTTTAAAGTACTCTCTAAGTCATTTTTCAAAACTAACGTTGGATTAAGTCATATATCTTAAAACTACAATTTTCTTGAAAGTAAAAATTAGTTTTTATATAAATGTAAATTGTATTGGGAGGTTGAACTTATAAAAAATATAATACCTTCCAGAAAGTACCTGAAGGCGATTGGTTCTGTGAGCAGTGTAAGCCAAAAGAACGAACACCCAGGAAAAGAAGGAAGTTGTTCTCAGATGATGACATGGAGGAAGAGTTGGAAGAAGGGTATGTATATGATTGTTAATAATTTTAGTGTTTTGAGATTTAATTGAAGTGCTTAATATGGTACGAGTAAAGATTAAAGAATATTTCCAATGTGGTGACGGATTAACAAAATAGTGTCACTATCCTTATTTATCTCGCGGGTGTCGTAGGAGCCGACTAAGGGAGCAAACTACGCAGGATAACAGCACTGCAAAAGGAAGGAAAACTTGAAACCAATCCAAACTGTTTAGCTAGCGTGGTACAGTAGGCCAAAATCTCTTTTTTAAAGAGAGCACTATATCCTGTAGTGGACTGTTTTAGGCTGTTGATGATGATAATAAATTATTAATATTAGTATTGGTTAGGTTAGAAGACTGACGCATCTCATACGCCGTCTGATTCCAAACTAGGCAGAGTCTGTGCTATGGTAACCAGACTGCTGATAAACATACATATATATTTCTAAATACATACATAATATAGATAAACTAGCTGACCCGGCAAACGTTGTATTGCAAAACAAAAAAAAAATTGGGATGGGTCACCCTTACCTTTACCTTACCGATTCTCAGACCTACGCGATGTGCACACAAAGTTTCAAGAGAATCGGTCGAGCCGTTTCGGAGGAGTACGGGAACGAACATTGTGACACGAGAATTTTATATATAAGATTACACCCAGACACAGAACAAATTATCGTGTTTATCACACAATATTCGTCCTGGGTGGGAATCGAACCGACGACTTCCGGCCCGTCGAATATAATATTGTTGAAACGGTACGGTCAGTCTACACGGGTCTGGTAGATATATCGGTAGCGATGCGCACAGTGCTAGCTCGTTATGGTGTGTTCCCGTGGGCAGGTCGTGCGTGGTGGAGGTGTGCGCGTCGTGCGGGTCGGGCGGCAGCCTGCGCGTGTGGTGCTCGGGCTGCGCCGCGCGCCTGCACGCCGAGTGCGCGCCCCGCGCCGCGCGCGCCGCCCGCCGCTGGCTCTGCGACCGCTGCTGCGCGCCCACCAGAGGTGAGACCCACAAGCCCCACTTCCAAACATTCACGACAAATAAACCGGGAGAGATGCTAGCGACGGCCGTTCGAACGAAACAAGAATACGCCCGCCGCCCGCACCTCTCCCGGTCCCCGTTCTCGTCCTACCTCTGCACCCTACAGACCGGGACTCGATTAAACAATTTACTAATAACTTTACTCTCAAAATGTATTCTCTTTTGATAAATAATGATTTAGACATTAGTTAATAGTGCTAATTCTATTGTACAAAAAATCTCTAAACTAAATAAAAAAATCGCTAAAAAACCTATCAAATATTACGTTTTCAGAATAGGACACGATGTTTGACAGGGCTAAACGAATTTTTAGTTTAGTTTAGAAAATTTTCGAAGAACAGAATTAACACCATTATCTGCGACCTCGTCAGTACTAATATAGACTTTGTCACTCTATTCTAATAACCTTATGAAATAGTACTTCATCAAATATAAAAATAATAATAATGATAATATTGTACCACATTCACACAACGCCATCTAGTCCCAAACTAAGCAGAGCTTGTACTATGACTACTAGACAACTGATATAAATACATATATACTTTTTTTTTGTAAATACATACTTATTATACATAGAAACACCCAGACCAAATCAAACATTAAATGTTCATGCACAGAATATGCCATTCGGTCGTCAAAAAAAAAAATACCCTATGCCCTTTTCTATATTCCTGACACGTGTGATACATTTCAAAATGATCGGTTGAGTAATAACCTAAAAATGGCAAACTGCCCAAGACCGGGATAATTGGCGCTCCTTGTGATTGGGGTAGGCCTTCGTTCAGCAACTGACAGCGATAGGCCAATGATCATGACCCTCAATAAGAAAAAATACCACTTTCTAACTTATAATGTTAGTTGAAAAAAAAAAAAAAATCGTCTAACTTCGAAAAACCAATTACAAAATTACTTGCCAAAATAATAGCTTAAAAATGCACTAAAGGTATAAAAAAATATCTAATGAGCCTCTTAAAATAAAAAGCATCATGTTTTAGTAAAATTATAAAGTTCTGAACTTACATCTACAAACTGAAACACATTTTTTTATATTTATGTATTTACAGTTTCTTAACAATCACACATTGTTTCTAAAATAAAACCTATAAACGACTATAGACTTTATAATAAATAATATTATAGCAATATGGATACGTAGTAACTTTTTACCTACCCTCTTTAAAAAAAAAAACCTAATACTACTTTCTAATTTATAAGAATAATTATAAGTATTAGTAAGTAATAATAATGGTTGTGGTATAAAGAGACGTCGAGCCGGCGCTGCGCCGCCACGGCCATCAACAACATCCACCAGTACACGCGCGCGCTCGACTCGCGGCGGAACTCCTCCGGTTCGTCTACACCCTACGGCTGGCTTTGGCTGCGGACTTGATATTTTCAAACACCATTTTTTTCAATCACAACCCTTCTACACTACGTCATATCGTTTAATTTTAAATCGGACCAAAAGAAACTAATACAAGTAAAAATAGGATAGAGCTGATGAACATCGAATAACTTCACAGCTTTTCTTAGAAAGCTGTATTTGATCTATGCTAGATTAGGGTTATTAAATTATCTCAGCTGACTCCTGAGCTCTGGTAGTTTAGATTTTCAATCCATAATAAACACCAGTATTTCTAAACCTCCAGCAGTGTGGACTATTAAAGGCTGTTGATGATGATTACCTCTATTTATTCGTTCAAATCTCAAACAAAAAAAAATACAAAATCAAAATCAGTCTGTCCGTTTAAGAGGTATAATGCAATAAACAAAAATATAGACACAAAGTAAACTTACTGCGTTAGGAGTTAAAACTGAAGAATTATGAATAGTAGTCATTCGCATTAAGATAATAGTGACGCATCAATCGCGTTCGACGTTGCGATTGGTAGGGTTAAGTGCGGGCCAATCGCACAACGCTGTCACAACAAGTTGATGTGAAATAAACTCACACAAAGCTCATTGTACATAGCCTTAAGACCAGTGCTAAACAATTCGTTCAACGTGAAGTAAGGTTATGTTCTCTAGATAGTGATCTATCAAAACGTGCTACACAAAAATACAAACTTTTTTTAAACCTGTAAAGAAATATAACGCGTCTGTATTTATCACCTGTTACCCACACTTAAAAAAAAAGATATTTACTCTTTTAAATCAATTCCGCAGCCAATGCTAGCTAGTAATTCTTTTTGTTTTTTCGTTTTAAATACGCTTTCTCATCCCATGGGTGCCTATCGCCAATAATACTCTCATAGAACGCACACTTTCTACTTGGACTGTGATTTTATGCACTAACTTTATTTGCTTGTTGTGGGCTCTACTATGTTTTGCAAGTTCGTTTTTTTTTAGCACTCATGAATAAAAATGTATTTTTGTCAGTAACTCCCATAAAATAAATCCTATCCCCCATTACTGTAAAGATAAATCTAATATCTTGATATAATCAAAATTTTCTCGTGAAATATGCTTCAGCAAAAAGCCGGCTCAATCAGCACCGGCAAACCGGTATTAAGGTTTTTTCATTGTATTTCACTGAGTGAGAGAAGTTACCGAAGACTCAACCCCACAAGGGGGGGGAGGACTTACTCAAAGGGGGTCTACACTTATGACTTTTGAGTTGCAGTTGAGGAATCGTTTGCCCCCTGTACCATATAAAAATTCTAATTTCCTTATAAATTATTTGTTTCCTAGTCCTGTAAAGTACTACGTTTTTAGAATACGAAACATTTTTTGATAGGACTAAACAATTTTTTGTGATTTTGAGTTTAGTACAGAGAGTTTTGGAATAAAAGAACTACCTATCACCGTTGTAACTGCAATCAAATTATTATTAAAACTTGAAATTTCTCCTAAAAGCTTATGTTTTTAACTGACTTCAAAAGCTTTCAAAAGAGGAGGTTCTCAATTTGACTGTATTTTTTTTTAAATTAAATAATTTGTAATCCGGAATGTATCAGAAAATTAATGCATGCTACTTAGCTACCTTTAGATGTCAGTAGATCAGAATGATCCCCAACATTTCAGTATTCACCATTACGCATCATTCAGCATTTGTGATGTGCTTTGGAATGGGTTGCCACCATAACCTTCAATCTAACTAACACGTCGCCAACTGACAAGAACGGAGTCTAACATTTACATGCTTACAGAGTCGGACGACAGCGAGTACAACACGGCGCTGGTGAAACTGAAGACTCGGAAGTCCAGGAGTAGCAAGGAGTCTTCGCCTGTACAGAATGGAACAGCGAAACGAGGCAGAAAGTGAGTCTGGTTATAATTCATTACTATAGACGGGCCTGTTGGTCTAGTGGTCAGTGACCCTGACTGCTAAACCGGAGGTCGTGACCTCAACCTGACAACCTCGGGCTTAATAGTCATAGTCTAACCACTGGACCATCAGGCCGTCAATTTATACAAGAGTTTGATAAGACAGTTAACTTCTGATTATTATTTTAGACCAAAAAGTGAAGAAACGAACACAAGTTCCGGCAGAAGATCACAAAAGAACTCGCTCACAAATGGTCATCATGGTAAGTATTTACTGTTTAAGGCACAGTAATATTTAATTTTTTTATTTAATAAAGTTTTTTTTTTTTTCAATTTAGTGCTAAACTCGCATAGATGTTTTTCTATCTTTAGTTTCATATAGTGTTATTCTATTATGTATGATGTGACTCCTTAAAATGTTGTGTTTTAATCTCTATATAATAGATAGATGCCTTAGATTTTAGTAAATAATGTAACAACTACTGGCTGTCCAATAAATAAATAAATTGAACTGGTAAACTGCATATCTTGCGTGATGGCAAGTGAAATCAGTTTGTTTATGGAATAGGGGGCAAACGAGCAGACTGGTCACCTGATGGAAAGCGACTACCGCCGCCCATGAACGCCTGCAACTCAGGAGTCACAAGCGCGTTGCCAGCAGTATATTATTTATGAGTAAAACAATTTATAACCCTATATAATCAGTGACGGATCGAAAAGTAGTTAATTATATTGTATTTTAAGCGAATAAAACAATTTAAATCACAAGAATAAAATTTGGATCAGCTGCTGGTCAGGGTTCACGGTTATACGCGTATACAGTAGTGTATCCTATAATTTGCAATTTTCCTATAATTTATAATTTCCCCATGAAGTTTTAGCGAGTCTCCACACTTACACAAGTCTTTATACAAGTAATTAGTTAAACAGAAATATGCATCTATATTTAGTCGCAATGTAATTCTATAAGAACTTAGAGGATAAAGATATTACTACTCTGTTCGCTACAAAATATATCTCAATTCTATCAATATACACCATTAAGTACCCGGATTGCAAATCAAACCCCCGTATTTTACCGATAAACTTAAAATGTATCCCCGTCGCCACTTCTAAACAAAAGACGTGTCCTGTCACCATTTTTTTGCAAGACAAGTTCGTTATACCCCCTTATTACTTATATAAATATACAGAATTGCACGGGTGGCGGTACGCTGAGTGTTGTGTGTCCGATCCCCACATGGGACGACACTTTGTGTGATCCATAAATTGTTGTTCTGAGTCTGAGTGTCCTTCTTGTCCGTTTCATGTATGTTTGTAAAGTCCCCGCGATACAGGATTTATTTCTAGTGCGGGAGTTGTCTTTAAATTAAAATAAAGAACACTTAGTGACCTAGAATATACAGTAGAGGAGAGATATTGGTACAGCTCGGTGTGTTACAGAGGACACAAAGAGCAGTCGCAAGCGCAGCAGCCGGCACGACGCGGCGCTGCACGCCGAGCGGTGGCACGCGCTGCTGCGGGACGTCATGAAGCACAAGGACTGCTGGCCCTTCTACGAGCCCGTCTCCACTGAAGATGTTGGTCTTCTTTTATTTCTCAACCTTTAAAAATCTTTTTTTGACTGCAATATGCATGCATATACTGTAGGACAAAAATCTTTTATTTCCCTCTAATATCAATAATAATTTTAAAAAATCTCTGAATCACTGTTTCCAACTTTCTTTCGCTTTTTAAAATATTCAATATCACATCTGACTTATCCAGCCGGTAAAAATGACTGCACGGATGGCATAGTGGTTTTAGTGGTCGTCTCGCCGTTTCCTACTGAGTGTTGTAGGTTCAATCCCTAAATGGGACAACACTGTGTGATCCACAAATAGTTGCCTTGAATGAAGGTGTCCTTTGTGTCCGTTTCTTGTACGTTTGTAAAATCCCCGCAACAAGATATATACCTAGTGCGGGAGTTGTCTTTAAAAAATGATACAAAAATAAGAAAAAAATCTATTGTTACACCATTTCGTCCCTTTTCATAATATCACTTACACAGCAAGAAAGCGAGAGGCAAAGGGCATCCAGATATCAATATACATTATCATTATAACATCGTAAGCAATATTTTTTTTAAACTCATATTTTGTCTCAGGTCCCAGATTACCTGGAAGTGATAGATCAGCCCATGGACTTCACGACAATAAAGACTAAGTTAGACAACGAGGAGTACACAACAGACGAAGAGTTCATCAATGATGCCGTGCAGGTGTTCATCAACTGTTACACATATAACAAGGACACACATCCTGTAGCTAGGTGAGTTTCTTTTCTTTTCATTTTCACCTTCATAACGGTTACTGAAGCCCTCTCTGGTCCAGGAAGAGGGACACGAGAGGCGGGAATGCACTTTAATTACAGGTGTCCATGGGCGCTGGTAATCAGGTGTCTCGTCTGCCCCTTATACCATAAAAAAGTAAAAAGATTGATAACCGCTGCAATACCTTCTTAAGCGGTCACCTCGCCGCTTCTTACTGCGCTGAGTTTTGTGGGTTCGATCTCGGTATGGAACAACACTTTGTGTGATCCACAAATTGTTGTTCTGAGGTTGGGTGTTTTTTGTGTCCATGTTTGTAAAGTCCCCCGAGAGAGTCCCACAGGATATATTCCTGGGAGTGGTCATTAAAAAAACAACAAATTAAAAGAGCTTTCTTTTAGCTTCTTAATTGAATGTTAGAAAAGGTAAAGGTGTCCCAAAGCTGTTAAAAACCTGTTTTCAGTGCAGCATAGTGTTTTTGTGGATTCATGGATCCAGTTTAATGCCTAAAATTCATATACAAATACAGTATCCATAGTAATAATAATTTATAAAACTGTTTTTGCTGTTTCTTTCATTGCATTGCTTTGCAAAATCGGACTTAATAATATATGTGAATGAATTTAAATGCATACATGAGCGTGTCGCTATAGTCAACAGGTATAGGAGTTGAAAAAAATGTAAACACTTCTGATATTATTATCAGTTTATATATATTATTATAATATCGTCGAATAGCATGATTTGTCAAAATAGTTAAAAACCTTTTTCATTTTTTAACAAGAGTTTTATCATATTTTAGGGCCGGCAACCGTTTAGAAAAATATTTCAACAAGCGATGCACAGAATTAGAGTTGCAACCCCTCCCGGAAATCGAATTGGAATTCGAGGAAGCCACAAAGCGATCGCGGTCCTCGACCGACGAGGAGGCGCCGCAGCCCAAGCGCGCCAAGCTCAAGTGATGGCGCCGCGCCGACTGTCTCTGCTGCTGAGCCGCGCCGCTGTGCCGCTGTGCCGCTGCACACGGACGCCTGTGGCGCTCCCTCCCATATACGTCACCAATAAATAATAATTCAGAATCATAAAATGACTCAAGTATCCCATGCCAATATCGAGTGCGCAGACATCTAAACGGACCCAGTGATTAGCTTCGGTGTGTATAGTGCAGGACCACATACCAAATAGTTGCTCAGACCAAATAGAATATGTCGTGGAACGACTTGTTTGCAATTAACCAAATATGACAACCCCACTGAGAAGTAACATAAACTAGCGTCATTAGAATATCGTCAATCGACATTCATTACAATACTTTTTCACTAATTTGAAATTACATTTACAGTTTTTATTTGCATTGGCAACAAAAAGTGATAGTATTTATAATTTTTAACAATAACAATGTAAAAAAATCTATATCTCCTGTAAAGTTAACTTTACATGCACGATATTTTCGTGAATGTAAAGTTAATGCCGATCGACGATATACTCTTTAATAACCTTAAACATTGCCTAAAGTCATCATAAAGTGTAAAATCAAAGCTATATCTTATTGAATCTGATGATTATTGATAAGTTTCGATATTATTCTCAGTTATAAATCATAAACGATACCTGGTATCTCTTTGAAATTGAACGGCTATTAACTAATACTCAAAACAAACTGTAGACTGACTAATTAACTGCTTAAATACAGTATTCCAGCACAATAATATCAACAATAGAATAGGCAATTTAACTACCCAAAAGTAATTTTAAAAATATAATTTTCTCCCCCGTAAAACCCGACATCGCATTTGTCATCAAGTCTGTACTATTTTCTACGAAAGTTATTATCTAAAAATATATATATATATAAAGATTCCACATCAGGCATCAGATCAAGTAATTGCAGTAAAAATAACTGTTTCTAACAGTATTATTATACTGTATATATTGTTGTTCGAAATAAAGCGAGTTATATTAATAAATTATAAGTAAATATATTGTTAGAATAATGAATAAAATTTTATATAAAATCTTTCAACAAGACGACACAGTTTTGTACTTGTTGCTACCTAAAGTATTGCTTTAAATGGTGATTATTTAAAAAAAATGTTAATTGTAAGGTATCGTCAATTGTAATCTAAAATTATAACAAAAATTGACGTAAGGCCTTTTTTCATCAACTTGATACGGGCAGTCTTAGGCTGCGTTTCCACTAGAGTGAAGGTGGAAGTAATTTGTTGATGGTTTATATTCTTGTGCAAAGCTTAGGGCTTTAAGGAAGCTCTGATGGCAACGCCAGCTAAGTAGAAGTACACAAAGAAAAATTGTTTTAATTACGACAGTTTTTTTTCGTCAATTTCTGAATAATCTATCAATTTGCATTTTCAATATTCTCATATATTAGTTTATTAATTAACGAATGATTGATAACAGATGCCTTGTATGATGTACAAAAACCACTGTAAATATTGATAATATAGAATCACAATACATAGACTTATATATAAAATCGTTACGTCAAATAGTGTCAGAATTTTTTAGTACAACACCAATCTGGGATATAAATTAACATTGCTACTAAAAATGTAAAATTGTTTTGATAACTAGGACACAAACATCAAAATCCTTCGTGTAGTAACTTCTTGAATACGTCTCTAAGCTTATCAAAGAAATATCGGATTATATGATAAATAACAAATTCTGTAGGAATGCTTTTAGCAACATCTATACCAAAAGCTCTCTGAATTTTACCAATAAACTGCTCTTGGTTTGTTAACCTTTACAAATAAATTTTCATTTCTAAATAACTTATCTTACAAAGAATAAGTTGGTTGATTATAGTGATCGATATTATCTAAAGTTTCTTTTCTAGCTGGGTTTTTCATTTCTCACTAAAAAATATCGGAAATTTTAAATCTATAATCCTCCATATTGAGCAGACAATGTGTGTATGTAGTATAGATAGTTCAACTCAGTTGTGCGCGCGGCCCTATGTGTGCGGTGCTCGGACGACGACTGCCACACGAATGAAAGTTATATATTTACGAGCCCACGCACACATAGGGCCGCGCGCACAACTGAGTTGAACTATCTATACTAAAGGTGACACCAAAGATGAGATTGTGTCTGTATGTACAGGTATTGATATATAAAACTAGCTGACCCGCACAACTTCGTCTGCGTCTCTCAATAGTAAAACGTCCGTTTTTGAAACATTCTTCATTGGTGCTCCGCTCCTATTGGTCTTAGCGTGATGATATATAGCCTATAGCCTTCCTCGATAAATGGACTATCTAACACTGAAGGAATTTTTCAAATCGGACCAGTAGTTCCTGAGATTAGCGCGTTCAAACAAACAAACAAACAAACAAACTCTTCAGCTTTATAATATTAGTATAGATACAACCGTGAATTTTATAACAGTTGCAAAAACAATTAAAATATATTTTTCATGGCGAGATCGTCACACATTGCTGTGGGAACACTCCACTGTCCTAGCACATATAACCTGAACATTGTGTGGCTCATACGCCGTTTCTGTCTCTCCAGCCAACTCCGTTTCTCCGGTTTTATCCACCGGAGATAGTCTCCATCCGATATCGCCTGTGCCTGTACCAGTGGTCTGATCAGGTGAGGCACTATTTCCATGTCCCACAGTTGCTCAGGGGGCGGCAATGGCACGGTACCTGCCCCAAGTATGGGTGTGGTGCGCTCGATTACCTCCCAGTCAGTTTACACCTTGCCTGTGATATCCGCCTCGCGCAGGCCCCACGTTATGGCCAGCAGTTTGGAGAACTGTTCACGATATCCTCCCGTGAAGTCTATGTCAAGGTTCTCCAATCTCTCTTTCCACCGACCCAATGTAGGACGCACCTTTAAGGGTGGCTTCTGTATTCGCGGCCTAATCCAGGGCTGTCTGTTACCGTACGTCTTAATGAGGTAGTTGCCCATGTGTCCCTCGTGTATTTCTAGTCCTGCCCCACCATATGTAGCGTCGGTCAGTGCGAAGGCTGATGCTGTTCTTTCATCTATCCCGGCCTGCACTGCGTCTTTTATGTACATCTGTGTGCCAGTGACCACAATGCCAAGCGGGAGTATAGCCTCTCCGCCGGTGCAATGGGTATGGGTATTATTGGATTTCTAAACCTCAAGGCGAGCAGTGTCCGCGGCGTATAGCCGGTGATGCCGTTGCACTCGTAGCTGCGCCGCAGGAACTCACCTCGGTCCCTGGATATGTATGTTTTATGAGGGTGTACCTTATATCCCAAAGTAAGATACATGGTAAGTAGGGCCTCGACTGCCCTCACAGACACTGTCGTGAAAATCACGTCATCACCCTGCATTGTACATTTCCCTACCGGCACTGCCACGCCGTAGTATTGCAAGCAATAGCGTATGGCTACCCGGAAACTGACAATGTTGAGGATGGTGTCTATGAGCGCTGTCCAGCGCCAGCCCGACGGGACTCCATTTTCCCAAGTGCGATGGTCGTTGCCCATAATGACTTCCACCCCCGCAGTTGTGAACGTGTCCCACATCCGACCCCAAACCTCCCTGTATTCGTCAGGTACACCCGCGTGTCCCATGGTGTGGTGTTCCATCCCGAGTAGTACAGCCAGTATCGTACTCTTGGACTGGTTGTTGTCAAAACTAGATTGGTCAAGCGGGACTTTGAGCGTACACCCGTTACGTACCTTCGCCAGCCATTCCCTGTCTATAGCTTCATTGCCCGCGGCCCCCGCAAACAGTGTGCTCGTTCTTGAGCCATATAGTCCTACCTCAACAAGTCCCGACAAGAAATCCATCTTGCGGTACAGCTCATTCCCCCCCACCACTACCGGTCTTACCTTCCCACCTTCGCTCGTCTGCATTATCTTCATGTTTTCACGACGGGCCTCGCGCAGTTCATGCTCTATTTCTCTGTCGCTCTTTAGTGCTGCATCTACGCCCTTGTACCTCCTGGTTCTCTTCTCTTTTCCCTCGACCCTTATTAGCGTATTACGCCCTGTGCCCGCCTTTCCCCTCATCCAGACGCCACTCGCGACCCACTGCTCCATGGTCGGCAGTTTCTCCGGCATTGTAAACTCCTCAGACATAAACTTAACGGTCTCGTCCATTATATCCTCTACATACTTCGCCTCGTTGATACGCTCACCATTATGTTTAGTAACGGTGAGCCAGTCGTCTACGTCCCCGCGCAATGTGTTAATGTCTACCCACAGTAAAGGTAGTCGCATGATCGTGGTAATAAAAACCACTTTCGTCATCGGGCGTGACGCATTCGGGGAGCGCATGTGTGGCATAGGCGACATCACAGTAGGCCCTAGGCAACCAGTGCGTCTCCGAGCCACCTGCCTCGTCGTGATAAATCTCTGGCTGCGGGACGAATCGCATTTTAATGTATCCAGATGCATTCTGTATGTGATAAATTAAGATTTCTGGTCGCAATTTATCGACTGTTTTCTGCCTTCATCTGTATATATTTTTGTAATGCAAATTACGTTATTTTAGTACATGATACAATGCAACTACAATCTATCATACAAAATTATCACAGAATGAGGGTAGTCTTTAATAATTTAAAAATATTTGGCAAAAACTATTTTTTTTTATTAAAGTTCTATTGTATTTCAGAAAAGTGATATTTAAAAAAATTGAATTAAATTTGACAGATTACCTTAGCCTTGAAATGTTTGCTTACTTCTAAGCATTGTAACAAGACACTTTTTAACCGACTTCAAAAAAAAGAGGAGGTTATCAATTCGACTGTATTTTTTTTTATATGTCACATACATCTGGATGCAAACAATAATTCAAAGTAAGAGTGCCTGTTCATACTACTATAGTAAGATGTATAGCGTATGTTAACTTAGTGGCTTTATCATATAGGTGCATTTTGCTAGTAAATGTTATTTAGAGAGAATTGTATGTGATAATAACACATTATCTTTGAATAAACTCTTTATATTTTCCCTACAGATGCCTAAAAACGTTTTGACGAAATTTACGGCAAAACTGTCTTATAAACGCCATTCCAATTTTTATTTAAATATTTATTGATTGACTTCCACGAACTTGACAAATTGTTGACAAATATTACCTATTATAATTTTATCTCTTAGAAATAAATACAGCAGTAACTGGATTGATTAATAATTGATTGTTGATTGATTACAAGTATGATTAAAATTGCTTGATTGAATTGAAAGAATGGGATATAATGAACAATTTTTGGTTAATAATTAGAAACTTATCTGATTAAGATATTTATAAGTAAGGCAAGATGGCAGAATTTGGTTTGAATCTCACCCTCTTCCTGACTATTCGTCCCACACGTTGGTGCGGTCAGCCCTCTTCGTGTACTTCTTCCACTTCGTCCTGGTTTGAATGAAAAGGTCTGAAATTCCTGAAGGTCGGTCATGAAAATTCATGCCTCGTATCATCTTAAGTCAGCTTTTTCCAGTTAACTGTTAAATTAATTATCAAGTTTTCAAGACAATTCCTGTTATATTTATTTCTAAGTTATATGTATACAAGATGATTGTCAGCTAACATTTCAAGACAAATATGTTTTGCTTTATGATAAAGATATATTGTCGCCCTGCACTATGTGTTGTTGCATTTAGTTGTAATCCTCATTAGTGACGTCAAAATGTTCTAAATATCGAAAGTGACTATCCAAGGCTTGTGTTTGCCGTTATTGTAAATTTTTTTGCTGGTGTTTGACATTTTTTGTTTTCAACCAAAAATTTATTTTTACAATTTCAACATTGGTGTACCTTTGAACACTAGAGTGTATAAATTAAACTTCGTGACTACAATTCGGCCCAATGAGAGTCGTGTGAGACACGCACACATCTCCAATAATGTTACATAAATGTCAGACACAGCGCCCTCTAGACGTTAGTTTTAGTTTTAAATTGTAGTGTATAAGTTGTGATTTTAGCTTATATTTTGTGAAACACTCAAAATCTTGTCCTTTGATGGTTCGTTCGTTCGAACGAAACGTTGTGTTTTAGTTTGCTAAATTTTATCTGTTTTTTTTTTATTATTTAAAAAGCATGGTATTATACTGAGGCATGGCCGTTTTGTTTTAATATTATTTTAGTGGTTGGGAACCTAAAATTGTATTAGGATTAACTCAAAAATCAGTTATGTACAGTGCTTTTACAAATAGTTTTATTTAATTGTTTGGTTACTTATATGCAGTTAGTTTCTTTCTATTACACATATGTAGAACAAATATGTCTTTTGTACGAAAGAACTGCATACAGACCATTGCATTATATTCAATCAAAAGTAAGGTTTATACATATTTTAATACCATAATAACATTCATATATCAAATCAAACACTTTAGATAAATAATGAAAATAAAACACGAGCCATTATTGACAAAAAACATTATTTTATGCAAGTTTCCACAAAACCACAATTGGTTATATATGAAACTTGAAGAAGTCTTAAAACCAGGTTGTATTTATCAGTCACGTATTGTATTACGTGTGGTGACGGATTAAGAGTACAGAGTGTCACCACCCCTATTCATCCCTAGGGTGTCGTAAGAGCCGACTAAGGGAGTAAAGTAGTAAAGAACAACAACACTGCAAAGAGAAGGAAAACTTGAAACAAACCCTATACCAATCCGTCTGGCCAGCGTGGTATAGTAGGCCAAAACCTCCTTTCTGAGGAGAGGCCTATGTCCAGCAGTGGACTAGTAAAGGCTGTTGATGTTGATGTATTGTATTTTATTGGTCGCCATTTAGCAATTAAGTATATAACTGATTTTTGCGTCTGAGATCCTTAAATGGTCGTATATTGATTTGTTAATTGAAATAATGATTAATACTCAAATCTTTTTGTACAAGACGCTTGTTTTTTTTTTTAGTTTTGTTTGTCCGCGACCATATTTATTGATGGTACAGTCAGCCAAGAAAGATTATTATCGGTTTAGAGGTAGCGCAATTGTTGATTGATAAGCCCGTAAGTTTTACAATATTTCAGATTCATTTTATTAATTAAAATTATACCCTTTATTCTTGCAACTTTCGAATGTTTTGTCTTAACTATCACTTCATGCAAACCTGTCTACACTAATCTTTATCCTATCTTAAATATAAACACATGTATCATCATGATGATGATATAGATAGTTCAACTCAGTTGTGCGCGCGGCCCTATGTGTGCGTGGGCTTGTAAATATACAACTTTCATTCGTGTGGCAGTGACGCGGCAGTCGTCGTCCGAGCAGCACACAACTGAGTTGAACTATCTATAATATGTATTTATATTATATACTTTATGTGATTCATATATTTATACGGTAAAATTCGCTAAATGTTGTAAAGTGTATCTAATTTTATGACTCGCATTTATTTATTACTAGTAATTTTACCTTTAAAATAATTACAGTACTTACGATCTTAACTCTCAGCAGTTCTGTTCCCGCCTATACGTTGCCGTTATTCAGCATATATCAGTCAGAATGTTGATTCTTGTATCTGGCTGTATCTTATAATACCTAATTGTTGGTTGTCTGTACAAAAATATTGTGTATCAGAGCATTCCTAATAACAATACGATATAGTTATCGGTGACTCGATTTTTCCGTAATTAATGATGATCATATTGTCTGCGATTATTTATTTATGTAATTTATAAGTTTTATATTAATTTATATTGTAGTGAATAAAGCACCCACGTACAGTTTTTGTTTTCTTTTTATTTATAACCAAATATATGATTTGCGAGATATTTTACAAATTAATTAATTTTATACTGTACTGTATACTGAACTTTAATATTCACGAATTAAATTCATAAAATATACTAGCTGAAACCCGCGGTGTTACCCGCGTTTGTTGTTATAACCGCGGGCAACGCCGCGGGGCGAAGCTAGTCTAAAAAAGTAGCCTAAGTTACTCCTTATGTCATCAGCTATCTGCCAGTGAAGTCCCGTCGAAATCGGTCCAGCCCTTCCAGAGATTACACGGAACAAACAAACAGACAGACAAAAATGGTAAAAAATGTTATTTTGGCATATGTACCGTGTAAACATACATATGCATTTAGTAAAAAGCGGTTATTTTAATATTACAAACAGACACTCCAATTTTATTTATTTGTATAGATTGATCCACTACACCGCTATGCTGTTAGTGTAATTCTAATAATAATAATGATGATTTATTTCCTCCCACATAGAAAGTGATTAAACCACAAACTTTGTTTTCGTCATTTTTGGATAAGCAAAGAATCGTACGGGAGTAGTAAAACACTGTTTAAGAATAGTATTTAAAATATTGATGCACCGTTGCGTCAGGACATCCGCAACTTTGGTACAAAGAAATCCCTAGTAGGGTGTGGGCAAGGCAATGCAAGACTTGCCTTAAAAACTGCTATTTGAGTTCTTTCTACCTTTTTTAAACTGGTTTTGCAGGCACTGTCCTATACTGTGACGCAATAGAGGTAGTAAGGGCTGGCAGAACCACATGTAAACTATTTTGATGTCCTATTTATCAGCAATTCGACGTCAAATTTTAAAGATAAATTTCAGTTTGTGTTCTGGAAAACAGTAAGTCTAAATGGTAAGTAAAGCTCAGAGTTCTATCTAATATAACACCAAGATATAGGAGGTACCTTTAAGATGATTGCAAATACAAAATTGGTAGGCTAAGCAGATATGGGATATAACGGTCAACAAATTTTGATTGCGAAAGGAATATATTTTGTTTTACTAACATTAAGTGTTAATCCGTAATTCCTGAGCTATGAGAATACCTCGTTAAAGAGAGCTTGTGCAAGGGTGTATCATCCCAGGTATGTTCATGAAATATCAATAAATGCAAAAAGCTGGATGCAGCAAAGCTTACTATTTTTCCATTTTTTTTAGATTACACAGGTTATTGATATATGTGAGAAAAAGTGTAGGACTTAATATGCTACCTTGCGGCACGCCAAACACAACGGCAAAGTCGTCGCTAGCGATTTCACCGTAAGTCGGTGAAATCTTTCGGCCTTATCCCGTTGGTATCTATCGGTAAGATAATTTGTAAATAAGTTTAAGTAGTGGATCCCGGATACTAATTCATTCCAGCTTGTCCAGCAGGAGTAGGATAAAGATTGTGTCAAATGCCTTAGGTAAGTCCAAGAATGTTGTATTTTTCTTTTCATCGAATGTGCATGCAATGTGATCAGTTAATTCATGAACAGAATAACTAGTTGAAGTAATTATATAGCTCTATAGCCAAATTGCGTTTTTGTTAAAATGTGTTGTTTCCAAACATGTGATCTTTTATTTAAGAATTTTTGCATGATATGGAAATAATGGAATATTGTTCTGTCCAGTCGAATTGATATTTTTATACTCCACATATATATAAGTACGAACTTCGGCTTGAGACGTCGGGACCAGAGTGAATGAAGGTCTCAGTAATTGTTTGGTATTTTAGGTATATCTAAGCTAAGTTTTTACCAATAGAAGTAAAAAAAATATTTCTATTGTTACCTGAGAACATTTGGTGTGAAGATGTCAGTAGGTTGGTGAGTTGGTATTTTTATTATTTTAAGTTCTGGGTTATATACCCATAGTCGAATAATAAAAGGTGAGAATGACAAATAAAATACTAGACCAAACTACTGGTCCCGCATGCTCATTATGCGATTCTCATTTTTTTTTAAAGACACAACAACAACAACAAATCATTGGAATTTTCTGCCGGTAAATTAAACTTCTTATGCAATCAGCTGTCAAAGGTATAGATCATTCCCCGTAGGTATCGCACAAAAGTAATACACTATTTCAGTATTCGTTACGATGTCCCTTACACCCTGTATAATAAAAAATAAGGCCATTAAATTGATAATGGAGGACAAACTTGCTGTAATGTAATATGTTACATTCAATGCCAAAATAATTTATTTAAAAAATAGGAATCATATTAAGCAGGATAAGTACCAGACAAGGGAAATCAAGGAGTTAAAGTAATGCACAAATTAACTATTACATGATTTTTAATGCTTCGCTTACAACATAAATAAATCACACTTGAAAGCTTCAGATTGAACCCGACACTATTGCTTTAAAACTATGTTAATGATGTTCAGCCGCCTCTTTCCTCTTGATCTCTGCCCATTTGCTCACGTTAGCAGGTGAGTTGGCTGAAAGATACAATAAATACTTTATAGTGGAATAGTATGTATTTGATTCCTACCCAGGAAAAATAATTTTGATGATCATTTGATCTATGCTTGGGTGTAAATTATCAGTAAGAAATTAGTATTTAGAAACATATAAACATACATAATGTATGTTTATCATAAGTCTGGTAACCATAGTACTGTTTCTGCCTAATTTGGTCAGACTGCCAATAATAAAATGTCAAGTTACAATAATATATTACAAAAAACCATGTATGTTGTTGTGATACTAATTGGATTTCTAATAAATATGATGAATTTTATAAAAGTTTTACATAAATACCTTAATTTTTGCCATTTAGAGGATTCTATCATTTCTATTTAACATCATCGAATAGTTTTAAATAAGGCAGTATTTATCAGAATTCATGACCAGACTTGAAGTGAGATAAATTAATAATTAATTTAGTTATTTTTTTAAAATAAATTAGCAATACATCACATCACATAGCCTTGCTGCTGCAACTGCTGGACATAGGCCTCTCCTTAGAAAGGAGGTTTTGGCCTACTATACCATGGGATTGGTATAGAGTTTTCCTTCTTTTTGCAGTGCTGGTGTCCTGCGTTATTGTGCGCCCTTAGTCGGCTCTTACGACACCCACGGGATGAATTGGGGTAGTGACATTTCGTATTCTTAATCCGTCACCACACGGACAGTACATACATACATTTCATTAATTTATTTAATTTTTGCTAAAATGATATTAAACCATAAGGGGCATATTATTTATGTAGATTAGCCTATAAGATTCTAATGTAGTATTATCATCAGCTCCTAAGTGCAAGAAGAGGCTCAATCTTTTTAGGCTTTCACCTGTCTGTTTTCTTCACTCATCAAAAAAGTAATTCACTACATAGAGGGCAAGATCACACTAGAAAAAATTACCCATTTTATGAATCTTGTAGAAGATGGGAGTGGAGACGACAATTCCGATCATCCAATATTTCCAGATCCACTGGTTCTGAAGATAGAACTTAATAGGAAATTGTGCCACCTTCGCCGAGAAGGTGTACGGGAACTTCATGGGGCGGCTCGGTGCGGATTCCGACATCGTGATGATCAATTACCTGATAAAATGGTTAATACAAATTATTATGTAATGTTTTACTTCTTAACTTGACGAGTGACGTGTATTACAATTAACGAATATAACTCCTTGCAGGTGATTTTTGTTCTGTTATAAAACACAATATTTACGTAAAATTAAAGATATTTACTGTAAAGTTTCTGATTAAAATTAATAAAAATATTCTAACCTTTTTTGCGAATAGATAAACGCCAGAGCACTAGGGTTGCTAGGAGGATGACATGTCGTGGAATTAGTACTCAATTTTTTCGAATCGAATTAAATCGACTAGGGAAACACCAAGCATTGTAAAATGCTGATTAAAAACTAAACTGAATGTTGTATAAATCCTTGAATATTCTTTGGAGAACATTGGACTATGTTGGACAAGTGTATTTATAGAAAAGTATGGTATAGGTCATCATCATCATCATCATCAACAGCCTTTACTAGTCCACTGCTGGACATAGGCCTCTCCTTAGGAAGGAGGTTTTGGCCTACTATACCACGCTATACGCTATGGTATAGGTGCTCGTCTTTAATAAAATTGACCGAATTCTTAAGTTGTACGAACAGAAATAAAGTATAGTTCTTATTTTATTTCAGTATCAGTTAAAAATGTAACAACGTTTTGAAAATAAATAATTATGTACTAAGATGAGACTACCAAAACAAACAAGTACAACGTTTTTCTTAAAAAAAGATGTAATTATTACTCATGTTTTATTCAAAATAAAAGCTAAATAATTTTACTTCTAAATTGTAAAAAAAATTAAGAAACAAATTTTAAAGGGAACGTTATTTTTGTACATTGCAATAGTATTCAGTAAGCTGTCAAGCAAATAAAAATGTCAACTCGCTTTGTGGTGTCGTATTTGTGTGATTAAATGTAATTTTAAAATAAAATATAAACTATTGACAATATAATGTGTGACAATGGCTTCGGTGAAAGTGGCTGTAAGGGTTCGCCCATTCAATCAAAGGTCAGTTCATATTATTCTCAGGAAAGTGAAAATTTTCCGCAATGTTTTGGGGGTGTTAACGTATTGTGTGAAGTAAGGAAGTTTCACAAGTTCGTATATCTATTATCAAGATAATTGACTGTATCATGCTATTTTGTACACTCAGTATGGACGCATAATAGAATTACAACAGATAAATTATGGCTTTTAGTCAGTGAGACGTAGATGTTTTTCATGGCATTTGAAAGTGCAAAAGAGCAATGATGTCATGTTAAATGACAATGACTTTCACGGTTCAGTTGCATTTAGAGCACAAACTGTACCTCGGGTATGCCGTTTAGATGAAAGTTGCCGAAAAAGTACAAAAAAGCGAGCGACCTTAATACTTAGATAAAGTTTCAATACATGTAGTGGATTGTTATTGTCATGAATGTTATTTTGTCTGTTTATCAAATGCATTGTAAACAACAACACTGCAGACACAATTGACTGGAAAATGTTTGGAATTCTTCAGACCTTATTCTAATTTTGAATTTTTTAACCACTTTTAAATCTATGGGTATTTAATGCCTACCTCTTTGAGGTTATAGGTGTGAGCATAGATATTAATATATACATTTAAATTGAATTGTTTGTGTTCACTGTAGCTCTTTACAATATATAAATTCAAATACAAAACTACTATGAAGATTTTATAATTTATTTTTATTGAGGCAAACTAAAAGGTTCAAAAATTAGAATCTCAATGGTCAGTTGGTATAGTTTCTAATTACAGCTGTATAAAAAAAAAGCTCTGCTTGTATAACAAGCTCTGTTACTTGTTAAACAGAGCGGAAAATCAAGCTGTCAGTTTTTGTATACATAAAAATTTGAACAACTTGTTTTCATTCTCTTTCTATCCACATAGACAATTTATAGGTTTTTTACCTATTTTTAATTTTTTTTTTTCATATTGTCACCAAACCCACCCAGATTTGGTGATGTAAAATCATTGAACTTCTTTTTAAGACCACTCATTGTTATTTTTTTTGACAAATATTTATAACAGAAAATGCAGGTTTTATTGATCATTTTGTTTGATGCTAAAAAAAATGTGAGTCTAACAAAACACACCCCATATATTAGACAATGATACAAATGGAGAATGACTAATATGAGTTCTGAAGAATATTCGCTATTTATTACTAGTCTAATTAACTAAATGGTGTAAGTTAATTTATTTTTTCTAATGTCAGTAGTGAGTATTTAAAAAAAAAAATCAAAAGATTATAAATCTAATTACTACTTGTCACTCAACCGGTGGTTCATAGTATTTAGTCATATTTTTTTAAAAGAGTTATTAAACAAAAATAGAGTTTGGTATGTTTTTGTAAGTCTGTAGAATGAACTATTTCTAGAAATAGCTAGAGAGGGTGTGCTTAATAATATTTCTGTAATAAAAAATATCATAAATAAAAACTTTAAAAAATGTTGAATCAACTGCAAATAAAAATAAACAAATTACAACCAAATTAAGATTCTTCTCTTTTTTTTGTGGCTGTTATTTCTTTATGTATATATTTATTTATATACAATAAATTTAGGCCCAAATAAATAAAAAATAGTGTTTTTTCTTCAAGAACAATAAGTATAGCTACTTTCAAAAAAAAAGAAATTCTAATTGGTCTATAAATACCAGACTTGTAAAGTAAGAAACATAAAAAAAATAATTACCAGATTGAGGACCTTTTTTTTAAAGTTGGTTAAAAACCCTTATACACTCCCATCAATAGTACTTAAATTATTCATAGTATTAACTGTAAATATTAATATATTAATTTATACATTTAACTGTTCACATTTAAATACAAAGTTACCAGTTATGTCTGTTTTGCTCTACACCCAATTTACATTCATGTTTAATGAATGACATGTATGCATTCTGTGGAGGTTCTAATACTAATTAAAAAAAAAGAAAGAATAGATGTCGTAACTTCCATTTTCAAATAGCTGAATGTTTTTTTAAATTATAATTAGTGTTCTATGCTTTATGTATATTGTCAACGAGATGTCACGGAATCATTGTGTTTTGACAGAATGACGCCTGATCCTTGCTTATAAAATGTTGCATGAGTGTTGTGTTATATGTATGTATAATATAACTTTACAGATAACTTCTCACAACTTATGACTTATTGCTTATAATAATCACAATTGTTGTGATTATTAAAATATTTCGATAAAAATATTTAACGTTAAACCTATTTATGGATTTTAGTTTTTTTGCACCTCTATGAAGCAGCAATTATTTCGTGACCTTTCACCCCGAACCCAAGCGCTCCCCAGTGATTATCTAGGGGGCTCATGGGGTGACAACACACTGTAACTCTTAAGTTGCAGGTATTCATGGGCGGTGGTAGTCGCTTACCATCAGGCGACACGTCTGCTCGTTCACCCCCCGTGCAATAAAAAAATAATGCTTTTATATTCTAAAAGTATATAATTTTCTACCGTTTTCACACATTTTTGTGTCTAGTCTTTAAGAGATTCTTGAACGGTTGGACTTTTAACCTTGAACTTCAATCTTCAGTCCTACACATAATATTTTATGACTGAATATGACTCACAGTGAACACAATACCTTGTTAAGGAAATATGTTTATTAGTATTCTGTAGTGTTAACGAAAGATTTCATTATTTAAATTTTCTCAGCACGATTGTTTATCTATTTAATAAGAAATTTGCCAGAAGAATGTATATTTCTTTAGCACAATCTGATACCACCTGTCGGTGGCATGTCGGACTCGAACCGACTAAAACCGCACGCCGTCTCGGGTACTAATAGCCGGGGAACCAGGTATACCCTAGAAAGGATCAATTTGCACCCTCAGGTTTGCAATTTTTCTTCAGATTTAAATGGGTCCAAATGGAATAAAATAATGCAAATAAAAATAAATAGCCGTATTGAGAACCTCTTTCTTCTTTTGAATTATTGGAATATCGCCGGCGGTAGCGTATATATCAAGACTTGCGATTGAGTAGTTGGGGTTCGATGCCTACTATCCCGATCCGCTTTACCCTACCCCGACCAGGGTAGTCGGGAACACTAGCTTTCTCTAAAAAAATAATCTGAATATAATTTTGTAATCCTCATTAAACAGATAGTCTGTTTCTCATATAAAAAACTATTACAAAAAACCTTGTGTGACGTCACTTCGGAAGCAGCCCACTGCGGCACTAATCCATTTATTGCTCAAAGTATAAAAGTTAACTAAGCAATAAATACACTAGCTGTAGTTAGGAATAGTTATTTCATGTCCAACAGGCTATTGACTGGTTTTCCTTTGATTAAATGTAGTCAAGTGTTGCCAACTTTACTGCAATATTCCCAAATTTACAGGGTAATTTAGAGAGTTAATGTCATAATGGTAATTAGAAAGATTTTTTTTATTTTAATTAGACTAAAAAATCAAGGGTTTTACGTTCAGAAACTTAACGTTTGTAATTCTATTTCAAAAATCGAACTATCTAAATCTTGAAATACGCGCTTGAACAAGTATACATTTCAACGTAGTAATCATTATTTTTACCTAATAAGAGATATTTCCAAAATCTTGTATTATTTCTCCTTCTCTTCCCCTTGAATTAATTCTTCTATCATACTAGCAACCGCTCTTTCATTCTTTTCCGTTACAGTTACTAGAAATAATTCCACAATACATTATTTTCATGTAAATCTATTGGTTTACGCGATGCACGCAAGTAAAACTTCCTGTCGCTATGTTTCTTTTATACTGTAAACCATTATCGTCTTAAATAATTGACTGCCTCGGTGGCGCAGTGGTAGCGTATGCGACTACTGTTCTGAGGTCTCGGGTCCGATTCCCGGGTCGGACCAAATATTTGTATGCTCAGCAAATATTTGTTTCGGAGTTTGGGTGTTTTCAATGTTTAGTGGCAGCCTTTGATTAAAGCCACATTAAAATATGGTAACCTGAGCATCTATTTTACTGTAAGCCTTATTGGTTGTCCTTAATAAAAAAAAAATGTATGTATTTACAAAAAAGTATATTAGTATTCTATCCTTCAATCTAGCTTTCACAGTACAAGCTCTGCTTAGTTTGAAACTAGATGGCGTTGTGTGTTAGATGTTCGAAATATTATGATCATAATTACTCTATCTATTGTTAAAAACTGCATAAAAATCTGTTTTGTACTTTTGGAGTTAATCGCATTAAAACAGACCGACAAGCGTGCGAGTTTCATTTTATAATACGTAGTGATTTGTGTATTACAAATCTGCAAGATATCAAAACGAGATATATGTATTAGTAAACAGCGTGTATGTGTTTGTTAAAGATAATGACTCCTTAAATTGGTCAGTTCTGCTAATTTCGTCCTTGTGTGACGTTCGGAAGCAGCCCACTGCGGTACTAATCCATTTATTGCTCAGTGTATAAAAGTTAACTAAGCAATAAATACACTAGCTGTAGTTAAGAATAGTTATTTCATGTCCCATAGGCTATTGACAGGTTTTCCTTTGATTAAATGTAGTCCAGTGTTGCCAACTTTACTGCTAAATTCCCAAATTTACAGTGTAATTTAGAGAATTAATGCCCTAATGGTAATTAAAGACAATTAAAGTACAGACATAGTAGGCCAAAACCTTCTTTCTAAGGAGAGGCCTATGTCCAGCAGTGGACTGTCATAGGCTTTTGATGATGATGCTGATTTTTTTTATTTCAATTAGACTAAAAAAAATCAAGCGTTTTACGTTCAAAGACTTATCAAAAGTTTGTGATTCCTTTTTTTTAAATTTATTTTACTAGGTTAACAATTTGACTTCCCGGATGGCGTAGTGGTTTAAGCGGTCACCTCGCCGCTTCCAACTGCGCTGTGTGTTGTGGATTTCTATCCCCACATTAGACAAGACACAGAAAACCATTCCTAGTGCGAGAGTTTAAAAAAAAAATTGTTAAGTATTGCTAAAACCAAAGCGATAAAGCGGTGTTTGTGTAGTGGTAGGTTTTCAGCTCAATATT